ACACATATCCACACAGACCCACATCCACACACATATCCACACAGACCCACATCCACACAGACCCACATCCACACAGACCCACACACACCCACACAGACCCACATCCACACAGACCCACATCCACACACATCCACACAGACCCACATCCACCCAAAATCACACAGACCCACATCCTTATAAACCCACATCCACACACATCCACACAGAACAACATCTACACACATCCACACACATCCACACAGACCTACATCCACACAAACCTACATCCTAGTTAAAAAGCTGTATTAATGATTTTAAGAAAGCTGTATTTTTTACTTTAAGAAAGCTGTATTAATGACTAAGAAAGCTGTATTAATGACATTAAGAAAGCTGTATTAATGACATTAAGAAAGCTGTATTAATGACATTAAGAAAGCTGTATTAATGACATTAAGAAAGCTGTATTAATGACATTAAGAAAGCTGTATTAATGATAAACAAACCTTCGAGGAAGTTGTGTCAATGATGCTATCATCGAGAGAAGCTAAATCCCAGAATCGATTTTGACCTCACTTGTAAAAAAATCGATTATTTCATCCACCGTGTGTACTTCTCTCTCTGTCCATCTCTTTATCTTCTTACCATCGTATTCTATCTTGTTTTCTCCTGTCTTGTTACCTTCTATCTTGTTATCTTCTATCTTATTATCTTCTATTTTATTATATTTTATCTTGTTATCTTCTGTATACCTTGTTATCTTCTATCTTGTTATCTTCTATCTTATTATCTTCTATTTTATTATATTTTATCTTGTTATCTTCTGTATACCTTGTTATCTTCTATCTTGTTATCTTCTATCTTATTATCTTCTATTTTATTATATTTTATCTTGTTATCTTCTATCTTGTTATCTTTTTTGTAACGTGTTTGGTTTTTTGCATCCTCTGTAGCAATTTAAATACTTAACTATATGCGTACACACATACACTACATCCACAACTACCCACAACCACTACCTCTACAACTACCAACTACACACAACCACTACCTCTACAACTACACACAACCACTATCTCCACAAATACACGCATACACTACCTCTACAACTACCCTCAACCACTACCTCTACAACTACCCACTACCCACAACCACTACCTCTACAACTACCCAAAACACTGCCTCTACAACTACACACAAACACTACCTCTACAACTAGAGTGTAGTGTGTAAGTGGCCAGATGTGTAGTGTGTAACTGGCCAGATGTGTGATGTGTAACTGGCCAGATGTGTGATGTGTAAGTGGCCAGATGTGTAGTGTGTAACTGGCCAGATGTGTGATGTGTAAGTGGAAAGATGTGTAACTGGCCAGATGTGTGATGTGTAACTGGCCAGATGTGTGATGTGTAAGTGGCCAGATGTGTGATGTGTAACTGGCCAGATGTGTAGTGTGTAACTGGCCAGATGTGCAGTGTTTAAGTGGCCAGATGTGTGATGTGTAAGTGGCCAGATGTGTGATGTGTAAGTGGCCAGATGTGTGATGTGTAAGTGGCCAGATGTGTAGTGTGTAAGTGGCCAGATGTGTAGTGTGTAACTGGCCAGATGTGTAGTGTGTAAGTGCCTCCCTATTTCCTAATAGCCTTGTGAACGAAAAACTGGTCACCCTAAAACGCCAACAGTACACTTGCCGAGATTTAATTACATTAATCATCGGCAAATTAACAAGAAATTAGACAAAATTAGGTGCAGCGTAGCATTAAGTAAAGTGGGTCAGGTGTATGCACAAACACACGCACGTGGTTGGAACTAGGTCACATCCGTGTTGATCACCCAATCAGGGCCGATGCTATCGATTGGTTGCGTGTTCCATTTTTTTAATCCTTGTTTTTCTGGAATTTAAAAAGCAACTCTTCACATCTCTCCATCCTGGTACAGATGTTACATAATACATGTACTAAATACTGCCTGTCGTGTTTTCAATGTTTGCAGAGGTGTCAAGTAAATAATTTTGTTGCGTTCTGAGGAATTCTTGGGAGGGGGGGGATTTGAGTGAAATATTAATAGGTGGGGGGGGGGGGGAGATTTAAGTGAAATATGAATGTAACATCTAGGTGTGAAACCCAATCGACGTAGACAGAAGATGTTCCTCACGTGAGTCGAATGAACGATTCTCTGTTCGATGTGGAAGAAGCTGAACGATTCTCTGTGCGATGTGGAATTATCTGTTGTCTGTGTCTTGATTTACAGCGCGTTGTTTCGAATCGAGAATAATGGCATGTGACAGGTATATCCAATCAAACTGTATAGGCCGATTTGTGTGCATATATATATATATATATATATATATATATATATATATATATATATATATATGCTATATATATATATATATATATATATGCTATATATATATATATATATATATAGCATATATATATATATATATATATATAGCATATATATATATATATATATATATATATATATATATATATATATATATATATATATTCATTAGCCTTATGTATTTCAAATGTGTTGTGGTTAAGTTTTAAAATACACAGGCGGTTAACAAATGTAAGCAAGCTTCAACATAATGACTAGAAAATTACAGTATTTGAAAAATAAAAGTTTCGGTGGTCTGTAGTTGGTTGGGGACCACAGTCTCTGGCCACAGTCTTTGGCCACATTTTCTGGCCACAGTCTCTGGCCACAGTCTCTGGCCACAGTCTCTGGCCACAGTCTCAGACCACAGTCTCTGGCCACAGTCTCTGGCCACAGTCTCTGGCCACAGTCTCAGACCACAGTCTCTGGCCACAGTCTCTGGCCACAGTCTCTGGCCACAGTCTCTGGCCACAGTCTCTGGCCACAGTCTCTGGCCACAGTCTCTGGCCACAGTCTCTGGCCACAGTCTCTGGCCACAGTCTCTGGCCACAGTCTCAGACCACAGTCTCTGGCCACAGTCTCTGGCCACAGTCGCTGGCCACAGTCTCTGGCCACAGTCTCAGACCACAGTCTCTGGCCACAGTCTCTGGCCACAGTCTCTGGCCACAGTCTCTGGCCACAGTCTCTGGCCACAGTCTCTGGCCACAGTCTCAGACCACAGTCTCTGGCCACAGTCTCTGGCCACAGTCGCTGGCCACAGTCTCAGACCACAGTCTCTGGCCACAGTCTCTGGCTTCAGTCTCTGGCCACAGTCTCTGGCCACAGTCTCTGGCCACAGTCTCGAACTTACACCCTTCCATCTCCGTGGCGCGGTCTGCTACAGCGGGCCACGTAATCTCACGTGCGTGCGTTCGCGTGTACTCACCCGCCACGGCTTGAGCACACACACTCCACCCCCCCCCCCATCTGGTCCCGGGTGAGGGGGTGGGCGATAAGAAGTGAGTGTTCTCATTGAGCTAATATCGTGTTCTTATTGTCGTGTTGTTATTGTCGTGTTGTTATTGTCGTGTTCTTATTGTCGTGTTCTTATTGCCGTGTTCTTATTGTCGTGTTCTTATTGTCGTGTTCTTATTGTCGTGTTCTTATTGTCGTGTTCTTATTGTCGTGTTCTTATTGTCGTGTTCTTATTGTCGTGTTCTTATTGTCGTGTTCTTATTGTCGTGTTCTTATTGCCGTGTTCTTATTGTCGTGTTCTTATTGTCGTGTTCTTATTGTCGTGTTCTTATTGTCGTGTTCTTATTGTCGTGTTGTTATTGTCGTGTTCTTATTGTCGTGTTCTTATTGTCGTGTTCTTATTGTCGTGTTCTTATTGTCGTGTTGTTATTGTCGTGTTCTTATTGTCGTGTTCTTATTGTCGTGTTCTTATTGTCGTGTTCTTATTGTCGTGTTCTTATTGCCGTGTTCTTATTGTCGTGTTCTTATTGTCGTGTTCTTATTGTCGTGTTCTTATTGTCGTGTTCTTATTGACCTTATATCGTGTTATCATTGAGCTCATATTACTATCGTGTCTTGATCGAATTATAAGAATGGCCGAGCAGTGTAAAATCGCTCTCCGGGCAGTGTAAAGATCTGCGGCTAGAGCGCTCGCCGGGCAGTGTAAAGATCTGCGGCTAGAGCACTCTCCGGGCAGTGTAAAGATCTGCGGCTAGCACTCTCTGGGCAAGTTTTATTCTTATAACACGCGCCAACAGTTTACAGTAGCAGACTTGTTGTTGGTCCGTGTAGAATTGTCAGATCTGTTTGGTCCTATCAATGGCCAGCCAAGAAGTTTCATACAGTTTCACAAATCTCTTTGGGGGGGGGGGGGGGGAGGGGAGGAGAGGACTGTGTCTTCTCCCTCCCCCGGTTCAATTGCCCCCATTTAGGACGCCACCGTCTAGAAAACTAAACCTTTGTGTCTCTAGGACGCCTACGTCTAGAAAACTAAACCTTTGTGTCTGTAGGACGCCTACGTCTAGAAAACTAAACCTTTGTGTCTGTAGGACGCCACCGTCTAGAAAACTAAACCTTTGTGTCTGTAGGACGCCTACGTCTAGAAAACTAAACCTTTGTGTCTGTAGGACGCCACCGTCTAGAAAACTAAACCTTTGTGTCTGTAGGACGCCTACGTCTAGAAAACTAAACCTTTGTGTCTGTAGGACGCCACCGTCTAGAAAACTAAACCTTTGTGTCTGTAGGACGCCTACGTCTAGAAAACTAAACCTTTGTGTCTGTAGGACGCCTCCGTCTAGAAAACTAAACCTTTGTGTCTGTAGGACGCCACCGTCTAGAAAACTAAACCTTTGTGTCTGTAGGACGCCTCCGTCTAGAAAACTAAACCTTTGTGTCTGTAGGACGCCTCCGTCTAGAAAACTAAACCTTTGTGTCTGTGTCTCTAGGACGCCACCGTCTAGAAAACTAAATCTTTGTGTCTGTAGGACGCCACCGCCTAGAAAACTAAACCTTTGTGTCTGTAGGACGCCACCATCTAGAAAACTAAACCTTTGTGTCTGTAGGACGCCACCATCTAGAAAACTAAACCTTTGTGTCTGTAGGACGCCACCGTCTAGAAAACTAAACCTTTGTGTCTGTGTCTCTAGGACGCCTACAAACACTGGCTGTGCTCCAGACACCTCAAGTTCTACCACCAGGATCAGCAGGTGCCGCCATGTTTTGAGATGTGCGCCAGTGTGGAGGAGATGTGCCCATTTTTTAGGCCAAGTGTACAGACACACGCAGGAGACCCCAGTTTTATATGCAAAGGTAAGTCAAAGGTATTAGCAAAAGTAACTCTATTAGCAAAGGTAAGTTAAAGGTATTAGCAAAGGTAAGTCAAAGGTATTAGCAAAGGTAAGTCAAAGGTATTAGCAAAGGTAAGTCAAAGGTATTAGCAAAGGTAACTCAAAGGTATTAGCAAAGGTAAGTCAAAGGTATTAGCATAGGTAAGTCAAAGGTATTAGCAAAGGTAAGTCAAAGGTATTAGCATAGGTAAGTCAAAGGTATTAGCATAGGTAAGTCAAAGGTATTAGCAAAGGTTAGTCAAAGGTATTGGCAAAGGTAAGTTAAAGGCAGAGGCGTAGCGAGGGGAGTGCGGACTGCACCGGGTGACACCATTTAGGGGGGGGGGGGGTGACACCAAGGCAAAAAAAAAATATAGAGAAAAACTTGAGGGGGGTGCAAATCGAAAGTTTGAAAGTTTGCTACACCTCTGGGGTGTGACACCATTAAGTGCCGCACCGGGTGACACCCGACCTCGCTACGCCACTGGTTAAAGGTATTAGCAAAGGTAAGTTAAAGGTATTTTATTAAATATAAATTAAAAGTTTTAGCAATGGTAAATAAAAAATTAACTCCATTACCTTCAGCTTTCATGTCTCCCCCTCCCCTCCCATTACCTTTCATGTCTCTCCCCCTCCCGTTACCTCCAGCTTTTATGTCTCCCCCCCCTCCCAATACATCCAACTTCCTTGTCTCTCCACACCTTCTATACCACATTCTATAGCCCTTGCATCTGATCAAGCCAATGCCCTAAAAGAAGCAACTACTGTCTCTGTTTCAGACCACCAAATGAAGCTTCCAGGTGCATCAAACAACCAAGGCTGCTATAGACTGTGCCATTTGCTGAGTGAGGCTGACCTCAGTGAGTCCTACTGCGCTCACCCCGCTCACTGCCCCCTGCTCAAAAACTGTCACCCCCTGCAGCTGACCAGTAGCCCTGACACTTCCTACAATCTCACCAACGCAACCTCAGGAGCGTGCACTACGCACATGGGTGCCCGCACCACGCACACTGGTGCACGTACACACTTATCCACTTTTCTACTTCAGATTCTCTGCCAGATGGTCATCTCGTTACTTTTGCTACCAGTGACCTTGAACCCGTTCCCACACCTGGCTACAGGATTAACATAGCTTGTGCAGCTGGGTTCATGTAGCCAGGGCAGGGCTTGTTTACTTGAGTACAAAAATCAAAGAATGGTCTGACCAACAACAAAAAACTGGAGTACTTGTGCCCAATCTGGCCATAGAAAGCTGCTCATTAGGCCATGTGCTACCACTGTTCTTGCCGAAAGCATTGACTATGGTTTACAGTAGTACAAGATTTGTTCTGTAGATGTTATCTATTTTGTAGATTACCAGTGGATTTATAATTAACCAGTCATAGGATAACACAATATATATATATATATAAACATGTACATAGATAGCTACAAGTAGTTCCCCTGTACACACTTGTTTGACATGTTTTCTTTCAGTCCTGAGCAGTTTGTACTAAATTATCTGTGATTTTTTGTCATTACTCTAATGACGTGTAATTAATGATCTGTGCTATGTTGAACCAAATTTGTGTTACATCTTCCATCAATTGGTCTGCTCCAACTTTGAACTCTTCAATTTTGTGATAAAATTTCCTCTTGGTTTACTGGGGTGGTCAGCCCAGAAATCTATTGTCAGTTATTTTTTCAATGCAATTTTTTTTAAATTTGTTTTAGTGATGCCCTTCTGTACTGATTGTTTTTTAAATTTTGGACTAGAAGTTTTTGTAAAAGATAATGGAACAAAAATGCTTATGTTGAGATATATTTATGAGGTACATATTTTGCATTGAAACGCCAGTGTTTTTTTTTTGTTTTTAAGATCATAAAAATTTTGAACCAAATGTCTTACTCATAAAAATGTGAGGTGGTATTCATTATTTTGTCAAGCAACCCTTATCAAATTTTGGACCCTGTGAAAAATGCTAACTACATGTTTATTTTTGTTAAGTTTTGAATGCAGATAATTCATGACATAAATGTCTCAAGTGTTTTAAATAGGGGTCATCCATAAACTACATCACTCTTTTATGACGATTTTTACCTCCCCTCCATCACACAGCGTCACTAAAAGCCAGACCCCCCCCCCCCTAAAATGACATCACACCTCAGCCTACAACCCCCCCCCCCCTCAAAATTGCAGTTGAATTTTTCTTAAAACATCGATATTTTTCCAAAATCTTGTCTGAACTCTATCAAAATAGAGTATTTTAATCAATTCCTATTGTTTATTAAAACAGTTTTCTAAAGCGCAAAATGTCTAAAATTCGTTTTCTAACATTGCTTTTTTATAATGCAAAAGTGTGACGTCACACCATATAACCCCCCCTTCCCCTTGTCACAAACCGTCACAAAATTACGGACCCCCCCCCTCCCCCCTATGAGTGTGACATCATTTATGGACGACCCCATACATAGAAAACTTTACTTTTAGAAAACCTGCTTCTAGATTCCACCAAAATTCCTTGCAGAGAAAAACATACTGTTTTTAAGTGCAGCTTTTAAATTGTGTGTCCAGCTACCAGTAAATGTCAACAAAAACAAAGTCACATGACTTCCACTGAGCTTTTTAAACATTTCTATCTATAGACACATTTTATAATAGACTTTTACAGCAAAAGGCCAACATTAGTCAGATGAATAATAATTAAACCAATACTATTATGTATAGATCAATTTTAAAAACTTAAAATGACGTAACCATGAATGGTTATAAATTGTGTGTAGATCAGTTTAAAAAAACTTAAAATGATGTAACTATGAATGCTTATAAATTGTGTGTAGATCAGTTTAAAAAAACTTAAAATGATGTAACTATGAATGGTTATAAATTGTGTGTAGATAAGTTTAAAAAAACTTAAAATGATGTAACAATGAATGCTTATAAATTGTGTAGAAAATGAGACTGTTTAACTTGAAGAGATTTTATTTTAAGACAGATGATGACACATGGAATCTTGTTTTTAATGAGCATTGAATCTTAACAAATGTGACTCAAGCCATGAACAAATCTTCAATTTTTTTGCATGGAGATTAACATTTTCAATTGGAAAATCCTCCTATTTTTCCAAAAATCACACTTAAAACCCACCAATCAATTGAGCAAGCTACTGAAGGCTTACACCTGGCTTGACATTTTATATTTCTACAATTTGTTTTTAAGCATTCATTTTTATGTGAAGATCTAAGCTACATTGCAAAAATTCTTGAAAAGAATATGACTGACAGACATTTTTATGAGTACAGATATCTGGTGGGAATATATGTTGTTTTTATTTTCTCTGAAGAATCATTTTTTAAATGTGATATAAATGAGGGAACATTACATTTTTTACTCAACAAATTAATTTTTAAAAAACTTCATTTTGCATAACTAGAAATGATTGGGTTGGAAGGCTTAAAACATGGATTTAAAACCTACCATTAGATTTGAAGCAGCATAAATATATTTATACTTGTACAGTGAATAAAAAACATGTTTAAAATTCCTCCAAAATTAATTTATACATTTTAATCAGCAAATAACTATTCCAAAGTAATTTAAAAAGAAGGAACAGAGTTCACACTTTTACTTCAGCTAACCAACTTGTTTTTTTGACCAAGTATTTCAAGACAAAATACATCTAGATAAAAAAGTCACAAGACAAAATATCTCCCTGCCACCTTTATTAGCTATCACAAAAAGAAAAAACTAAACTGTAAAATGTCTGGTTGGGTTGTTATGCAACATTAATGTATCATCCACAACTGGCACTTATGGCTATCTGGTGTCACATCAAAAGGTGGACTGGAGAAATTTTTAAGGTGGACTGGAGACATTTTTAGTTTGTTTTCAATTTCTTCAAGTTAAGCTCTAGAGATTACTTTTTTAAATCTTTTTTTTTTAAACAGGTTAGAGCTAATGATAAAAAAAAAATTACCAATAATAACAAAATTGGCCTATGATAAAAAAATCTTTCCAATGGGCAAAGTCTCTCCAAGTTTGACTGTTTCACAAATCCATCCTTATTTCAACGGCAGTTTACTTAGCTCCACTTTTCAGCATATGTATAAGCATTTAATTGGCAGAGTACTCAAAAGTTGGAATCAAAGTTTTTTAAATAGTATTTATTTTTTTAAAATCAGATTTTTGTCTGCTTTTTTATTTTTTTCATCCTTTGGCTACATGCATCTGAACGTTAATTTATTTCAGTTGAGTATTTCTAGCACCACAAGCAGCTGCTGATATTTGTTGTATGTCTCTAGTTGGGTCTGCAGCATGGCTGTTACTGCTGTGTGTCAAATTAGAGTACAACTGCTGGAAATTATTCAAGACCATCCCCACATCACGGACACATGTGATATTTTCATTTTTAAAACTCAAAAATTCTTTTTTTACAAAACAATATTACACAGTATGATGGTAAGCTTTTAATTTTTTTTTTAAAAGAAAAATGTTTACTTTTTAAATGCAACCATTATTGTTTGAAATAATGCTTTTATTCAATAATTTTGACACCTCCAATATTGATTTGTTTTAAATAATTTTTTGAGTTATTTTTAAAATCTACAAGCTCATTTAACACCTCAAATGTTTTTTGTTTTTAAATAATTTTTTGTTTAGCAATTTTTTAAAAATCTACACGCACATTTAAAACATGAATAATGAATGGCTTAAATTAAAACTTGTTAGCAGAAAACTGTTGATTATTTGACCTAATTATTTAACAGTGATTAATAGTTGTGATGTACAAATAGAATTACAATTGCTGAATTTGTTTTCTTAAAACTTGAAGTATTGACTTTTAGTAAAAAAAAAATGTTCCACTAATCCAATCTGTATGTATAAAACATACAAAATATGACATGAGTCAGGTTGATTTAGTTCTGTAGTTGAATTGCTAATGACTGAAAAGTTATGTGTTAGGTAAGGTTAATGTTAAGGGGTTTGATGTAGGTCTACAATATTATTATAGGACTGCTGCTAATGTAGATTGCCCATGAAGCACACTGAATGTAGTGAAGTAACTAGTACTTAGTACTCTGCACTGAATACTTGTACGGACATTCTAGCTGCACAGATCATATCTGAGATACTGAAGAATTGTAAGCACCATCTAACATACGGGTAGAGGGTAGTTTGTGCCTTGGTAGCACCAAGCTGCTCAGTTAGATCACTCAGCACTGTGCTGCTCTTGTTGGCTGAAGAAATTTTTATCTTGTTTTTTACTCAGTCTCTGCACACATTTTTAGATGCATACCTATTATGCATGAGGCATACTTTTTAAATCGGCTGAAGGTTTTATTTTGAGTCAGTTGCTTTTTTTTGTTTTAAATTTGATATTAAACTCGTCTGAATATTTAACAGTTCAATGTTTTAATTAGCCATCAGTGGTGTGCTAAATCTTACGAGGCAGTAAAAAACAACAACAAATACGTATTCATTTCTAACCCATAACATTTAAAAAAAGAAATGCTGCTTTATTTTGTTTTTGCAAGTTTCAAATGACCAGCTGGTAGACCTGCTGTTTCTGTTTGTTAAAAAACACAAAATCCAAAAATTATTTTTTGTCTTCATTTAATTTTTTTTCCAATCGACTTAAAGACTGTTGATTTATCAAGTGATGTTGCAACCTATTAATTTGTTGTTTAACCATTTTTGAACAAGTTTCTAAATCTAAAGAACACAAGGGAGACAAACCAAAATAGCTGACATCTTGAGGGTTACAATTGCTTCTGTCCATAGCTCATTTTAAAAGTGGTGATTCTTGCCTGTTGGCACGGAGGTCACCTTTTGTGGTGAGACATGTTTGTTGGAGGTCACCTATTGTGGTGAGACATGTTTGTTGGAGGTCACCTTTTGTGGTGAGACATGTTTGTTAGGGACAGTCAGCAGTGGGTTGGGAGAGTTTTTAGTTTCTATAAATAACTTGTACAGGCAGCACTGTTAAGCCAGCCATGCAATTCTCCAAGGCAATTTGCTGCAGTCATGGGGGTGTGTGCTATGGGGGTGGGGGGGGGGGGGATGAGTTCAGTATGGAGGGGGGGGGATATGTGTTCAGTTTGTGGGAGGTGGGGGGTATGTGTTTTCAGTTTGGGGCATGTATTTAGTACAGGGGGGGGGGTATGTGTTAATTATAGGGGGTATTTGTTCAGAAAAGGGATATGTGTTCAGAATAAGGATAAGTGTTCAAAATGGAGGGTATGTGTTCAGATGGGGGGGTAACTGTTCAGTATACAGTGTATGTATTCTGTATAGGGTTATATGTTCAGTATGAGGCTATAATGTTCCTGAATTCTGTTAGTGTCCAGGATATGTGTGCCTGCTTGTGTACTTCTATATGTGAGTATGTATGTGGTGAGACTGCCTCTAGCTCCCCCAGCAGTCTGACTACACACATATAAAAGCTAAAATTGACACTGCTCCTGTTTACTGATTCAGATCAAACAGCTAAATCTTGTTTGTTATTATTCTTGTCTTGGTCTAACTATTCACTTCATCTTTGAAATGTTCACTCCAATTTTTTACTTCCTTTTTAAGTTTGTATAAAACTTGATAGACCTAGTGTACCATACGCTTATGAGGGGGGGGGGGGGGTGACCAGTATGGGATTATTATGCTGTGTCAAGTGGTCAGTTCATTTATTTTTAAAATTCTACTCTAGTTCTATTTTTAAAATATCCTTAGCTTAAAATTTTTGACAACCTATGTACATTCTAAGTAGCCTTACAGTTTTTAAAATGGAACTTTTTTAGAAACTAAGATAGGAAACATTGATTGATTGAGTGGTATTTATCATAGACAATCATTCATGTAATGTAGACAATCTTTCATGTAATGCAGACTATCATTCATGTAACATAGACAATCATTCATGAAATGAAATTTTCAGAAACCATACATATGAAGTTTGGAGAAAAAAAACTGGACAAATTGTTTTATATTGTGTGTCTGTGGTCTTGACTAGAAAAGGAGATGATAAATTATGGTAGCACTGATGGTAACTGTGTGATGGTAACTGATGGTAGCTGTGTGATGGTATCTGATGGTAGATGTGTGATGGTATCTGATGATAGTTGTCTGATGGTATCTGATGGTAGCTGTGTGATGGTATCTGATGATAGCTGTGTGATGGTATCTGATGGTAGCTGTGTGATGGTATCTGATGGTATCTGTGTGATGGTATCTGATGGTAGCTGTGTGATGGTATCTGATGGTAGCTGTGTGATGGTAACTGATGGTAGCTGTGTGATGGTATCTGATGATAGCTGTGTGATGGTATCTGATGGTAGCTGTGTGATGGTATCTGATGATAGATGTGTGATGGTATCTGATGGTAGCTGTGTGATGGTATCTGATGATAGCTGTGTGATGGTATCTGATGGTAGCTGTGTGATGGTATCTGATGATAGATGTGTGATGGTATCTGATGGTATCTGTGTGATGGTATCTGATGGTAGCTGTGTGATGGTATCTGATGGTAGCTGTGTGATGGTATCTGATGATAGCTGTGTGATGGTATCTGATGGTAGCTGTGTGATGGTATCTGATGATAGATGTGTGATGGTATCTGATGGTAGCTGTGTGATGGTATCTGATGGTAGCTGTGTGATGGTATCTGATGATAGCTGTGTGATGGTATCTGATGGTAGCTGTGTGATGGTATCTGATGATAGATGTGTGATGGTATCTGATGGTATCTGTGTGATGGTATCTGATGGTAGCTGTGTGATGGTATCTGATGATAGATGTGTGATGGTATCTGATGGTAGCTGTGTGATGGTATCTGATGGTAGCTGTGTGATGGTATCTGATGGTAGCTGTGTGATGGTATCTGATGGTAGCTGTGTGATGGTATCTGATGGTAGCTGTGTGATGGTATCTGATGGTAGCTGTGTGATGGTATCTGATGGTAGCTGTTTAGAGTGAAATCATTGAGATAGTAGTTGCCAGGTCCCAATTTATTTTATTCAGTACCCATGTTACCATGGTAACTGTACCCTCTAATCATAAATGTTACCATGGTAACTGTACCCTCTAGTCAGCAAACAGCTACATCAGGCTTGATAAATTCCCAGGTAACATCATATGTGTTTTACAGGTTAAAATTTGATGACTTATTAAACTCTCACACCTGTCTGATGACTTACTCTCACACCTGTCTGATGACTTATTGAACTCTCACACCTGTCTGATGACTTACTCTCACACCTGTCTGATGACTTATTGAACTCTCACACCTGTCTGATGACTTATTGAACTCTCACACCTGTCTGATGACTTACTGAACTCTCACACCTGTCTGATGACTTACTCTCACACCTGTCTGATGACTTATTGAACTCTCACACCTGTCTGATGACTTACTCTCACACCTGTCTGATGACTTATTGAACTCTCACACCTGTCTGATGACTTATTGAACTCTCACACCTGTCTGATGACTTACTGAACTCTCACACCTGTCTGATGACTTACTCTCACACCTGTCTGATGACTTATTGAACTCTCACACCTGTCTGATGACTTACTCTCACACCTGTCTGATGACTTATTGAACTCTCACACCTGTCTGATGACTTATTGAACTCTCACACCTGTCTGATGACTTATTGAACTCTCACACCTGTCTGATGACTTACTCTCACACCTGTCTGATGACTTATTGAACTCTCACACCTGTCTGATGACTTATTGAACTCTCACACCTGTCTGATGACTTATTGAACTCTCACACCTGTCTGATGACTTATTGAACTCTCACACCTGTCTGATGACTTATTGAACTCTCACACCTGTCTGATGACTTACTCTCACACCTGTCTGATGACTTATTGAACTCTCACACCTGTCTGATGACTTATTGAACTCTCACACCTGTCTGATGACTTATTGAACTCTCACACCTGTCTGATGACTTATTGAACTCTCACACCTGTCTGATGACTTATTGAACTCTCACACCTGTCTGATGACTTATTGAACTCTCACACCTGTCTGATGACTTACTCTCACACCTGTCTGATGACTTATTGAGCTCTCACACCTGTCTGATGACTTACTCTCACACCTGTCTGATGACTTATTGAACTCTCACACCTGTCTGATGACTTATTGAACTCTCACACCTGTCTGATGACTTATTGAACTCTCACACCTGTCTGATGACTTAATGAACTCTCACACCTGTCTGATGACTTATTGAACTCTCACACCTGTCTCACACCTGTCTGATGACTTACTCTCACACCTGTCTGATGACTTATTGAACTCTCACACCTGTCTGATGACTTATTGAACTCTCACACCTGTCTGATGACTTACTCTCACACCTGTCTCACACCTGTCTCACACCTGTCTGATGACTTATTGAACTCTCACACCTGTCTGATGACTTACTCTCACACCTGTCTGATGACTTATTGAACTCTCACACCTGTCTGATGACTTAATGAACTCTCACACCTGTCTGATGACTTATTGAACTCTCACACCTGTCTGATGACTTATTGAACTCTCACACCTGTCTGATGACTTACTCTCACACCTGTCTGATGCTGTTATGGTTTACTAGGTACAGTACGGTACCTTTGATGGTTTACTAGGCACAGTATGGTATCTTTGATGCCTTTGATGGTTTACTAGGTACAGTACGTTACCTTGATGGTTTACTAGGTACAGTACAGTACCATGATGGTTTACTAGGTACAGTACTGTATCTATAAGGCTTTTCGGAGCCAACCAACTGTTTTTCAGAATCCAAATGCCAAGAAATGTGATTTCATCTGCTGCGTTCTATTTATAAAAAATATTGTCAGTTTTTTGTCAATCTTCTTGTCTTGTCATCCAGTCATGTCATCTAGTCATGTATTTAGCCATGTTATCCAGCCATGTCATTTAGTCATGTCATTAAGATAGTTGCCAGAAACTGTATATTTAATTAACCTACTACTACTAATAATGTATATAATAATTATATTTGTACATGTAAAAATAATTTGATTTTGTTTACCATGTCTCTAAACATGTTCTCGAATTGGTAGTCGATTACAATTTAATTTTACTACAACAATCAGAAGAGGTAGCTCTCTAAGGGAAGCTACTGCTGTTTTTCTGTTGTCAAACGTTAAGCCAATATTCAGAGGTTTTTTTTTAATATATATAATGACTCGTTTTTTTTTTTAATTTTGTGTATAGTTATTTATTTATTGAACGTGTTTAAATACAATTGCATTTAATGTTGACTTAGTGATTGACCCGATTCGACTGGATCTTTCTATTTTTATAACAAGAGAAAGCTGTCGTGTTCATAGAACCGAATGTGTTCCCCTCTGTTCGTTCTCGTACGGTAACTAGAATGACCAGTGGATGCCACTAGCCTCGTCTTGAAACCTTCATATTGTCCATACGTGTAAATAGGTTACTTTCATTGTCATCTTAATCTAGAGAGTTAGAGCCAGTCATTTCTGCCGCTCCCTGTTAAGTTGAATGTATAGATCGCAATATGTGAAATTGAAAATATAAAAAAAATTAGTTTATGTGAAAACTATTGAAATTATGAGAATTTATTTTTTCTTTTCGTTACTTGAAGCAAGTAAAACGCACACTTGGGCATGAATGTTTTGAAATAGTTTGACTGACGTTGTGGTGGAAATCTGGCTAGTAGAAAGTGTAGAGATCAGGGGCTAACTCATCCAATTCATTGTCGATAAAAGGTGTGTGACAGGCTGTCTATGCTACCAATATCATGTTATTACATTAAATAAAGGTTCATTTTTTAATGTCATATGTTCTGACTTATTTTCTAAATCATGTCTCTTTTAAAATCATGTTTTATCCGTAGAACGATAGCCTAAATCTACCAAGGTAGCCTACCAACCAACACATTATTTTAGTGCCCCAGTCGAGTCTACTAGAAAGCAACAGAACACACAAAAATGGAATTAAAATATTTATTTCATTTGTTTTCCTGCTACCAAAAAATCAATCCTAACCCTAAAAACCTAGAAAAAAATTCTTTTACTTAAGCATCTATATCCGCCTGGTCATCTTGGGTTCACTTCTGCTGTGACTGTTGAATATTGCACTAAGGGACAGGATTTTTAAAAAACTAAAGCAGATACATTTTCTAAAAGGCTGCTTTTTTAATATTTGCTTCCGTCTTTACTAAAACAAAATGTAAAATTTCATAGGAAAAAAATATTTTTAGGGTTTTTATTCAGTAACCCCCCCCCAACACCTCCCACCCCATCTCCTCTGCACTTTTTGACTCTGACGTGAGAGCCTAGGGTGTAGTTGCTCCCCCGACTTGAAAACATCTGTTTAACAATTCACGCCTCACCCCCCCCCCCCCCCCTCCGCTCGTGCACACAGGCACATTACTCAGGGAAGCGGGAGTAGAGACGTTTCTTGCCGGAGCGGCGGGCCAAGACAACCACACCAGCAGCCGCAGCAACCAGCACAACCACAGCGCCAACCACGCTGAGTGCCAGCACAACCCCGCTGTCGTCATCCTCCGCCGCTGTCGCCACATCCAGCGTCAGTCCGTCTGCTCGTGCGGCCACGTTCAGATCGTTGAGGTACTCCTGAAACACGGGGGACAACTCCACGCTGGAGTTTTTGAGGGAGGCAATCACTTGCATGTAGTTGATGGCATGCCCCGTGCGGTTGGCGAAAGCTTGCGACATGTTTTTTAATGTCTCCACAATGCCGGCCTTGATCTCAGCGACCTGCGTGACGTAATCAAGCTTGCTACGGACCAGGTCTGCCAGTAGGGACCGGAACACGTCAGTCGTGATGTTGACGCTGCCGTTGATGAGGGCGTTTCTGAGAGAGTCGAGCTCCAGCACGGTGGCCGCTTGAGACTGGAGGAAGTCCAGCTTCAGATCCTTCAGACGTTCTATGCTGGAGGCGAAACCTTGGACTAGCTGCTGGATCAGCCCTGTAGCAATCACGTCATTGGCATCGGTGGCGTTCAGCGGCGTGTCGTCTACACGAGAACTGATGACGTCATCGATGCCGGTTTCAACTTCCGGTGGGATGTCCACAATGTCAGACGATGGAACAGACTGGGGTATGTCCACGGTTGGAAGCTCGTCCTTGGCTAGACTGCAGCTTTCTGTCGCGTTCTTCATCAGTTCAATCTTCTCTTCTACTTTCGATTTCTTGAATTCGACAGCAGACGACACTTTATCATAAATGTCCGATTTCATATTTTTAACAGTTGCCAAGATATCAGACACGGGGTCACCGGAAGTGTGATTGGCCGGGCTGGGGGTGGTTGCTGGCGGTTCCGTCCCTGGGTCGATGACGTCATCTGTTGTTGCGACGGGGGGCTGGGCCGCGGCATCTTGATAGAAAGCCTCGATCTGACTCGGTACCTCGGTCTTGTTGCTCGCGACCGACCCCAGCACGTGCAAATAGTCTCTCACGGTCCCGGTTCTCTGCTGATAAATAACGGACATGACCTTTAGAGCACGCACGAACTTGTCCTTGACTTCCACGACCTCTAGGATAAACTCTTTCTTTTTCTCCACAAATTTTTTCTTGTAGGCCAGAAATTTTTTCAATTTCCGAAAGTCGAAATATTTTCCTTGGTTGTTGCGCGAATGAAGGTCCCTGGCCGCGGCCTTCATTTTCCTTTTTAACTTCTGCAAATCTTTCCTCGAGGCCCGCAGGTGTTTGTAGTCTGACCTCATTTCTCCCAGAACTTGACCGACCAGCGCGCGAAAAATGACGTCATGCACGGACTGGTAAGGCTTCTCTTCGATTTCGTTTTCAATGGCGTCGTTGACCGACGCTTCAATACTGGACATTTTGTCTTTTAAGTTGGCCTTGAACTTGTCTATCTCCTCTTTGCCCTCCCCTCCCTTCAGGCCGGATAAAACAGCTGCCGCCGCCGCCGTTGAATGCTCCCCGCCCCACTCGGCAAGTAGTCCATCCACCTCCCTCAAGTCATCCTCGTCAATGCTGCTATCTGCCGAAGATGAATCGGACTCGTCCGTCTCTCGCGACAATCTTTCTAAAATATGGTCCACGTTGTTGTGGTCCACGTTATTGTGGTCCACGCGGTTGTTGCCGTGATGGTCGTGGTGATGGTGAGATCCTCCGTGGCGATGGTGGTGTCTAGAGGATTCGCTCGTGTCGCTGTCACGTGACTTACTGTCACGTGATGAGGCGTCACTATCCTGGTCACTGGAAGATTCTAGAGAAAAAAAAACGTTAGGTCAAAAAAGTTATGAAAAATAAAACACCGTCAAATTTTCTAACGAAACTCAGCAAACAATATTACTTTTGGACCTCCGATCTTTCATTACAGATTTGTGTGACAAAAACGAATTGTACTAGATCTATGGACAAATATCATTTCTGTTTTGTTACAAAGATGGGTCCATTGTATAGCGAGTAGCTCTCCAGTGATGTGTAACACAAGTCGAAACCTCACGGAGAAGCGTTCATTAAGGGGGGGGGGGGGGTAGTATCAGGCTGACAAAGGGGAATAAACAAAAACTTTCACCAACAACAAACAAACTATAAGACACACACATGTAAACATTTTACTGTAACAACAACTATAAGACACACACATATAAACATTTTACTGTGGTCATTTTGAGCTTAAAGCTATAACACAGCTTATAAATACAGGCTTATGTACGAGACAAATTTAAAATTATTTTAATTCATATTTTATATTTGTTCTACTCTTTCACGAATAACTTTTCCAAACATGGACCACTATATTAGACTATAGTTGATGTATTGAGAACCACTATATTAGACTATAGTTGATGTTTCGAGAACCACTATATTAGACTATAGTTGATGTATCGAGAACCACTATATTAGACTATAGTTGATGTATCGAGAACCACTATATTAGACTATAGTTGATGTATTGAGAACCACTGTATTAGACTATAGTTGATGTACGAGAACCACTGTATTAGACTATAGTTCATGTACGAGAACCACTGTATTAGACTATAGTTGATGTACCGAGAACAGGTTTCCAATTAAATTATCTATTGCCAGACCTGAAGCTTTGTACTAATATTAAAATTTTCAAGAAAGTTTTAAATGCCATTTTACTTTCTTCATGTAATTACTATAGATCTATATATACTTTGAGATCATGTCTTTGAAACTGTATAAAACTACAAAATTTAATTATTATTTTTTTATGTTTAAAATTTTGAAAATACGAACAAATAAAGAAACGTTTATTTTTTCTCTCATCCCTTTCAAACAGCTGAATCCACAACAGTTTGTTATGGATTTAACTGTTTGAAAGTGAAGAATGTATAATTTTTTTTTATTCTACTTTGATCCTAAATTTATTTCTCTTCTACTTACAAGCCAATACCCCTCAACCCACACTTTTACTTTTTTTTTTAAAGATTTTTTTCTTCTCTCCACAAAACATGGAATCATCATTTTCAACTTTAGAAATAAAATTAGACTTTTTGCACTATATATAAGTAAACCATCTTAAATGAATGAAAGTACGTATCAGAAAGAAGTATCACTATTGTAAATCTGTATCAGTCCTCGCAAGCCGATAATGAAAACTGTAATACTTAAAGCGAACATGCAAGGCAAACTGGCGATGTAGATTACATGCCTGAGGCAACTTTTTTAAAAACACGCAAGAAAGAAAGTTTTAATTGAATTTTTATTGGTAAAATCTATTTTTAATTGATCCACCTAAATCTTTAAAAAAAATACCGTACCAATAAGCTAGGTAGCTAATGATTTCTTATTTGGCAAGCCAACGATACAGACCTTGTGAGCTGCTGGATTCAGACGAGCTACGCGAGTTTCTTGCCAGGGAAACACCGACCAGCAGGACCAAAACAAGGATAACTGATTTGTGCATCTTTCCTTGGAAATCTTCTTATTCGATTTTATATTGCTATTGAACTTTAAATAAGTAAATCGAGGTTTCGAAAAAATATATAATGAAAATAACCTTAATTAATTGTTTTTTTTTAAAAACTTGAAAATAAATGAGTTTATAATTTAATGTTGCTTGTTCCAGTCGTAAGATAAAACTGAAGTACTAAAGTCGTTTCGCTGCTATTCCTGACTGGAGTTGCCTTACTTATTGACAGTTGTCCTTCTTAGCTCCCGTGGCCTTGCGGGTCATGCTGGGATAGCGATGGCGCCATTTCTATTGTTACACTTTTCGGCACGTTCCCAGAAAGGCGTTACGAGTTTTTATTTGTAGGATGGGTGTTGATGTGTAGGATGGGTGTTGATATGTAGGATGGGTGTTGATGTGTAGGATGGGTGTTGCTGTGTAGGATGGGTGTTGATGTGTAGGATGGGTGTTGATGTGTAGGATGGGTGTTGATGTGTAGGATGGGTGTTGATGTGTGAGATGGGTGTTGATGTGTAGGATGGGTGTTGATGTGTAGGATGGGTGTTGATGTGTAGGATGGGTGTTGATGTGTAGAATGGGTGTTGATGTGTAGGATGGGTGTTGATGTGTAGGATGGGTGTTGATGTGTAGGATGGGTGTTGATGTGTAGGATGGGTGTTGATGTGTAGGATGAGTGTTGATGTGTAGGATGGGTGTTGATGTGTAGAATGGGTGTTGTGGTATAGGATGGGCGTTGATGTGTAGGATGGGTGTTGATGTATAGGATGGTAATAAAATTGTTACACATCAGAATTGACTTCGGCAACACAACATGGCGCATGATATGCTGTGTTGCTGGAGATTCCCTTTAACCTAATACAACTGAGAAGGGAGAAGAACAAAATTTGGGCCAACCTCCAGAGGCCATGAACTCCTTGCAGGTCCGCCGCTGGTTTAAGTACTGTAAACCATGGGTTAGGCGTGATCTCTATCAGTTGGGTTCATTAGCAGACTCTTAATTCCACAACAATTGAGTTGCTAAAGCATATACTGCTAACTCACCTGACCTGACCTAACCTCACCTCACCTCAATTAAACTACAGGCTGAATTGCTTTACCAGAAATCCGCTGTCCGTAACATTATTCAACATTTTGTACATTTCTGTTGTAAAAAAAAACAACACGCTACCTTATTTCTCGTTATACAAAAAAAAAACAAGAACTCAAATGTGCTACCCCCTCCCCTACCACAAAACCATCAAAACATTAGTTGGATTACTTCTAAAATTACAAACATCCCCACCGCCACACACAAATTGTTGAGACTGGTAAACAGCCCAAATTTGAACTTTTTACTCGTATTTTATTTCGTATAAGAATTACGCTTTGACGTCACAAAATTGCTTCTAAGTGACGTAGGACTGACTTCACGTGCAAGTACTAGCAGGTAGGCAATACTGTATCTGAAGTAGACCTCCAGAGTTTCTTTCAGGCACGTCCACCGTCCCCCGACCGAAATAGAACCAGCACCCGACAGCTAGACCAGCACCCGAAACAGTGTTTCTTTCAGACTTTTTTTCTCCGGGGGAGGGGGCACTTGATATTTCAAGTCAATATTTTCCGGGGGGGGGGGGGGGGGGGGCGGTAGACTTTCTTCGGAGGGGGGGGGGGGTCCGCCCCCCGAAGATATGCCTGGAAGAAACTCTGACCCGAAGAACAGCAAACTTGACACGCTTTTGCATGTTTGCAAACAATCTTACAGTAAAACGTTTCACCTTAAAGATTATTTTCTTGTGTGACGTCATTTAAACAATTAATTTAAAAAATCATGCGTAACCAAAAAATAGTTTTGGAAACGTGTGGATGAATGTACCGGTCCCATTATGTGTGCACGTGATAGGCGTGGAACTGGGTAAACGATCTAATTTTAGATATTTGTCATAACGTCCTCAGCCAATCATAAATGTAATCTAAAAATAAATTCCTGGCTTCTCTACATAAACATTTAATTGTTTCATATATGAAACTGCAATATCAAAATGTGTCGTAAAAATTAAACGGAATTTCCCTCTCGGTTCTTGACTTTTCAAGCATGTTATTGACGGAATGTTATTGACAGTAACACTATACTTAGATTAACCGAATTAGTTCTCAACCCCAACTCGTTTGAGTTCGATGGGCAGTTTTTTGACCAAACAAGTGGAGCAGCTATGGGGACTAAAATGGGTCCCTGTTATGCGTCTTTTCATGGGTCGAATCCAGGAAAAATACACTGGCAGAATTCCAGGTTTTCATCGGCGGTACATTGATGATGGGCAGAGGCGTAGCGAGGGGGGGACATATGTCCCAGGGCGCCGACCCTAAGGGGGGCGCCAAATTGAAAGTTTGAGGGGGGGGGGTGCAAATGAAAAGTTTGAGGGGGGGTGCAAATGAAAAGTTCGGGGGGGGTGCAAATCGAAAGTTTGTCCCCGGGCGCCGGGAAGGGTCGCTACGTCTCTGATGATGGGTTAGGCATCACAGAGATGCCAGAAGAAGAACTAAAAGATTTCATATCATTCTGCAAGAACTACCACCCAAACATTAAATTTACCTCTGAAATTTCAGGCAGTTCTGATAACTTCATGGACATGACAATATCACTCAACGCAACCAACGTTGGAACGACCGTATTCTACAAACCAACCGATTCTTACTCATATCTGCTGTACTTTTCTTCACAAAATTTCTGCAAAAATTCTATATCATTCTCACAATTATTAAGACTACGACGTATTAAATTTTGTCAAGATGATGAAAACGTTTGGAACAAAGCCTATGAACTATTACAGTTCTTCCGACTCCGGTCATACCCGGAGTATATACTCCAGTCAGCACTACACTACACTATCTGTTTTATTACTAATTGTTAATATATTGCTGATCTCATAGCCTCAGAAAAATGTTACGGACAGGAGAGCGAGGGAGAAACAAGTGCGCACATAATAGGATTCATTAAACTTCATTAATGCATTAATTGGAATTATAGACCTCTGGGTTCATCCATACATGACGTCACGCCTTTTTTGACGATTTTTACCTCCTCCCCTCCCCTCCGTCACACATCGTCACAAAAAGCCAGACCCCCACCCCTAAAATGACGTCACAACTCAGTGTACAACCCCCATCAAAATTGCAGTTGAATTTTTCTTAAAACATCGATATTTTTCCAAAATCTTGTCTGAACTCTGTCCAGTGTTTTTTTCTCCCGGGGGGGGGGGGGGGGGGGGCACTTAAAATTTTCGAGGGGGGGGCGGACACTGTTAAAAGTATATATTTTCTATATAAATTATATAAATTAAATTTCGTTGGGGGGGGGGGGGGAGCGGTAGAAGAGATGCCTGGAAGAAACTCTGACTCTGTCTGTATAGAGTATTTTAATGAATTCATATTACAATTTATTAAAACAGTTTTTTAAAACCCGAAAAAAAAACGTCTACAATTAGTTTTCTAACATGGCCTTTTTATAATGCAAAAGTGTGACGTCTCACCATCTGAACCCCCCCCCCCCCCTCATCACACACCGTCACAAAATTACGGACCCCCCCCCCTCCCACTGCGAGTGTGACGTCATTTATGGTCGACCACTCATCTGTAATAGTGGTTATAGCCTAATATAATCAACTTCTTGGGGGTCGGAATGAGAGAAATATTACATAGAGTAAGGGAAAATATCCACACACACAATACAAAAAATTCATTAATTAATTAAAAAACAACCTATGAGTGTATGAGACAGGAACATGTTATTTAATTAAATAGGCCTAGTGGTTCGTTTATTTATATATTTAAAGAAAATAATTTAGTTTCGTCTTTTACGTGCATAATTATTTCAAAGCTTTTCAATAAAACGTTTTTGTGATTTTTTTTCTTATAGCGATTTATGATGCAAACGATGAGTGCTTGAATAAACAAGTTAATTAAAAAAGTCTAGTGACATTTATGCGCAATTACCTTATGTTATCTAAAAATAGCTCTGACGTATAATGCTTGGGTGCGTTCAAGCTAGAAGAACGATCGGTTTGTAGGTGTTTATGTAATTTTAAAAGTTGTGACCGAACGAGAGGATATTTTTGAAAACTTTCTTCGGCAATATTGTTCTAAATTATGGCGGGAATCGATTGGTACATGTTTCAAGTCGCTAAGTGGTCTGGTTGCCGAGATATGGGCAAAAAACTGATTTTTTAAAAGGTTTTTTTGGCTTTTCCGGGAAATACATGAAAGAAACCCGGAATTTTTATGACCTATGCTCATTCTCGTAACTTGCTTAACACAATTGCTTTTGGAACTAGTCATCGATATTGCTTCGTTGAGGAGGAGATACGACTTAAAGCCCGGACACACATTCATCCATACATTCATTCATTCATTCATCCATCCATTCCCAGAAATGACGAGTTAATAAACGCAATTCTCCAGAATGGAAATTGCGCTAAAAAATAAAACAATTATTTGCTTGATGCGTAATTTCAAGTTGTTTCTAAAAATCAGCTTTTTTTTTTTTTTTTTTTAAATCAGCGAGCCCTTATCCAACCCGGTTTACTTCGATACTTTACGGTAAACGCAAAAAGGTACAGGCCAGCTTTTGAAAGCGAAACAAACAAAATCTTATATCCGGTGCCTTGAAAACTGTTTTTATTTGTGAGCTAGATCTAGATTTACTCCTTTCTAACTCTATATCTAGATTTTCTAGATGTCAGATGACATGTCTGGATCTAAATACTAAATATTATTTCATATATTGATCTAATATAGAATAGATCTAATAAAACGATGGCTGAAAAAAGAGAATCAGGTAACTAGATCTGGGTAAACCGGTAAAACTCCATTTTTTTAGCGTATTTTATTCTCCGCTTGTCGTTTACCTCCAGTTGAGCGTATTTTATTATAATAACCGAAACACACCAAAACATTAGGAAAACACGATTTATTTATTTGTATTGTATTTTTGTTTTCACAAATGAATAAAAATGAATATTTAAAAAAAAAGACTTGTTTATTTGTGTTGTATTTTTTTTTAAAAAGGCATTTGTCTCATGGTAAAACTGATACACTGCTAATTATTCTGTATTATAAATTTTGTATTTATGTTATAATAAATGTACAAACTCTGTGTTTTATAATTTGACAGTTTTGCCAAAACTGAAAAAAATATTTTTACTATAGAGTTGTATGCAGTAGCGTAGCGAGGGGGCGGGGGGCATATGTCCCTGGGCGCCGACCTTAGGGGCGCCAAAATGGGTTGGAGAAATACATTGAAAGGTTGAGGTGGAGCGAATCGAAAGTTTGAGGGGGGTGCAAATCGAAATCTTGAGGGGGGGGGGGTTACAAATCGAAAAGTTTGTCCCCGGGCGCCTGGTAGGGTCGCTACGCTTCTGGTTGTATGTTATTTAAATTCATAGTAGATCTACCATCCTTCCCAATATTTTGATATATGTATCAAGTATGATTTTTTGTATGAGTAAATTTCTGACTTTTAAAAAAAAATGATGTGGGGTCGTCCATAAATGACGTCACACTCGTAGGGGAGAGGGGGGTCCGCAATTTTGTGACGGTGTGTGATGAGGGGGGGGGGGGGGTTCAAATGGTGTGACGTCAGATTTTTTGCATTATAAAAGAACAATGTTAGAAAACGAGTTTTAGCCATTATTTCGCGTTTTAGAAAACGGTTTTAATAAATTGTAATAGGAATTGATCAAAATACTCTATGTTGACAGAGTTCTGGCAAGATTTTGGAAAAATTTCGATGTTTCAAGAAAAATTCAACAGCAATTTCGAGGGGGGTTATAGGCTGAGGTGTGACGTCATTTTAGGGGGGGGGTGGTCTGGCTTTTTGTTACGTGTGACGGAGGGGAGGGAGGTAAAAATCGTTTTAAAAAGCGTGACGTCATTTATGGATGACCCCCTGTAATAAATGTGTATTATTTAGCTGTTTGTTTTACTATTTAAATTCATGCATCACGATTGCATTTTTTTACAATATTAATTATATTAGTCTATTTCTGTACAGCCTTAAAAATGCGAAATAACGTATGAAATTTAGTGTCTAACACTATTTTCTTTTATAATGGCAACGTGAGTTGTCACACTTTCTCTAACATTCCAAGCCATCCCTCACCAAATTCCACCCCCTCCCCACTTTCGGCAGCATTATTAGGGATCATCCATAAATGATGTCACGCTTTTTTTGACGATTTTTACCTCCCCCCCCTCCCCCCCGTCACACTTTGTCACAAAAACCCAGACCCCCCTAAAAGGACGTCACACCTCAGCCTACAACCCCTCCCCCCTCAAAATTGAATTCCAGTTGAATTTTTTTTTTTAACATCGATATTTTTCTAAAATCTTGTCTGAACTCTGTCAAAATAGATTATTTTAATCAACTCCTATTACAATTTATTAAAACAGTTTTCTAAAACGCGAAATAACGTCCAAAATTTGTTTTCTAACATTGCTTTTTTATAATGCAAAAGTGTGACGTTGCACCATCTGACCCCCCCCTCGCCTCATCACACACCGTCACAAAATTACGGACCCCCCTCCCCCCTATGAGTGTGACGTTATTTATGGACGACCCCTTATGCCTTTTAATACTTCTTTTCAGTTTAGTTGAAATTGGAGCACTTATTTGTACAAAGTGTGCATCTCTATTTTTGTAACCAACAAACAAAGTATTGGTGCTTTTATTCATTTGTTAAAACAAAAATACAATACAAATAAATAAGTCGTGTTTTTTAAATATTCATTTTTATTCATTTGTGAAAAACAAAAATACAAGACAAATATATAAATCGTGTTTTCCTAATGGAGGTAAACAAGCAACGGAGAATAAAATACGCTAAAATGGAGTTTTACCCTAGATCTGATCTACTGATCTTCTACTTAATTCAACTAGTAGCAAGGATCACTAACTTGAAAGCGTCTCTGGTTGCTAACAACATGGCATCCTAAACCGGAGATTCTCTAGTTAGATCTAGTAACTACTAGATTCTAGGCATTTTTTTTATGAAAATCTCAAAATCAGTAAATTAGGCCCTATTTATTATTTTTATAGTTATCCTATCCTTAGCTTAGATCCTATATTTAGTAATGAATAGGCCTAAGCCTATTATTATTTTTTTAAATTTTATTAAAAAAGTTTCAATTAGGCTAGATGCCTATTTAATATTAATATATTTATTATAGCTGGCACAATAGTAAACTAAGTCGTTTATCTATCGTTTTAGTTTAGGGGTAAAACTCCATTTTAGCTTATTTTATTCCCCGCTTCACGTTCACCTCCATTTCAGCGTATTTTTATTATAAACACAACCGAAACACACAAAAACGTTAGGAAATCACTCAGCCTGTTTCTTTTTGAATTTTTGGTTTAGTTTTTTTAAATTAATTTTGTCAATACAAATTTTGGATTTTTCTCAAGTATTGACAGAATTAATTTTAAAAAACTAAACCGAAAAAAAAAAAAAAATAGGTGGAGGGATTTCCTAACATTTTTGTGTGTTTCGGTTGTGTTTATAATAAAATACGCTCAACCGATGGTGAACGTGAAGCGGGAAATAAAATACGCTAAAATGGAGTTTTTTTGGTTAACTTATAATGAGAGATTCAGGGGAAGCCACTCTATTTTACAGATGACTGCTGTTTAGGGGTCATCCATTTATGACATTCACAAATTTTTAGGATTTTGGACCCCCCCCCCCCTGTGTGGATGAACCCTTTTATAGCAAATCTTGCTCGCAAACACTGCTGTTTAAAGTCAATTTCTGGCCTATATTGATATATTTAGCCATTGATTTTGGTTTATTATTCATTTAGCTATAATATTTCACACAAATATTTCACAATATACTTCTATTAAAGCCTTAACAATTTTAACTTATTTTTCATTACTAGCCGCGGCTGATTTTACATACCTAAAACGATAGATTACCACTAAGTCAATGTAGTCTAGCATATATTAACTTTTTATGCAAAGCCTTTATTACTGAAAAAAAACTCTGTAATCTATCGTTTTAGGTGCGTAAAATCTGCCTAGGCTAGTAATGTGCGAAAAAATTGCCACACTGTTAAGGCTTTAATTACTTGAAAATTAGAGTGGTCTCCCCTTAATATCTAGCTAAAATTTTACCAAAAAAACTTGGATGACATTTAGAATCAACACTTTAAAATTTAAAACATTTTTGTAACTTTCAAAACATAAATCCTCCTAAAAGAGTGAAATAATTATTAAAATTTAATGAGTCACATTTTTTTCACATTGCTAGTCTTGGCAGATTTTATGTACCTAAAACGATAATTAGGCCTACCAAAAATTCCAATGCCAGGGTCAGCCTTTTGACCTACTGTAGAAAAAAACTACTAGTTTGGTGACCTGATTTCAGGAGTGGATTTCTCAATTATTTTAAAGGATTTTTTAATAAAACATCCTCGAAATAAATTAGATAGCTAAAAGTTAACACAATAAACAATTTTAAAAACAAATAGTATGCTAGATAGGCCTACTTTATTGTTTTAAGTCTACATCCAATTGTAAATCTTAACTACCTAAAACAAAGCGAAACATAAGATTACATTTGATTTTAGTCAAGACTGCTAAGTAAATAAAAAAAATTATCTTGCACTTAATATCCTTGCAGCCAACATGTAAATAGCAGGACATTACCTCCTGTATTATTTCCCTTGACATTACAAATCCTAATAATCAATTACCCCCTGCCCAAAACAAATTGATTCTAAATTTAATATTAACATTAAACATAACACAAACCATAAGGTAATGTTAGGGTTTGGTTAAAGCTAGAGAAAGTGTGAAGGCTATAGTATCCTATAGTTACTTTCAATTTATGTTGTTGTTTATTGTGTATGCACAATTTATTACATTAGTTCTTTAAATTTTTAATTTCTAAAAAAGGTTTTTACCATAAAAGGCCTGCCCCTTCCACCGTCAAAATTGGAGCATATGTTTTTTACAACAAAATTTCTTTCTCAAATATTTTCTGGGCACTACCAATGTCTGTTGCAGTTTAGAAAAACAACTTTTTTATTACGCAAAATTCAGTTTCTAATATTACAAATGCGTAAGTGCGTCATCAAACTTTCTCACCCCTCTACATCATCACTCGTTGGGGCAAATTACTGATATTTTAATTGAATGATATTAATATGTTTATAGATTGTTTGAAAAATGAATATCAAAAGCAGTTTAAAAAAGAAAGTAGAATCGATATATTTAGATCTTGATTTTTATTTCCAAGTTGTTTTTTGCTAGTATCCTAACCATAACTCACATTCTATTCCACAATTGTAATGTGAATGGAGCAGTATTTGTATATAAATTTTGTTTAGAGCAGTAGTGTGACATGAAATTTTGATTCGACACAATAATCACTTTACTAACAAAACTGTTTTTACCAAACATTTTTTTTAGTTCGCATCAAAGATGGTCAGCAGGTGAGGGTTCTAGATGAAGCTTCACGCCGGCGTAGGCAGCGTAAAGCACTTGAAGCTTTAGAAGAAGACAATTTTTCTGAAGATCCACATGCAGACCTTAAGATGAGTAAAAGGGCTCCCAAGTTTGAAGAAGTAATGGACACTTCAACAAGTAACACATTTTTTCTCACTACCAAATAAATCTAATCCTTATTTTTCTGTCAGATTAAAAAATTCATCTAACAAGTTTCTAAATGGAATAATTGAAAACTCATAACAGAGATTTTTAAGAGACTGTTGAATTTGTGTGCTACTGTTTCAGATACTGGTTTTCATGAGACTATTGAATTTGTGTGCTACTGTTTCAGATTCTGGTCTCAAAAAGAAGAGAAAGTCTCGAGGAGACTTCAAGTTACGGTATCGCAAGACATTTGCTGCATTATTAGAAGAAGAGGTCTATATTTCAAACAATTATTTTTTGTTACCATAATTGGAATTCACATACTGGGTTAGGGGGTGAGATTCCTCTAAGATAAAGCATCCTTACCTGCAACCTAAAATTTTAGTTGTACCTAAGAATAATAATTGCTTTTATTAATATTTTGAGTATTATCAGTTGTGGATTTAAAAGTAGATTTATAGTGAGCTAATCCTTTATTTGTTCCACTTTTTTTGCTATTTTCAAATATATTTCCTTACAGCACATGTTAAATAAAGATGGACCATCCTACATTACTGCATGTGCGCCACCATCAAAATGGCCAGAGAGAAAATTTTGTGCGGTCTGTGGATATCCTTACACAAGTTTGAGAGTTATTGCTCTTGTTGGTAGACTTTTTACTGGACATTTTAGAGGCCATGTTGTTGGGTTGTGGCAATAAAATTCTCTAATGACAGCATGACATTATGACTTACCGCAAGACAAAATCATGACATTATGACTTACCGCAAGACAAAATCATGACATTATGACTTACCGCAAGACAAAATCATGTCATTATGACTTACCGCAAGACAAAATCATGACATTATGACTTACTGCATGACAAAATCATGACATTATGACTTACTGCAAGACAAAATCATGACATTATGACATACCGCAAGACAAAATCATGACATTATGACTTACTGCAAGACAAAATCATGACATTATGACTTACTGCAAGACAAAATCATGTCATTATGACTTACCGCAAGACAAAATCATGACATTATGACTTACCGCAAGACAAAATCATGACATTATGACTTACCGCAAGACAAAATCATGACATTATGACTTACCGCAAGACAAAATCATGTCATTATGACTTACCGCAAGACAAAATCATGACATTATGACTTACAGCATGACAAAATCATGACATTATGACTTACCGCAAGACAAAATCATGACATTATGACTTACTGCAAGACAAAATCATGTCATTATGACTTACCGCAAGACAAAATCATGACATTATGACATACCGCAAGACAAAATCATGACATTATGACTTACCGCAAGACAAAATCATGTCATTATGACTTACCGCAAGACAAAATCATGACATTATGACTTACCGCATGACAATATCATGACATTATGACTTACCGCAAGACAAAATCATGACATTATGACTTGCCGCAAGACAAAATCATGACATTGATTGACATGACTTACCACTATACAAAACATGACAGTTCAAGAGATGATGTGCAGTGCATGACAAACCATGAAACATCCTGTAGCCATAATTTGTCCTTCACCCCATGAACCTTCCCTTCAAGCTACACCTGTGTTCAGTGTGGAGCCAGGTACTGCACGGTCAAATGTCTGGGGACACACCAGGATACCAGGTATGTGATACGCAGCTCAAACGGAACTCTTGATCTGTTATAGTGTATGTGATACGCAGCTCAAAGGGTAACACATGATCTCTTATAGTGTATGTGATACGCAGCTCAAACGGAACTCTTGATCTCTTATAGTGTATGTGATACGCAGCTCAAAGGGTAACACATGATCTCTTATAGTGTATGTGATACGCAGCTCAAACGGAACTCTTGATCTGTTATAGTGTATGTGATACGCAGCTCAAAGGGGAACACGTGATCTCTTATAGTGTATGTGATACGTAGCTCAAAGGGGAACACTTGATCTCTTATAGTGTATGTGATACGTAGCTCAAAGGGGAACACTTGATCTCTTATAGTGTATGTGATACGCAGCTCAAAGGGGAACACGTGATCTCTTATAGTGTATGTGATACGTAGCTCAAACGGAACTCTTGATCTGTTATAGTGTATGTGATACGTAGCTCAAAGGGGAACACTTGATCTCTTATAGTGTATGTGATACGTAGCTCAAACGGAACTCTTGATCTGTTATAGTGTATGTGATACGTAGCTCAAAGGGGAACACTTGATCTCTTATAGTGTATGTGATACGTAGCTCAAAGGGGAACACGTGATCTCTTATAGTGTATGTGATACGTAGCTCAAAGGGGAACACTTGATCTCTTATACTGTATGAGCCGACCCGCGGCGTATCATACGCTGCTATTTGTTTTTTTTTCTACTTTTTAGTATTTCATAATTTGTGAATTCGACAGTACCAATGCTGCCACTGAAAATATTTGCTTTAAAACACTAACACCCCCCCCCCCCCCCCCCGTGAAAGCAACCTCCTCTTAGTTACCTCCTCTAAGTTTAAAATCGTTTCAAACTAAATTATCTGCCCCTAATAACCGTCACTAAACCCGGCTCCACGAATGTAAACAGACCATGTAGGGGTGGGGTGGTAGGGAGCGCGTTTACAGCTTGTTTTCTAGATGTGATACGCAGTTCAAAGGGGAACACTTGATCTCTTATAGTGTACGAGCCGACCCACGGCGTATCATACGCCGCTATTTAGTTGTTTTTTCTACTGTGAAAGCAGCCTTCTCTTAGTTACCGCCTCTAAGTTTAAAATCGTTTCAAACTAAATTATCTGCCCCTAATAGCCGTCACCAAACCCGGCTCTACGATTGTTTTGTAAACATTTAGCGTGAACCACAGCTCACCTGACCATGTGAGGGGGTGGGGGTGGTAGCGATAGAGAGGGGACTGCAAGGCGCGCTTGCAGCTTGTTTTCTAATGTCTCCCAGAAGAAAATTATATATATAGATGTGATACGCAGTTCAAAGGGGAACTCTTGATCTCTTATAGTGCATGTGATGATGGAATACTTGATCTGTTATTATTGTGGATCTTTAGTTCACCCATCTTTAATTTCCACTTTTTTTTCTCAAACTGATCAGTTGCACTATCCCGTGTTCTAGACTATTTAAGCCAAACTTCTAAATGTCCCATAACACAGCCCACCATTAAGCTGGTCCTATTAATCCTGACTCATTAACCAGCTAATCATCATTAATTAAACACATTTCCAAAAAATGTTTTTCAGGTGCCTGAAATACACAGCATAAAAGATCTTGGGATGTTCTTTAGTGTAATAATGTAAGCGCACCATGATGGATGTGACTTGACTGTCCTATCACACATGATAGATGACCAGTGGACATCTCTGACCAGACCTAAGTGCAATAAGTGGTCAAGTAGGCCATTATAGAAAACAAGCCAACAGCCACACTGACAAACATGAAATGACAAAAAATCTTTTGATATTTTTTATTTTTTTTTCCAACTCATTTTGAAAATAAATTTGAGTAGCCAATACAAACAGTGATATTTATGGCTTGTATATGTCATGTGATGAGTCATCTAGATAAAACCTGAAACGTGCAGTATGAAAAACTTTTTTTTTCTTTTTAATCAAGGGGGATAATCAAGTTTTTTTTTTTAATATGTACAATATGGTCAACTATCGTATGTACATCTTATGGTGGATAACAATAACATTTGACTATAGGATTATATTTTTTTTTTAAAAACCTCTAAACAGTAAACCTGCAGTTTAGACAAGTCACATGGGATGAATCTGGCACTTTGTTTCTATGCTTTTAAAATTACCAAACTGACATCACAGGTTAGGCTGATGTTAGAAAAAAAAAAGCAAAAATGAATGCAATGATGATAATGAGGGGAAAATTGCATAATGGTATTCGTTTAAGTATGCAAGATCTTGCATGGTCTTACAAGTTTTCCAAGGGGGGATTACTCCGAAGGTGTTGGCGAAAAGTCCTGAATGAAGGGAGAAACCTTTTGGAATGTAATGACATAGCTTGGGGTCTGCATAGTGAGAGCTATTGCTAGACTAGGCTGGACTCAGCACAATTCATACAGTGGAACAATACTAAAGATTCGAAATCAAAGAAACCAAATGTTTTACTTAGTGCCATTTCATGGGCCGTTTACATGTGGGATACAGTTTTACAAGATACATCAGCCATTTTGAATTTCTGGCCAGTTATGTACAAAGTCTGTATCAGATTAAATATAATGATCAACTCATTATTTACACTTATCTATCCAAATATGGTTATTCAAGGTCGAGGGTGCCCTGGGGGTGTGTCTCCGATATCGTGCTACCCCCTTACTTACACCAGGTGAGGAAAACAAAAGGCCAACCTCAGTAACATGTGCTGTCAAGCCCATCAATGATTTGTAATGAGAGATGAAAAATTACAAACATAACCATTGGCCTTCAAGGACAAACTGGTTACACAAAGCATAAATATGATGTACGTCAAACACTGATATGCATCAAATATTTGAAGATATAAAAACTGTGAATGAACAAGGTGTAGTGACGTTAAAATCTGAATGTTCACAATAATACTTTTTGAAAATTATTTTTTTAAAATATATTCTAACAATGAAATATAATTTTTAACAACAAATTGACAATTTACTTACAAAACCATAAAAGAAAACCTTATTGTGCATGTTTTGTGTTAATTTCATAATAAATTCCTTAAATTAGATAACCTAAGAAAACTACATCCAAAAACATCAGCTGTCTTAGTCAAGACACCCCCTATTTAAAAACTAAATGTTTAGCTAAAAAATTCACTTCTGACATAATTTTAATTGCAGCAATAGCATTCTGGTAACTATGCACTAAGATTATTTTAAAATAAACTGAAATTATTGACTAATGTTCTCCACCCACAAACCACAATTCTAGCCAAAGTGCTGCCCATAACAAGGAAGGATACATGCAACATTTGGTGCCACATGTCACCCTAAAACAGCAAGCTGTTCCAGACTTAGAAAAACAGGACAGGTGGAAAAAAAACATGACCTTTGTGGAGGGGAGGTGACAATGATACAAAGGGAGAGAAACCATACTGTTTCAACATTTCTATACCCAAAAATACAATTATTGTACACAAATATTTTTATTCAAGTCTTCCATGCAGTGTTAACATTGGTAATCAAATAAAAACAATTTAAGTAATGCACAATCACTGTTATCACCTGAATGCTAACAAGTTTTTCAGCAGTTGTCTGTCAACAAGAGAACAAGTAACGGCCAATTTCACTCTTTAAACTATTCCGTTGTCTAGGAAAAAATCTCATATCACAACCTTCCATATAGTTTGAAAAAAAAAAGATTTTGTAAAATTACAAAATAAAATTGAGAATGTTTTCACCTTGCATAGAGAGTATCACTTAACAACTTCTTATATGAGTCTGAACAAAAAAAAAATCAACCCAGGAACATGCACTCCTGCTTTAAAATTTTTTAAAATGATCTCAATTACCAAAAAAAATAATTTCAGTTTAATTTCATGTGCATAGAGGTATTGATTCAAGGACAGATATCACAAAACAAGGTAAAAATAATCCATTACTTAAATGCAGTAATTTCATCAAACATTAAAATACATACATTCACTCTTTTTTTTTTAATAATTAAACATTACAACCCTTTTTATTCTACAATTTATTCACAGTAGTCACCCCTTTTAAACTCAACATTATCTCTTGATACAAAAGAGTGGGGCAAAAAGAAAAACAAAATTAATAAACAACATGGTAACAATCAAATATGAAGAGTAAAAAAATAGAATGTATATATTTGTATATATATATATATATATAGGTCTTACTTTAATAAATATGTATATTTAATGTAGTATTTCAATGTGAATGCTGATGATGAAATGCACAACCATACTGACTGCCCCACTCTTCCATACTACCAGGGTGAGTTTAAAAAAGTCAAACAGTGTCACATAGGACAAATTACCATTTAGTTCTCTCCTTTATAAAAATATGAGTAAACTTGACTACATAAAACCACCTCTCAGAGTGGCAACATTTACCTACAAAATTGGGCCAGTTGGCCTCTTTAAAGAATAAAACATAATTCAGTATAAAAGTTACAATTTGATGGTATCTGTAGAGTGGTGATAGCTGGATGATGATGGTATTTGTATGATGGTGACAGCTAAATGATGGTGATGGTATCTGTATGATGGTGATAGCTAAATGATAGTGATGGTATCTGTATGATGGTGATAGCTAAATGATAGTGATGGTATTTGTATGATGGTGATAGCTAAATGATAGTGATGGTATCTGTATGATGGTGATAGCTAAATGATGGTGATGGTATCTGTATGATGGTGATAGCTAAATGATGGTGATGGTATCTGTATGATGGCCTTTATCTCACAACCATGTTAAAGGGTTTTCTTTGTTGCCTAAAACTTTTTCCACATCTTTTAGAAGTTCACTGCTGAGCTCCTCCTGAAATAATCAAGTTTTAGGGTCAGATGAAATGGGGTCAGTCAAGTTTTAGGGTCAGATGAAACTGGGGTCAGGTGAAACTGGGGTCAGTCAAGTTTTAGGGTCAGATGAAACTGGGGTCAGTCAAGTTTTAGGGTCAGATGAAACTGGGGTCAGTCAAGTTTTAGGGTCAGATGAAACTGGGGTCAGTCAAGTTTTAGGGTCAGATGAAACTGGGGTCAGTCAAGTTTTAGGGTCAGATGAAACTGGGGTCAGTCAAGTTTTAGGGTCAGATGAAACTGGGGTCAGTCAAGTTTTAGGGTCAGATGAAACTGGGGTCAGTCAAGTTTTAGTGTCAGATGAAACTGGGGTCAGTCAAGTTTTAGGGTCAGATGAAACTGGGGTCAGTCAAGTTTTAGGGTCAGATGAAACTGGGGTCAGTCAAGTTTTAGGGTCAGATGAAACTGGGGTCAGTCAAGTTTTAGGGTCAGATGAAACTGGGGTCAGTCAAGTTTTAGGGTCAGATGAAACTGGGGTCAGTCAAGTTTTAGGGTCAGATGAAACTGGGGTCAGTCAAGTTTTAGTGTCAGGTGAAACTGGGGTCAGTCAAGTTTTAGGGTCAGATGAAACTGGGGTCAGTCAAGTTTTAGGGTCAGATGAAACTGGGGTCAGTCAAGTTTTAGGGTCAGATGAAACTGGGGTCAGTCAAGTTTTAGGGTCAGATGAAACTGGTGACAAGGTGGTGGGACATGACACTGAAGGTGCCACATACTGATGTGACATGACACTGAAGGTGCCACATACTGATGTGACATGACACTGAAGGTGCCACATACTGATGTGACATGACACTGAAGGTGCCACATACTGATGTGACATGACACTGAAGGTGCCACATACTGATGTGACATGATACTGAAGGTGCCACATACTGATGTGACATGACACTGAAGGTGCCACATACTGATGTGACATGACACTGAAGGTGCCACATACTGATGTGACATGACACTGAAGGTGCCACATACTGATGTGACATGACACTGAAGGTGCCACATACTGATGTGACATGACACTGAAGGTGCCACATACTGATGTGACATGACACTGAAGGTGCCACATACTGATGTGACATGACACTGAAGGTGCCACATACTGATGTGACATGACACTGAAGGTGCCACATACTGATGTGACATGACACTGAAGGTGCCACATACTGATGTGACACGACACTGAAGGTGCCACATACTGATGTGACACGACACTGAAGGTGCCACATACTGATGTGACATGACACTGAAGGTGCCACATACTGCTGTGACATGACACTGAAAGTGCCACATACTGATGTGACATGACACTGAAGGTGCCACATACTGATGTGACATGACACTGAAGGTGCCACATACTGATGTGACATGACACTGAAGGTGCCACATACTGATGTGACATGACACTGAAGGTGCCACATACTGATGTGACATGACACTGAAGGTGCCACATACTGATGTGACATGACACTGAAGGTGCCACATACTGATGTGACATGACACTGAAGGTGCCACGTACTGATGTGACATGACACTGAAGGTGCCACATACTGATGTGACAATCATCCCCATCAGGCTGGAAGGAATACTTAACCCTTTAACTCCTAATGGCGCCAAACAATTTTTTCTAGTGTTGGTGCACAGATGTTTCTAATTTTAATTGTTATTTATTACATCAAAAACTCTCCAGTTAGTAAAAAAAAAGATATTTAACTTCTGTATTTTCACCTATGAGAAATTTTAAAAATGTTTTGACATTGACTATTGAGGCATCACTGAATGTTTATGGATGGCTGTGGACTAAGTTATAATGGGGACACAATTGTGGACTAAGTTATAATGGGGACACAATTGTGGACTAAGTTATAATGGGGACACAATTGTGGACTAAGTTATAATGGGGACACAATTGTGAACTAAGTTATAATGGGGACACAATTGTGGACTAAGTTATAATGGGGACACATATAATTTAGAAGAAAATAAATAATAGTCGTGATAATTAAATTTAGTTTAGCAGATAAGAAGATGATGTGCAGTAGTGTGAAATATTTCTAAAGATGGATATTGCTAATGAGTTTGTAGTAGAGCTCCTCTTAGCCATTATGGTGAGACATGCTTGCTGTTGCTGCATTTAGTGAATTTTTTCTGTGCTAAACTAAGAGCAAGAAAACAAAAGACCTCTTATATTGAAATAATATTTTGTCCATTTTACGATTGTTTTAAAAAAAGTAGGTTCATCATTAAAAAGTTTTAATTATTGTGAGATGCTTAAAATCTCAGTGTAGTTTGAAGCTATCTTTTAAAGAGAAGTGCCAGTTTTCTTAGGATTTAGAAATAGACAAATGCATCTTGGGCTAGGAGTCAAAGGTTAAGTATCCTTTATTTACTGGTAAAAGAGTAGAAAAAAGAATACAAACTTGTAAGCTGGGCACCAAATCATCAGAGTCCATATTCAAATGATCTCCCACATCACCACCCATATCCATGCTGCCGAAATCTGATTGCCCTTGGAGTTTGGGGCCTGGGAAAATAGACACAGTTCAGGTAAGCTAATCAAGGTATACTGCATGGGAAATAAGGGAGTGTTAGCTACCATAGGTAAGTATACTATAGCTGGTTGCAGGAAATTTTTTAAATTATTAAAATGACAAAATAATGACAGGTTTGTATTAGGGGGACTAAATGCTGCTAAATGATACTAAACTTATGTTTATAAATGTTCAAATTAGTATTTTTTAAATTCATTGATAACTGCATGGAGTATCTCTACCAAGGTAATAACTTTTTAAATTTAAACATGGCCTATTAAAAATTATTTAAATAAAAATAGACCACTGACTAGATTCAATAATTTAAATCCAACATCATAGTAGTAGTAAAAAAAAAGGAAACTGGCTGAGTAAAAAACAAAAATAAACATTCCTGATTCCTCGTTAGATAACCAAACATAGCTGGAGCAAAACAAATTTCAACATTATCAAGAATCAAGTATTTCACACAACTACGTAGAAAGACGCTAGACACATGGGTTTTTGTCCGACTTTGGCCTCCCGTTTTAAATACCAAATCTTGTCACCTTGTTTTGTATGTGAGGGACAGTTAGGGTGTGGGATGACCTACGGTCACCAGCCCGGGTACTAAACTATTGGTATAGCTAGCATGCTGGACCAAGCCGTCTAGTTGTGATAACATTTTTAAAAAGATTGTGGAGTACGAGGTCTGGAGCAAACGTCTGACAATAATGAGGATAAGCTGGGGGGGCCGGGGGGGGGGGGGGGGGGGGGCCTGTAAAAAAGTGTGACTATTTGTGGACAATGAAGGGTATACTTTTAAAATGTAATATTTGAAAAGATTTAACTCAACAAGAGCAACCCAATTAGCACCAGACAGCAATATCATTGCTCTAAAATCTTGCATTCAGAAAGCCTTCCCCCCCCCCCCTCATTATTTAAGTGTAAATGGGTATCAAGCACATAAATATAGAATAGGCCTTTGTCTACAAGGGTGTGTTTTATCCTTCAGCAAGATAAACTAATAGGATATGAAATAGAAGTCTACTCAGTGAATTTAATCAACCACTGTTCAATTAATAATTTCCACCTTTGGCTTATAATGTTTAAGACAGCTTAGAATACATTTTAAATTGGCCTAAAGGTCTAATAATATAATACAAATATCACGGAATACAAAAGCTAGTGAAAATGTCAAGCAGAAACTAAGAAGATGGGTGAAAATAACATTAAAAATCTATTGAGTCCCACTAAGCCTGAATGTTTCCTTATTTTCATTGATATAAATAACAATGGATATAGCTATTTATCAATATCTATACTGTTCTTGACTTTTAAGATTTAAAGCGTTAAGACAAAGCTGATTTTCGTAGTTAAAAATCAAACTAAAAATCATAGTCTCACTCAAGTCGAAGCTAGTGTCATTATTTTTAGTTTTAAATGAATCTTTTTATGACGGACCATAATTTCAACTGTGTGATGAGCTATCGTATCAGATTTTTTTTTTGTCACAAAAGGTTTAGAACCTGTGACATCATATTTTTTATTTACTTGTGCAACTAGCTAGTATACTATAATGTAATTAACTCATTCCCTCCTAAGCCCCCACTTCCAGTTTACAAACCCATTCCTGACCTAAGGGAAGCAACTTCGTTTTTTATAACATGTATTTTAAAAAAAATTTTTTTTACTTTCTAATCATTAATCAATTCAATATTACAAAGACGATTGCACTCAGAAATGGACAAACTTTTATATAAACATAACAATACTGACATAACAACATAAAACAACAGCATAAAAAACAAGGAAACTCAACAAAAATTGTACAAGTAACATTTATTCAACCCAAAAATCACAGCTAGAACCACGTTTTGAAAGTGAACCAAACAAGATAAAAACTTCCGGTTTTTAAATTGAAATCTCGTGGATTCTCGCTACTACATGGTTACCGGTTCTAATCTCGGGCATGTGCGATTTCATTATCTAGTTGAAAAGAAAAGTAGGGGGGTGTGGCCAGACGCATTTAGACGCATCAGGCGGAACCCCCCGAGGACGCATTTAGTCGCATCCGGCGGGAATGAGTTAAGGGAGCATACTCCACTAAAACTACAAGAGAAAGTACTAAAATAACCTACAACATCAAACTACAAGGGAGTATACTCCACTGAAACTACAATGTTGTGTCCCCTTGTGAAACCTACCCCCATCTTGTGTGTCCATATCTTCCATGTTCCCGAGGAAGTCATCAGGTGTCCTAGGCAGGCTGTAGCTTGTTCCCATCCCACCTACAGTACACAAGTCAATCATTACAACACTAACAAATACAACTGTAATTAGAGTCAATAGTTATTTAATTCATTTTACTTTTCTTTTAATTGAGGTTTACCATTGAACTTTTATGTACTGAATAGAGTTAAGCCACTAAACTATAAGACCTGTCGTAAGTGGTGATCCGACACAAACATATTCTTACCCAAGCCACTGTCACCACTCTCCTGTCGTGAGTGGTGATCAGACGTCCCTGTCTGCCCAAAAAATGGGTCTGCCACTGTGCTCATTTCACTGGGCTGAGTTAGGTCACCAGTTTCACCAACTTGGGCTCGTAGAGCCATTTCCTACACAAGAACAGTTAGAAATTAGGTTCTTAGAGCCATTTCCTACACAAGAACAGTTAGAAATTAGGTGCTACAGCAATCTCCTAAACAAACAGAAACTAGACTCTTAGAGCTATTTCCTGTAAATAGTTATAGATTAACCATTCAAGCCTTTTCCTAAACAGTTATAAATTAGGCTCACACAGCCATTGTCTAAACAAATAAGTACAGAAAATTGAGGGGCTGTGTTGCACATTTCCCAAGCTAAAATAAATGTGAGAAAGCAACCTGTCTGGCGATCTCGTCCTGTCTTTTCTTGAGTATCTCCTGCTCTATCTGCAGCTGCTGTAGCTTGAGCTGTTTGAGCTGCTCTTGTTGAGATGGACCGCTGGCTTGCTGCAGCTTCATCCCTGGCTTTTGTAAATGGGTTGCTGAAATCATTGGCAAACACAGGTAAAGAGAACCATCTAGTAGTGGCAAGTATAAGGTGGTAAATGTCTTGTTGCTGGTCTAGAAACACAGCAGTGTCCACTGGTTTAAAGAGGTGGTGGGGTTATTCCCTTGTAATGTGGATATCATTTGATGGTATGGATGCTATTTAGTGATAAAATAATTTCATCAGAGACTAGAATTGCAGTAGCCATCTCATTACTGCCTATTCCTCTGTACTGGATTTATTTCAATAACTCAGTACATACAAGTCATGAAATCTAGGCAAATCTTCAAGTAATTCCAATAACTTAGGGCTCAATTAATATTCTAGTTCATATAAAATACATGGTACATTTAAAAAGGTGCAGTTTGCGTAGTGTACCATGCCATGCACATACTAAATGTACTGAAATGAAAACCTGAATTTCAGAGTATCATCCCCCCCCCCCCCTGGAGAAAAAAGTCTGGAAGAAACACTATTGAACTTGTGTAAGGTTATATTGAAATTTTGTGGGTATATGCATGTAAACTTACGTATGGAGGGATGAAACCAACTCGTGGTGCGGTCAATATGGTTGATGAAATAAACCTCGTAGTCAGCTGTATAAGCCCTCTCCCACCCGGGAGGTAGAGGAACTTTGTCCACATTCATGGGCGTCGTGGCCTGGCTGGTTGGTGTGCCGGCTGGTGAGGAACTGTTGAGGTTGCTTGTGGTAGTGTTATTGTTGTTGTTGCTGCTGTTGCTGGAGACTGGGTTAACTGTACTGTGAGTTTTGCGCGGGTCATTCCAGGTTGTGATTTGTAACACATGGCTGGTCAAAGAGAAAGGAATATTTCTAGGAAAAATTATAACAAATGCGAAGTATATTAATACATTTATTTTCTACATATTCTGTGAATCTTCTTTTAAAGCTCTTAAAAACATATAACTTTGTAGAATGTCCTAAATGATTATATATATATATATATATATATATATATATATATATATATATAAAAACAGAGAGCCCACCATGGAAGTAACAAAATCTGAACCATGGTTAAAACTTCTCAATTAGAATATCAATGTGGTGTTTAAAAGTAAAGAAATACAGCCTTTTACCCCCCCCCCCCCCCCACCCACCCACTTAATAAGCATCTGATTGTAAGAGAAATGTAGCTTGTTTCTTGACCCCCCCCCCCCCCCCCCCCCTGCCGTAAATGCAAGATATTTTTAATGCATTTTTAACAAAACAAATTTGCTTGTAAGCTATAGTTAAAACTTCTTAAACAAAAACTTTTTTTTAAATTTCCGTCTTACATGATTAGGTGCACCAAAATATTTAGGATGCAAAGGAACAAAACAAAATTAATGCAAAATTTTTAAAAACTCAAGAGAATAAACCGGGAGTGATCTCCCCTAAACTTTCTCGAATATTCTTATATAAAATAACAGGGGATGGGAACTCGGGCTATAGACTTCTAGACATGATTTTTAATCCATTTTAAATACTTAAAGTTTTAAAAATAGAATAAAATCTCGTAGACAAATTAATTGCACACCAAGTGAACGCGAATAAAAAAGCGCATAATAGTGCGCAATATTATTAGTACTTTTAAAATTTACATTAGTTTTTTGAGAAATCGGAAGTAGCGTAAATAAGTACTTCCGGTCAACGAAAAATTCTCAAAATTTGACAGAAGGTAGAGAATTAGATCTTTTACTTACATATCAAATTTCATTTATCTATCTGAAATAGTACTCAAGTTATAGGCTTTTGAAAAATTCAAAGTAGAAAAAGTACCACTTCCGGTTATCCGAAATCGCTCAAAAGTTGATACGGATCTACGATTTTGATAAAATACTTGTATATGAAATTTCATCAACCTAGCTGTAACGGTACTCAAGTTATCGTGTTTACACACGGACACACACACACACACACACACACACACACAGACACACAGACATACGGACAAGATTGCAAAATTATGTTTTTCCGTATCAGTGAGATGTAAAACGTCGAGATTTGCAAAAATCTCGATTTTTTTTTTTTTGCACGATTACAAGACTTTCTCTATACTTCGTATATACGAGAAAGTAAAAAACTGTCTGGCCACTGTTGACATGAACAAGGGAAGTCACTCTCAAAGTGTCTGCATTACCTTGATGTTTGTTGGACACAAGTTCCATATTGTTGAAGACAAAGAGAAAGTAGAAAGACAGGAAATGTTTACCCAAAAACTAGCACAGGAAAGCTGGGAGGATTAAAGAGGGGGAAACAAAGGGAAAACCTGACATGGAGATTAAGATTGGGAAATTCCAGAAAAAATCTTTTGTTTGATGAAACAAGAGCTGTGTAGTGTGTGGGCCTACAAGAGAAGCTGTCCTACATACAAGTGGGACATCAATCAGTCACTGCTGATACAAATTTCTATTCTTCTTAAACACAGTCTAAAGATGAAGTAACAAGGTCTTATTTACCTAAAATTATCAGATAAAAATAACTGAATTATAGTTATTAAAAAAAAAAATGAAGTTTTAGATGTCTAACAATACTCAATTATGCAATTTTTTAAAGGAAAAAACCATTCATTCCTCCATTAAAAGCTGGTTAGAGGTTAGCCATACTTTTCCATATCATGTAAAATAAGGGGGAAAAAATCCAGCCTATTTTGCTAAACTCCTAGTTGAAGCTGTGAATATTTTAAACTAGAAATAAATGGTCCATTGAGCGAGAAATACAACGGGCGCTAGGTTGATAGTGTTGTCTTGTTCTCTAATCCAAAACCAAAACCACCGCCTCAACATTAAATTTAACTGGAAATAAAAATTGTAATTGAAAAAGGACTTTATCCAGAATCTGCAATGTATTTTGTAACCATATTCAGAAATCTAAAAGAAACTGCACACAAACCTCTTTTAGGATAAGTCAAATAAATTAGGCAGTAATGTCAGTGTCTTTATTATGGAGTATTGTTGATGTCATTATTATTGCGTATTTTTTCAGCATTGGCTTTTTAATTCTATGTTTACTCTAGAATCAATAATGTCATTTTATTGTGTGTACTTTACATCTGTACATATTTCGTTTTGCTTTAAAAATTTCCTATATGTTCCATGTGATGTCACAGTAGTGAGAAGTTTTGTTTTTTGTTTGACTGTGAAAGTTTTTACTTTCCATGTTTTCTCTAGAGCATTCCTCACACAGTGACAGAATAACTATTTTAATGTTTGCCATAAAAAAATATGTGATAAGTTAATTTATTGCACCTTCTTACCAACCTGTTTCATTAATTAAAAGAATAATATAGATGAAAAACATAAGTAAATTAATAACTTGGATGAGATAACTGTCAACAAAGCCCCCCCCCCCCCCCATCGTCTGAGAATAAATTGATAACACCTCTTGTGAGCCACAGAAAATACTAGCCAGGAGAGCTTAGTTTAGCAGAGTAGCCATTTAAAATAGTCTTTTAAAAAAGAACTTCCTAGTTTAAATTGACAAGTGAACTTGGTATCAACGTAAAGGGAAACAAAAATGTAGCGTTGAATTAGGTCTAGTTTAACAAAAATTTAGTTTGAGATCCCGTGCAACAGCCAAAGTGCAGGGTTGGGGCAGCTAATACAAGACTTGTTCTAATTTATGTTGGTGCAGCTAATACAAGACTTGTTCTAATTTATGTTGGTGCAGCTAATACAAGACTTGTTCTAATTTATGTTGGTGCAGCTAATACAAGACTTGTTCTAATTTATGTTGGTGCAGTAATACAAGACTTGTTCTAATTTATGTTGGTGCAGTAATACAAGACTTGTTCTAATTTATGTTGGGGCAGCTAATACAAGACTTGTTCTAATTTATGTTGGGGCAGCTAATACAAGACTTGTTCTAATTTATGTTGGTGCAGCTAATACAAGACTTGTTCTAATTTATGTTGGTGCAGCTAATACAAGACTTGTTCTAATTTATGTTGGGGCAGCTAATACAAGACTTGTTCTAATTTATGTTGGTGCAGCTAATACAAGACTTGTTCTAATTTATGTTGGTGCAGCTAATACAAGACTTGTTCTAATTTATGTTGGTGCAGTAATACAAGACTTGTTCTAATTTATGTTGGGGCAGCTAATACAAGACTTGTTCTAATTTATGTTGGTGCAGCTAATACAAGACTTGTTCTAATTTATGTTGGTGCAGCTAATACAAGACTTGTTCTAATTTATGTTGGTGCAGCTAATACAAGACTTGTTCTAATTTATGTTGGTGCAGCTAATACAAGACTTGTTCTAATTTATGTTGGTGCAGCTAATACAAGACTTGTTCTAATTTATGTTGGGGCAGCTAATACAAGACTTGTTCTAATTTATGTTGGGGCAGCTAATACAAGACTTGTTCTAATTTAAGTTGGGCAGCTAATACAAGACTTGTTCTAATTTATGTTGGTGCAGCTAATACAAGACTTGTTCTAATTTATGTTGGGGCAGCTAATACAAGACTTGTTCTAATTTATGTTGGTGCAGCTAATACAAGACTTGTTCTAATTTATGTTGGGGCAGCTAATACAAGACTTGTTCTAATTTATGTTGGTGCAGCTAATACAAGACTTGTTCTAATTTATGTTGGTGCAGCTAATACAAGACTTGTTCTAATTTATGTTGGTGCAGCTAATACAAGACTTGTTCTAATTTATGTTGGGGCAGCTAATACAAGACTTGTTCTAATTTATGTTGGGGCAGCTAATACAAGACTTGTTCTAATTTATGTTGGTGCAGCTAATACAAGACTTGTTCTAATTTATGTTGGTGCAGTAATACAAGACTTGTTCTAATTTATGTTGGTGCAGCTAATACAAGACTTGTTCTAATTTATGTTGGGGCAGCTAATACAAGACTTGTTCTAATTTAAGTTGGGCAGCTAATACAAGACTTGTTCTAATTTATGTTGGGGCAGCTAATACAAGACTTGTTCTAATTTATGTTGGTGCAGCTAATACAAGACTTGTTCTAATTTATGTTGGTGCAGCTAATACAAGACTTGTTCTAATTTATGTTGGTGCAGCTAATACAAGACTTGTTCTAATTTATGTTGGTGCAGATAATACAAGACTTGTTCTAATTTATGTTGGTGCAGCTAATACAAGACTTGTTCTAATTTATGTTGGTGCAGCTAATACAAGACTTGTTCTAATTTATGTTGGGGCAGCTAATACAAGACTTGTTCTAATTTAAGTTGGGCAGCTAATACAAGACTTGTTCTAATTTATGTTGGGGCAGCTAATACAAGACTTGTTCTAATTTATGTTGGTGCAGCTAATACAAGACTTGTTCTAATTTAAGTTGGGCAGCTAATACAAGACTTGTTCTAATTTATGTTGGTGCAGCTAATACAAGACTTGTTCTAATTTAAGTTGGGCAGCTAATACAAGACTTGTTCTAATTTATGTTGGGGCAGCTAATACAAGACTTGTTCTAATTTATGTTGGGGCAGCTAATACAAGACTTGTTCTAATTTATGTTGGTGCAGCTAATACAAGACTTGTTCTAATTTATGTTGACTAAAGATTTGAAAATACTTGTAACAATTTTTGTGTTGACCGAGACTTAACAGCATGTGTACATAAGAATCACAAACAAGACTTGTGTTATCTTAAATCAACAAGCATTTATTTCATCTCACCATCATTTACTTTACTATATTTTGTACACTTTTAAAAGGGCCCATCAAGTATACAGGTGTTGCCTGTAGAAATAATTTACCTCAAACTACACTGTGAGAAGCCCTTAACCTCCCCCCTAAACACTAAGTTTAGACAGTAGTCTATACCTACAACAGATTCACATACCCCACTATACCTACAACAGATTCACATACCCCACTATACCTACAACAGATTCACATACCCCACTATACCTACAACAGATTCACATACCCCACTATACCTACAACAGATTCACAAGCCCTACAGTACAGTGGTTAACAAGCATGGTCAATGGAGTTTCTGTTATCTGATAATTTATAAAAGAAAACAGCAACAACTTTAAACCGCGTATTTCTGGAGGGGTTAGGTATAATTGTTAGGGGTCATCCATAAATGACGTCACGCTTTTTGGGACGATTTTTACCTCCCCCCTCCCCTCCGTCACAAAAAGCCAGACCCCCCCCCCTCTAAAATGAGGTCACACCTCAGCCTACAACCCCCCCCCCCCCCCCTCAAAATTGCAGTTGATTTTTTTTAAACATCGATATTTTTCTAAAATCTTGTCTGAACTCTATCAAAATAGAGTGTTTTAATCAATTACTATAACAATTTATTAAAACAGTTTTCTAAAACGCGAAATAACGTCTAAAATTCGTTTTCAAACATTGCTTTTTTTATAATGCAAAAGTGTGACGTCGCACCATCTGAACCCCCTCCCCCTCATTACACACCGTCACAAAATTCCGCCCCCCCCCTCCCCCCTACGAGTGTGACGTCATTATGGAGACCCCTTACTGCGTTGTTTGTCGAGTTATGGGCGTATGGTGTTAGTGGGGAGGGGTAGAGATAGGTAGAAAGTAGAGCCGCATCAATCAGTGTAAGCCAAACGGCACGCAGTCCTCAGAAACTGCTGCTAGTGTTGATCGAATACTATTTTTACCCTTAATTCCAAGCAAATTTTTCGATAAGCAATGCATTTAATTACTAGTGATAGTAGCAATGTGTGATTGTTAAAAATCCCAGCAACTGATCAAGCAACTAGCTGGGTCTTATCTTGATCTACTATGAGTTTCATGCGTGTATAAAGAATCTACAACAGGTTGGTCTTCTAAAAATAGCAACAGCTCGCTGGGTGTGCTGACCCACTGACCAAAGCTGGAAAAAAATGTGACGACAACGCTATCGCATGAGTGAGATGTGTAGAGGCCAGCACAGGGAATTGGGGACATTCGTGACGTTGGGACCCACCAGCGCGATACTGCGGGCGATACCGGCACGATCCTACTGGCCTTCCGGTGACTAAACTAGTAGTTAGCGACATCTTGGATCAAACGTCACGTGCTGCTGTCGACCACACCGACCTTAAATGCAAACATTTGAACAAGCAGCGCTAAACATCGAAAACACCAAAAAAACAGTTTTACTATACTCATATACTGACATTAACTATAACAATGTGGCGTTGAAAACTGCCAACGCAACGCTCAGCAATCTCGGACTTTCATAGCGCATAAATCACATAATCGTATCATAATATAATGGAGGGTAGTTAATATTATTGATGTGAACTAGATCTAAATCATGGTAGGGGGGAAAGGGTACTTATGTTATAAACTTGAAAGGTGTATTAGAAAAAAAAATTATGTCCCTTTGCATTGGACATAACTGACCTTACGCTTTTTTCTTTACTCCTTCCCTCCCGCTAACAAAGTTTGGGTTACCTCCCCTTTAGGATGACGTTTATGGACGACCTCCATTACATAAGTTATACATCGTATCAATGACGTTACACTTCTATCAACACGCACACCAAAATGTGATAACTACCATATACTGTCATATACCAGTGTAATGTACTGCCAGTTTACAAAGTACTGCCATCTACTAGTGTACTGACATCTACCAGTGTAATGACATCTACTGACATCTACCAGTGTACTGACATCTACTAGTGTACTGATGAGCCACAAAAACAAGGTGTGACCAACCTGAAGAGACAAATTACCTTTTCACATCTCTTCAAATTGTGGGTTTCACCTGCTGCTCAGACCCTATCTCCAAACTCAATCTAGGGATCTATGGAGTCCCAGGCATCCATGTGGACCCAGGCATCCATGGGGACCCAGGCATCCATAGGGACCCAGGCATCCATAGGGACCCAGGCATCCATAGGGACCCAGGCATCCATAGGGACTCAGGCATCCATAGGGATCCAGGCATCCATAGGGACCCAGGCATCTATTTTTTTCTATGTGGACCCAGGCATCTATGTGGACCCAGGCATCCATAGGGATCCAGGCATCTATGTGGACCCAGGCATCTATTTTTTTCTATGTGGACCCAGGCATCTATGTGGATCCAGGCATCTATGTGGATCCAGGCATCTATGTGGATCCAGGCATCTATGTGGACCCAGGCATCTATGTGGATCCAGGCATCTATGTGGATCTAGGCATCTATGTGGATCTAGGCATCTATGTGGATCCAGGCATCTATGGGACTCCATAGATCACATCAATTTTTTAAATAATTTTCAGCTCCTCCCTCCACATTAAGATAGACAAATACATTTTAATGAGTAAGGAGGACGTTTTTTTTTAATTTAAAGTTTCAGCGATTCATTATGTTGTCCAAGCCACGATTTATTCTACAACACTATTGATGAAAGTATGATGCCCATAACACAACTGACCATAGTATAATGCCCATACCATGACTGACCAACATAGGATAATGTCCTAAAAATAACACAGAACAGGAGTTCTGTCAGACTATAGCTGCGCTACAACATAAATGCACAACCAATATGGAATGAAGTCTGAGACTAAAAACAGGCAGTTATAAATTATTTGATAACTTGATACATGATACATTCACTTCTGATAAAATAATCATATAAATTATTTTTGCCAAATTATAAGGACTTGTTTCAGCGCTGCATATTAATAAAATTGTATAGAATTTATAAAAACCATGTGTGTCACTGGTAAAGTGGAAAAACAATTATGGTAACCCTAGATCACATTTACTGGCAACTATAAACAAACAATTTTTTACAATTTTTTAGACTAATACTTCTAAATGTTCAACAACGATTACATCCAGTAAGATTAATACTGTCTTAAATAATTATAATTGGTAAATGTAAACAGAACTGGTTTTTGGCTATGGCATGTCACAAGCTTTAAGCTACACCATCACAAAAGATTTTGGCTACACAATGGTTGGTTAACCACTCTATTTTGGATGTAGATCCTCAAAATGTATTGGTTATAAAATTATCTACCTTTGAATTAAGAGCTAAAAGACTTGAATTCATTATTTTTTCTTAAAAATAAATAAATACAGAAAACAGACTGTTACAGTTCATTTAAAATATCTTTAAACCACTGAAGATTTTCAGGGTTTTAAAAGACCGTTTTAAAAAACATTTGTTATAGGTTGTTAGGCATAAACAAATACTACCACACATCACACTATGTGATTATAAGGGGTTGTCCATATGTGATCTGTGCCTATCCCATACATATTTACATTATAATATATTATATCTTAGCAAAAGGTTGACCCCCAATGATGTTCTAAAGTTGAAACCACACATTAAGATAAACACAATTGTAATGCATGTTACCACTTGGCTTAGGACCCATAATGGATCAAATGGTTAATGCAGTCACTTAAAAAAGCTTTGAAGTAGAATAAGAAGAGGCCTCTGAAAATATGCTGAATTTGAATAGTCAAGTTTACTCATTTCTGTAAATGTTTAAAGTCTAAATTTCTGAACTAAACATGAACTGATGACAGTTTACAGCCATCAGGTCTGGTCAACTGCACAATGCTGTACAGAGTGGCAGTCACTTTCTTATTCCTTAATCTAATTATCAAACAATCAATAACTTGGCCTATGTCGTATATTGTAGACTATAGGCCTAAGAGTAGTTAATAAAAAAAATAGGTCAACAAAGGTGAGACGTGTGTGCCCAGCAGACCTAAGGTCTACCTGTAGCCAGTGTTTATTATGGGGGATAAAAGTGAGAAATATTGGAAAAACAAGGTTAACATTTGCCCACTAGGTGAAATACCAAACCCTACAAATAGTGATGTGTAAGTTTCTCTTCCTAGATCTAGACTAGAAGAATCTAGATCAAGATTTCTGCCTCTACCATACCAGTTCTAATAAAACGGACCAAGATGGCGGCAGTGTTCTCCTGGCCTTTCCAAACAGTGTGTAAAAATGAAAATTAATTTCCCATAGAACCTACTTTAAAAAAAAACAACCAACTAATTGTGTCAATTTAGAAAAGAACAATTAAGAGTCTAGATTAGATTCTAGAGCTAGTGTAGTTGGGTATGATGATCCATTACACTAATTTACCTGTTAGGAACACAAGAACAGATCAACAATAACAACTTGTTGAATGAATGGGAACAGTCGTTCACACTTCACTGACACGCATCAACATAGAACAGTTTTTTGGGCTAAAAAATGAAAGAAAACTTACTTTAAATAGTACCTCTGACCCTGCGGTGTTTTAGCCATATCCCACCCAGCCGGCAGTGGTTGCTCATCCAAAGCATCGTAACTATGCTGCCGGACATGGGATGTGGGGGGTGGTGGAGGGGCTGCGCTCAGGCTTTGTTGTAAACTGGCCGGGGACGAGTGAGCCCTTATGTGTGCAATGTTCATTGATGAGTTTACTGCCCCGTGGTAACCGGGTGCGTCGTTAAGGTTATTGCCGACCCCCAGTTCTTGCTTCATCTGCTTTGGGGGCTCGGGAGGGCGAAAGAACGATGCGGGCAAGTTTCGCATTCGGTATGGTACGGATTTGTTTGTCTCGGCCAGAGACGGGTTCATTGCTATCGTGAACAGAGCCTCAAGCTCTGTGTCGCTGTTCTCACGAACATGAACGATCGGCCCAGTCCGATCCTGAGACATCTTCTCTAGTAGAATCCTGGCGCAGCCACCACGAAAATGAAGTGCTTGAAATCCTCCACACAAATAAGATACAAAACTCACAGCCTGACGAAAACAGCAACGCAATAATCCACGAATTAGTGACTGGAGTCGGGAACACTCCGTCGGCAAAGTTAGACACGAAAGTAGTTTATTCGACCAGTTACCACAGTGTAACAGGTGCACACGTTCAACAATATAGTTCTATTTACCTTTTATCTAAATGACACACCTATTCTGTTTTACTTACCAATAATCACTTTAAGATTCGATATAAATATGATGTTGTTAGAATATATGTTATTAGTAAAAAAATTATTTTTTTCTTTTGAAACAGATTTTAATATTTACAGCTGATGATAGTCTAAATATCGCGGATGAATGTATAGTTCCGCCGTGTGTAATGACGTCACGGCAGCTCCATTGGGTAGCCTAGTCTTATCTTAGGCCTAACGGGAAAATTCAGAATACACACTCGTGCTCTCGAACCTTTAACACCGCTGGAGTCTTTTTTTAACTTAATTGATAAGCATACGTTACATATTCCGTAGATGTTCTTTTGGTTATATTTAAACATTTTATCAGTAGGGAAACCTCACCTGGCCTTCTTCCTTAAATGGAAGTTTGCGTGATTTCATTCACTGGCCATTAGCTGTCACTCAAAACTCGGCCCACTAATCTTCGGCAGTACTCGGCTAGGGGTGTGGCTTTCAATTCATTGTGATATGGGCCTAAATAGTAAAATTAGAAAAGACAGCAAAGTTAACTTGTTCCTATTGTACATTTAAAATCAATAATCCCAACTTATACATTTATAATAGAAAAATTTCAGTCGCTTTGACAATTTTAAATATTATTTATATTCAGAAAGAAAAAAAATAATCAAAAATAATATTTATAGATTTATTTTCCAAAATTAAAGCTTAAAATTGTCAAAACCTAATTTTATTTAATTCTAGATTTAATTATAATTTACAAGTGTGAGGGTACGATAATAAGTGAATGTTGATTTGCTGTTAGTTAGGATTTAGAAATAGGATAGTTAAACGTGTAGCTAATAATTTTATGACATGCCAGCTCTGATTTGGAGAGGGAAACGCCCGACCCTTAATATCCTCTTAAGAAAAACTTAAAAATTTAAACAAATTAGAAGACATCTCCATTCATTATGTACGGTTTTTAGATTTAATTTAGATCTAGATCCTCTATGTTTTAAAATATTTTTTTGTTGTTGTTGTAATGATCCTAGTTTTGGATCAGTCCTTAGCAAAAAAAAATCTTAACTCGTTAGGCCTGTTATATGTGTTAAACTAGAGAAACATATTTGTACATCTAGAGTCTAGACCTATACTATTCTAGATAATGGTTGTTAGAACTTAAAAAAAACAACAGAAGTCCACCCCGCCGCCTTTCAAACCTAATCGTGCCACAAATGGGCAGTATTTCTTCCAAACACCTCTTCGGAGGGGGGGGGGGGGGGGGCGAAGAAAGTCCACCGCCCCCCGAACGAAATGGAATTTATATAGAAAAAATACTTTTAACAGTGTCCGCCCCCGGGGAATATCAAGTGCCCCCCCCCCCCCCCCCCGGAGAAAAAAGTCTGGAAGAAACACTGCAAATGGGAATAGGGCTGGCAAGTAAGTAGGTCACCAACCAGTTCTATGGCTCATGCAGGTTTTATAAAACTGAGCCGTAGAACTGGTTGGTGACCTACTTACCAAAATGCCGACATCTAAAAAGGCCGAATGGACACAAAGCCGACAAGTTTGATAAAACAACAAATTCAACAAAACATACATGTTTATTATCTATTTAAAAAGAGGTACATAACACATAAGTTAAAGTACATAAATGTGATGGGCTCCATTGCTTGAATTGTGTTATAAATTTTTAAAATACTTTTCCTAATGGCGACTTTGATATCAGTTAATGTCAGACTTTGATACCCCTACTATTTGAGTAGGCATATCTTGGCTCACGGCAGCAATGGTCTTTAATTATGTCAATTTTTCACGAGCTATGACAACACAGGCTTGTGATGCATGGTTGTGTGTGTACTAGACTTATTCAACGTGTGTATGATGCAAGTCGTGCTGTGCAGAAATTTATAAAACTTGTCGATGGCTTCATTCCCAATACAACATATTTATACCGAATTCCCACACATACGGTTATAGGCACAAAATAATTAACTCGGAACGATTGCACATGAAATACGGCCTATAAATAAAAATTTTGCGCCCCCCCCCCTACAAATTATTCAATGATTTAATTGACAATAATTTTTTCTACGACAATATACTATACAAACATACATATTAGTAGGCCTCATCTGTCTACATATCCAATTTGTAGCCATCCATAGCCTACATCGTCCACTTTGGTGACTGAGAATTACAACTAGAAACTAATCCCTTGAGGGACAACCATATATGCCAATTATGACGTTACACCTTTCAATACAAACTAAAAAGAGTAAAATCAGTGTGTAAAACCTTAGGTGACGTAATGACTGCTGTGTCACTGCCCAATGTGTCACTGACCAGTGACGTAATGACTGCTGTGTCACTGACCAGTGTGACAAAAGGACTAATGTGTCACTGACCAGTATGACAAAAGGAACAATGTGTCACTGACCAGTGTGACAAAAGGACTGTGTCACTGACCAGTGTGTTATAAAGGACCAATGTGTCACTGACCAGTGTGACATAAAGGATCAATGTATCATAAAGGACCAATGTGTCACTGACCAGTGTGACAAAAGGACCAATGTATCATAAAGGACCAATAAAGAAAAGCTCAGTTTATTCATAACTCTCAACTTGCTGATAAACATTAGAAAGGCCAGAGAAAAATCTGCTGATTAAAGTTAAAGTCATGTGTGGGACATCATGGTAATCTATTTAACTGCTAGCCCTAAGGTCTCGAGTTTGGCTCATTGTTTGGACTTGTGACTGCAGGATGTCCCGGAGTCCACCCAGCTCTGATGGGTACCTTACTTGCGTAAAAGCAGTAGGGCAGTGCTGACAACACCATCCCTTTATATTTCAAGAAACATGAACTCAAAGGATCGCTGGGTCTAAAGAGGAGCTTTACTTGAAATTATGAATATCCAATAATTTTCTTCACAAAGAAAACAAAAAATTAGCATGTTAAAGTTAAGTCACCAGCTTGGCTTCAGGACATTTGATAATTGCAACATCCAATAATTTGTTTTTTCCTTCAAGCACAACTCTACCATGTACCATCTAGCACAACTCTACTATCTACCATCTAACACAACTCTACCATGTACCATCTAGCACAACTCTACCATGTACCATCTAGCACAACTCTTCTATCTACCATCTAGCACAACTCTACCATGTACAAACTCTGTCAGCACTAGACCACATTGACCATAAGTTACATTTAATTGCAAGTCACTAACACATTTGGGTGTGTAATGAGGCAGTAGACATAATAAAGAAAAAAAATCCATCAGCATTGTCATCATATGTTTAATTCAATTGTAACAATCACTATGAAATAATGAAATAACTAGTCATAAAAGTAGGGTAGACAAGTATCAAAGGTCCATCAGCATCATAGACAAAGTATTCCATCCTAGCAACATACAAGGCACTGTCCTAACTGTCATCACCTAAGGTAAACAAATCCTGGACAGGATTTCATGTAAAAATATTTTTGTACAGACAACTAATAAATGTGTACACCAAACTTTATTTTGCACAAGTTCCACATACAAGTTTAAATAAATGAAAAAGATACATCGCAACAGCCAAAGCTTATTTCACTCATGGGATTTGTCGGCTGGCATCAACCCCTGGATTTGTTACAGAACAGTAACAGTTTTAAGTCAACTGGCACAAGTCAACTGGCACAAGTCACTGATCAGGTTCAATTCAGTTCACAAGATTTGACATTGGGTTAGTATATGCCTATAAAACATCACCCCAGAAACCATTTAATGAAAATATATTGTTTTAACAAACTACACTATCCATACTTTTGATGCCTAATATTTGCAGATCCCAAATAAAAACAAATGAACCTGACAAGTGCCTGTATTAGACAGCCAGTACAGAGAATGTACAGAGACAAACCCCAGAGTGGAAACAATGGCACTAACTACCAGCATGTCTAGACTTGGAGCAAGTTATACAACAATACAAGTGACACAAAAGAGAAAACCTTACAGTAAACTTTCAATTGACAGTAAAACTAAGCAAACAATAAATAGAATGTTTCAGTGACAGGAGCATCCATTTATCCTCCAGAGCAATCAGGACTTTAGGGCTTGCCTTTAAGGTAGGCTTTTTTTTTTTGTTCAGAAAATGTTGCTGAAAGAATCCTTCCATTTTATTTTCCTCAAAAATGTTTCTATAGAGCTTGCTGGGGCTACTAGTGTCTTTGTTCACTTTGATAATACAGCCAGGCAAATTATCACCATTGCCTGCTACCCCATCAGTCATTGATCAAATCTTCAGTAGCATGTGTTCATCAAATCAAAGACCTTGCTAAAAAAATGCCAGCCATGATATGCTATTATTGCTCACTGTTGTATCTGAGCTGACCACGACAGAAACCAAAAAAAAAGCTATGACAAAAAATCTAACTTAGGTGAGTTACAATTTACAAAGTTTAAAAGCCAAGATTTATTGTCTTTTATAAAAATGAATGATACACCTTAGCTTGAGTGTGTAACCTTTACAATTAGGAAGAACAACAGCACAAGTAGGCAGTCCTGAGTCAAGGGTGCAAATCTTTGTTGCTCACATGAAAAAGTTGGAGGCCAAATGTAAGTTAGTGGGGGGAGGGCCTTACCAGGGGGCTGAAACAATCAGTTCAATCTATCACAGCAACTGGATGATTTGTTGCATCAATGGCATGATCCTCTACCACGGTGGGCTGACCACAGCCCTCTACCATGGTGGGCTGACCACAGCCCTCAACCACTGTGGGCTGACCACAGCCCTCAACCATGGTGGGCTGACCACAGCCCTCAATCACTGTGGGCTGACCACAGGCCTCAACCAAGGTGGGCTGACCACAGCCCTCTCCCATGGTGGGCTGACCATAACCAATGCCTACAATACCATTATCTATCAGCATTGCATTAGTTCTCGATCTAAGTGATGAAAATCTTGCTTTCAAGTTAAAAATAGAATGATCCAATGGTATTTACATAATCAACATATGTACAAGGGCATATAGAAGACACAATTATTTATATATACAGATGATTTAAGTTGTAGCTTGAAAATGTTCTCTGTGGTTCATACGTCTAGCATTCCTGACGGGCTTGACCGATCCGAGTCTGTCTCGTCATCGTCCGAGTATACAGAGGGTGTGTCCGTGGCTGCCCGAGAGTTCTGGTCAAAGGAGCCAGAACTTGATTGTCTGGACAGGGTGGACATCACCTCTCTGTCTGGGCCATCTGAGAGGGCATAAAATGTGTTGGACTGTGAGGTAGCCTGCTGGTATCTGAAACAGAGCAACAATGTGGAGGTTGATTGATGGGGAGAAATATGGGGGCATCATTATGGTGGAAGACTAACAACATAGTTGTTGGTCATTATGCAAATCACTTTGAACCACTCAGGTCTTGATGACTTACCGCGCCTGCTGAGCTGTGGCTGAACTTGGGTCTATAGGCCGGACAGCACTAGACTGGAAAGGTGTAGAGTTGTTTGCCATATCTGTTGAACAAACAATGAGTCCTAGAGAGGATCTTACGCCATAGCCAGCAAGCAAGTGAAAAGCATGAGTGTCAACTAGTAAAAAGTACAAGTCAAGCACAAGAGAACAGCTAAATTTGTGAGCTCACCTAAAACATAAGGCTCCAAAGATTTAGGAACCATTTTGGAAGCCCGGGTTAAGTCCTGAGATGTACACTGTCCCCTCTCCAGGCCAAAAGCCATCCCCATCCTCTTGAGCACCTCAATGTCATCATGGATCTCAAAGGTGTTGTCAAACTTGAACAGGTACTCGTACCTGCGAACAAGGGAAGCACATGATTATATTCAAGATGGCTGGACAACCAGTCCTTGTTCTTATATTAAAACTCAACAGGCATCAGGCAAGATCAAGGCTACAGTTCACTAAATGGTGAGAAACACAACTATCTTGACTTTTAGAGGTAAGCAAATCTTTGTAATAGCTACTTCTGTACATCAGTAAGGGTACTCAAATAAAAATTTTATAGAGTGATGTGACCAAAAAAATATTTAAGGGAGTAGTGGGGGAGAGAGAGGAGGAACAGGTTGTAACAAAAGAGAAAAATGAAACAAATCAATGATCATTGTTAGCTGGATTTTAAAACTAGATATTTCAAGGAAATTTTCTTACAATAGAAACATAGGTGTGTAGGCTCATACTATTGGGTCCTGATAAATTGTGGTAACCCAATTAGAAATAGTAATAATCGTAGGCCTACAGTCGGCGTGGTCGAGTCGGTAAAGCTCATGGTTGCTATACCGAAAAGTCTCGAGTTCGAACCCTCGGGCAGATGAGGCTCGTTAGCTGGGGACAGCAACTCTTCTAGGAGAGACAACTCCAAAATTAAACAACTGCTGCCTTGTAGTTTGTTCTTGGTTGGACAAAGGCTATGGAAGCAAATCCAAAAAGAAAAGCAGGCTGAAATCGGAGTCAATGGCCTCAATGGCGCATAACCAGTTGACACGTAACGCTTAATTGTGTTGGAGGCGTGGTCGAGTCGGCAAAAAGCTCATGGTTGATAAATTCGAACAAAGTCTCGAGTTCAAACCCACTGGCAGATAAATCTCGATCCCCTTCAACACTAATAATTAAGAACGAAGAAGAAGAAAGAAGTAGGCCTACATAGTGTTTGTTTTTAACTTGATTACATGAACCTATTAATAAAATTCTTTCATATTCATGTCAAACCTAAGACAATGATTGTGTGCTTGTGTGTCACCGGTCAAGTGTCGCAGACACTGATATAGTAAGCATCGCAATCAGTGTGACAATGGAAAAGTGAGCAGTGTGACAATGTTAAAAGTGAGCAGTGTGACAATGGGAAAAGTGAGCAATCAGTGTGACAATGGAAAAGTGAGCAGTGTGACAATGGGAAAAGTGAGCAGTGTGACAATGGGAAAAGTGAGCAGTGTGACAATGGGAAAAGTGAGCAGTGTGACAATGGGAAAAGTGAGCAGTGTGACAATGTTAAAAGTGAGCAGTGTGACAATGTTAAAAGTGAGCAGTGTGACAATGTTAAAAGTGAGCAGTGTGACAATGGGAAAAGTGAGCAGTGTGACAATGGGAAAAGTGAGCAGTGTGACAATGGGAAAAGTGAGCAGTGTGACAATGTTAAAAGTGAGCAGTGTGACAATGTTAAAAGTGAGCAGTGTGACAATGGGAAAAGTGAGCAGTGTGACAATGGGAAAAGTGAGCAAGGGGTGGTTTGACATGTGCTGAGTAAAATTAACCTCAAACTGATAAAGCTAATTTCCAGAAAGTAGCGGATAGTTTTAACCTCTCTGGTTTATTACAAGTTCTGTAACAACACCCACATGAAGTTCATCTGACAAACTACCTACTTGTCATTGGAGATGCTGCAGTCTATGACAGTTTTCTTGCTGGTGTTGACAATAATAAAAGGCAGCTGGATGGCGGAGTTGGCAGCTGGTGGACCTTGAAACTTCTCCAAGTCTTTGTTTCTTTGGACCAAGTTTTTAAATGCTATTTGCTGAAAATTTGACAAATATTCAATCACTTCAAAAATATAATACTACTAATATCAAGTGAAATAATACAAATATAAAAACCTTTATAGGTAACAAGTTTTAAATGCACTGAAAATAAGAAAGTTAACAAATATATTTCAATAAAAGCTTTGGACTTTTATAAATAAGGGAAATAAGTGGATTTTTAGTGGGGGGGGGGGGGGGGGGGGGGCAGGGGTTGGTGGTCCAAAATCCCAAAAAATTGTGGACATCATAAATGGATGACCCCTAAACTATCAAATGATTTAATTTTGTTATCTCCCCTTAGTTTTGAAACCGTTTAATGACTAATTAAACATCAAATTAAATTAAAAAATAGATAAGACTTTTATTGTCATCAAAGTGGAACAGGAAAGTTTGAATGAAATTGCTGCAGTGGAAGTGAGTCAAAATTGAGTCACGATATTTCCCACAAACAAGCAAACAAAAAGACATTGTGAACTAAATAAAAGCTTGTAAAAAGCTTTTGGTTTTGATCTTGATATGTCAATATGGAGTCAGCAGCAATTGAACAACTGATTAAAAACAAAATAGCCAAAGAAAACCAAACATAATAAGTTTACAAAAACACAGTCCATTTATGGTAGTCAGTTCTTGATTTTAAAAAAATGACTTAAAATACATGTGTCCTTAAAGCATACCACATCCCATTATAACACAAAGATCAGGGTATAACATTCCTGTTATAACTGGGATTAGCATAGGGTTAGGAACTGGGATAAAATACAACTTTATTTTTAATTGTTATTGTCCAAACTATCACATTGTGTAATTATAGCTAGATAGCTCCTAGTAGTTGTAATAGGAATAACCCCAAGGTGCTTATACAAGTTTGAATAGTTGAGAGTAGACTTAGTGCTCCAGTTTGTTAAGTCACCCCATCGTACAGGTTAGATATAATTTATGCATAGCTTAGACGACACACTCCTTGCTGGTTTGACAAGGTCAGGCAGGGAGTGGGTTACCTTTGGGTGAGTCTCTACATTGAACTTGTGTTAATATTATCTGTTTGAATTGTCAAAGTGGCTATAGCATCCAACATCACCTCACTGCAGTCACTAACACCATCTACCATCATGATGACTTTAAAACAATTAGCTATAAAACCTTTTGCCTTAAACTATTTACCACCATTCCACCTGTTAGTGTTCAGATATTTGTGGAGGAAGAATTTGTGTGTAGGAATCTTTAGATACCTCTTCGCCATTAGCCAACAATTGATTTCTGTGGCACTTGTTACACTTCCAGCTAGACTAGAAGATCTCAACACTGACCTACCTGTAGTATTAATTCCTGAAGTTGTTGTGTTTTATGTTTGATTCTTTCTAACCGTTTCTGTTTCTCTATCTGAGGAGTTGATGGATTATGTTACTGTTTATGATGTCATTACCGTTGTATACAAATTTATTTAAAAACTACAGATATTCACAAAATTTTATGTGCATTTGTTACCTCCAAATGCTGACACTCCTGTGCTGAATTGGTCGGAAGGCCTATCCACCTGATCTCCTTTTTTTCTTTTGATATTATGTTCATCGCCATTAAAACATTTAAGGCATCGTAAACTCTGCGTCTGATGTTTTTCTGATCATAAGGCTGAAAAGGCATTCAATTATTACAAGGTTAGATATTTTTCATTTGGAAGTTAAACAGTGTGGTTAATGGATGACAACTATATTTGTAAGACTTACTGTGATTGCAGTGTAAATGTATGACTTACTGTGACTGCAGTGTAAATGTATGACTTACTGTGACTGAAGTGTAAATGTATGACTTACTGTGACTGAAGTGTAAATGTATGACTTACTGTGACTGAAGTGTAAATGTATGACTTACTGTGACTGAAGTGTAAATGTAAGACTTACTGTGACTGAAGTGTAAATGTATGACTTACTGTGACTGAAGTGTAAATGTATGACTTACTGTGACTGAAGTGTAAATGTATGACTTACTGTGACTGAAGTGTAAATGTAAGACTTACTGTGACTGAAGTGTAAATGTAAGACTTACTGTGACTGAAGTGTAAATGTAAGACTTACTGTGACATGTAAGACTTACTTACTGTGACTGAAGTGTAAATGTATGACTTACTGTGACTGAAGTGTAAATGTATGACTTACTGTGACTGAAGTGTAAATGTTAGACTTACTGTGACTGAAGTGTAAATGTATGACTTACTGTGACTGAAGTGTAAATGTATGACTTACTGTGACTGAAGTGTAAATGTATGACTTACTGTGACTGAAGTGTAAATGTAAGACTTACTGTGACTGAAGTGTAAATGTTAGACTTACTGTGACTGAAGTGTAAATGTTAGACTTACTGTGACTGAAGTGTAAATGTATGACTTACTGTGACTGAAGTGTAAATGTAAGACTTACTGTGACTGAAGTGTAAATGTTAGACTTACTGTGACTGAAGTGTAAATGTAAGACTTACTGTGACTGAAGTGTAAATGTATGACTTACTGTGACTGAAGTGTAAATGTAAGACTTACTGTGACTGAAGTGTAAATGTTAGACTTACTGTGACTGAAGTGTAAATGTATGACTTACTGTGACTGAAGTGTAAATGTAAGACTTACTGTGACTGAAGTGTAAATGTTAGACTTACTGTGACTGAAGTGTAAATGTTAGACTTACTGTGACTGAAGTGTAAATGTTAGACTTACTGTGACTGAAGTGTAAATGTTAGACTTACTGTGACTGAAGTGTAAATGTAAGACTTACTGTGACTGAAGTGTAAATGTTAGACTTACTGTGACTGAAGTGTAAATGTTAGACTTACTGTGACTGAAGTGTAAATGTTAGACTTACTGTGACTGAAATGTAAGACTTACTGTGACTGAAGTGTAAATGTTAGACTTACTGTGACTGAAGTGTAAATGTTAGACTTACTGTGACTGAAGTGTAAATGTATGACTTACTGTGACTGAAGTGTAAATGTATGACTTACTGTGACTGAAGTGTAAATGTATGACTTAATGTGACTGAAGTGTAAATGTAAGACTTACTGTGACTGAAGTGTAAATGTATGACTTAATGTGACTGAAGTGTAAATGTAAGACTTACTGTGACTGTATCAGATGGTGACATGAGGTGCTGTGGCTCACTGAATTCTCCCACCAACTCATCAGCCACTTCGTTATACGACGTCACCCCTTTCATCTGAACCTTCTCACAAACTTTCATTGAAAAATGGCGTAAACCTTTGCCTCCCTTATCTCCCTTTTTGCCTCTTTTACTGAAATAAAAACAAGGACCAATATAACCCATTTGTTACCCTCTGCTTTTCCATTCAAACGTAATTCATATACCAAACCAGTGGTTCTTAACCTTATTGGAGGTACTGTACCCACCAGTTTCATATGTGCAATCACCAAACCCTTCTTAATACTTCTATTGTCCACTGGCAAAATCCAATCGTGAATAATATGAATTGTTTGAGTGTCCAATCTACTGAACCACCTACACTGACCCAGGTTAACCCTTTGAGCCCGCCAGGCCGGTAAACCGGCTTCAACATTAGGCATATATGTCCGAAAAGCCGGTTTTCCGGCCCGACGATCTAGCGTCATATTCCTAGAGGCCGGTATACCGTCTAATTAAATATAATTAGCGGAAGACTGACTAAAACTGCGCATATGTCTTTTTAGTGCGGGATTATGATTCTAAAAATAAATTTTAGGAAAAGTGAAAGTGTGTACATTTCGTAGCAATGCCGCCGAAACGAAAAGCTGAGCCACAGCCATCGACTTTAGCACATAAAGTTGGTGCAAAAAATGAAGCAAAAGTTCGAAATATCAACAAAAGTAGTAGAATGACTGCTTCTCAGGCAATACAACTACTTATTGATTCTGATGAAGAAGATAATATCCCTAGTCTGTATTGTGATGATAGTAAGTTGAATTTGAGACTGAACACCGTGACATTGAAATTGACAGTGACAATGAAACTGTTCAAGTACGTTCTGAAGCACGTGGTGCCAAGGACAAAGACTTGCCGAAACAGAACAAAAAAACTGTTTACTGGTGCAAAACATCCGAAGTTTTTCTATGCATTGGGTTCGGCAGTGATAACTGTTTTGAAATTTATCACACAAAAGTGGACTTCTGGCGATGAACTAGTGTGGCCAGGTATCAATAATAACAAAACAATTACTAAATGTAAATTGTTTCTTCTATGTTCTATCAAAACAATAATTATGTGTTCGTTTTATATACATTGTTCTATTCATACATTGTAAAAAAAATAAAGAATTTCAGAATCTTGCGGAATTGTTGTTTGATCCTGAGTGTGGATACCAAATTTGGCTTGATTATCTCAAACGGTCCAAAAGTTATAGGCAAAGTTAGAAGCAGATAAGTGAAAATTGATTTGGCCCTGGGAGCTCAGGAAATAGGAGCAAATAGGCCAGGGAGGCCAGGGCTCAAAGGGTTAAGAACCATTACAAGATAACACCCAATAACTTGTGTTTTATTTAAATTTTAAAAAAATATTAAATATATGTTCATTGTTGTAAAAATCTAAAAACTGGTATTGATTTACCTCAAAATAAATGTCTTTATAACAGTATTTATTACTACTGGCTATCTTTATAGCCATATTACTTAGATAATGTGAATGGTGCAAGAATGTAATGCGTGTGTAGCCCAATAACATCACTAATATTTTTAAAAAAATGCAACCATCTAGCTTGATACACACTCTAATTGATTCTATTATTCTAGATTCTTAAGATTCTTAAAAATAAATTAAAAACTATAAAATTGAAAAAGCAATAGTTTGAGTGAAAATAAGTTCAAATTTGCCAGAAACTCAATGAAATAAAAAAAATTAAAAAAAAAAAAAAAACAGCTAGAAAATACTGTTGTTTTTCCTATCTTTTAAAACTAAGAAAAAAATCAGCAAAAAATTAAAAATCTGCAAAAAAAATAAGGAGAAAATTAAAATAGGAGAAGAAAATTAAGACTTCCAAAAAAAAAAATCGGAAAAGTCAAATCCCTGATTATATGAATAGTGTCAAAGCGCTATTTGCACCCTAATAACCTACCCATCAACAAAGTCTGCTTCTAAGTAATCAGATGCTCTTTTCCTGGCCGACCACGGTGAGGTGGCATCTACTTGAATTACTTGTGGTCTGACTGGTGAACTCATGATCTGAAATTTTTATTGTATTGAGTATTATTTCAGTAAATCTGGTAGTACATTGTAGCCTATTGACTCCCACTGTACCACATCAGTTTAAACACTGACTCTACCACATGTAGCCAGTGGATCCAACTGCACCACATGTAGCCAGTGGATCCCACTGTACCACATGTAGCCAGTGGACCTCCCTGTACCACATGTAGCCAGTGGATCCCACTGTACCACATGTAGCCAGTGGATCCCACTGTACCACATGTAGCCAGTGGACTTCCCTGTACCACATGTAGCCAGTGGATCTCCCTGTACCACATGTAGCCAGTGGATCCCACTGTACCACATGTAGCCAGTGGATCCCACTGTACCACATGTAGCCAGTGGATCCCACTGTACCACATGTAACCAGTGGATCCCACTGTACCACATGTAGCCAGTGGATCCCACTGTACCACATGTAGCCAGTGGATCCCACTGTACCACATGTAGCCAGTGGATCCCACTGTACCACATGTAACCAGTGACTCCCACTACCACATGTAGCCAGTGGATCCCACTGTACCACATGTAGCCAGTGGATCCCACTGTACCACATGTAGCCAGTGGATCCAACTGTACCACATGTAGTCAGTGGATTCAACTGTACCACATATAGCCAGTGGATCCCACTGTACCACATGTAGCCAGTGGATCCAACTGTACCACATGTAGCCAGTGGAACTCCCTGTACCACATGTAGCCAGTGACTGTAAACAATGTAACCAGTGACAACAACATTTACCTGTGATGTTACTGAGGGCTTGGGTAGAAGGTGTGGAGACATTTTGTTGGGAGACTGATGTATGGGTACAGCAACTAGCTGGATATCTGAAAATAAAATCTTCAATGTCAGCTCCCGTTACACTTCTAGGTTACTTCACCTTTCACATCATGTTTCCAGAACATTTGATTAGTATGCAATAAAATTCTATGATCCAGTAGTACAATGTCTGGTATGCTTGAAGTTCTCTAATAGACCAACTGTGTTATTAAGTAGACAACAGTGTGTGACTTGATGCACAGCTACACCAGCAACTTATAAGTCTGACACCCCCCAATGTCAGCAACTTATAAGTCTGACACCCCCCAATGTCAGCAACTTATAAGCCTGACACCCCCACAATGTCAGCAACTTATAAGCCTGACAACCCCACAATGTCAGCAACTTATTAGCCTGACACCCCCACAATGTCAGCAACTTATAAGCCTGACACCCCCCAATGTCAGCAACTTATAAGCCTGACAACCCCACAATGTCAGCAACTTATAAGCCTGACAACCCCACAATGACAGCAACTTATAAGCCTGACACCCCCCAATGTCAGCAACATGAGAAAATGTTCAAGTAAGATTGACCAAGTGTTGTCTACAGCACAACGTGTCTGTAACAGTAACACCACCCCCCCCCATACAGAGTGCATTATAAAAATAGCACTTCTATGTGAAGCAACAAGATCAAGACACAGGAGCATTTAATTGTGGTAAACATATTTGGTATATTTAAAGTTTAAAGCATTTTCGTTTTTAGATTTCTGAATCAAAATTTTCCTATTTCTGTTTTCTCTACCCAACAATACATATTGACAGCAGAAAGCAGAGCAGAGAAGCTCAAGAGATTTGGTGGTACAGATAACAGAACTACACCCAGAGATTTGGTGGTACAGATATCAGAACTACACCCGGCTGTTCAACTCACGTTTAGGTGTAGCTTGCTCGCCACTAAAACCTTTAATTTCACCATTGGAGTCCAGGATGCCCACCTGTTGGAAAAACAAACTCTTTGTTATGTAATCAGACAACAAAATTTTTTTTTAAATAATTTTTAAAAAATAAATATGGCAAGGGATAAAATTATAGTTACATTTTTAAAAATTAAAGCTGTTTGGGAACCATCGATTACACTCATTTTCATATTTTTGTACCGAGTATAAGCCGTTGAAAAGCAGTTTAGAATTATTTTATCAATTCAAATATTAAAAATAACCACCCATGAAACCACAGAAAGTAAAACAACCAAAGTCACAACTATTGTTTTCCATGATAAAATACACAATAGTGGTTAATGGGTATAGCCTAGTAGTTTATGTATATTAAATAATATAACATCCCCATATCATCACAACATCCTGACTCAACTAATCCAAATTAAAAAATAACAAGCTTTTTCAAGCTTATTATAGGAGCATTCATGAAATCATGCATGTGTACACACATATGACCAACAAATGGATACAAATGTACACCCAGTACACAAAACCATTATTATATATGACTAACATCTGAATACACATGTACACCTAACACATGAATCATCGATATACACACATTATCTGACCAATACAAGAAAACAACAGAAAAGTTTGCTGTTTAGTAATCTCCATAGATGTGTACCCAGTAAAAAACTATATGTAATGTAGAGAAATTTATAGCATGTGTAATAAGGAAAAGGATAGTGTGTAATGAGGGAGTCGATCTATACCTATTGTGTAATGAGGGAGTAGATCTATACCTATTGTGTAATGAGGGAGTAGATATATACCTATTGTGTAATGAGGGAGTAGATCTATACCTATTGTGTAATCATTGTGTAATGAGGGAGTAGATCTATACCTATTGTGTAATCATTGTGTAATGAGGGAGTAGATATATACCTATTGTGTAATCATTGTGTAATGAGGGAGTAGATCTATACCTATTGTGTAATGAGGGAGTAGATATATACCTATTGTGTAATGAGGGAGTAGATCTATACCTATTGTGTAATGAGGGAGTAGATATATACCTATTGTGTAATGAGGGAGTAGATCTATACCTATTGTGTAATGAGGGAGTAGATATATACCTATTGTGTAATGAGGGAGTAGATATATACCTATTGTGTAATGAGGGAGTAGATCTATACCTATTGTGTAATGAGGGAGTAGATCTATACCTTTTGTGTAATGAGGGAGTAGATATATACCTATTGTGTAATCATTGTGTAATGAGGGAGTAGATATATACCTATTGTGTAATCATTGTGTAATGAGGGAGTAGATCTATACCTATTGTGTAATCATTGTGTAATGAGGGAGTAGATCTATACCTATTGTGTAATGAGGGAGTAGATCTATACCTATTGTGTAATGAGGGAGTAGATCTATACCTATTGTGTAATCATTGTGTAATGAGGGAGTAGATATATACCTATTGTGTAATCATTGTGTAATGAGGGAGTAGATATATACCTATTGTGTAATCATTGTGTAATGAGGGAGTAGATCTGTAATCATTGTGTAATGAGGGAGTAGATCTATACCTATTGTGTAATGAGGGAGTAGATCTATACCTATTGTGTAATGAGGGAGTAGATATATACCTATTGTGTAATGAGGGAGTAGATATATACCTATTGTGTAATGAGGGAGTAGATCTATACCTATTGTGTAATCATTGTGTAATGAGGGAGTAGATATATACCTATTGTGTAATCATTGTGTAATGAGGGAGTAGATATATACCTATTGTGTAATCATTGTGTAATGAGGGAGTAGATATATACCTATTGTGTAATCATTGTGTAATGAGGGAGTAGATCTATACCTATTGTGTAATCATTGTGTAATGAGGGAGTAGATATATACCTATTGTGTAATCATTGTGTAATGAGGGAGTAGATCTGTAATCATTGTGTAATGAGGGAGTAGATATATACCTACTGTGTAATGAGGGAGTAGATCTATACCTATTGTGTAATGAGGGAGTAGATCTATACCTATTGTGTAATCATTGTGTAACGAGGGAGTAGATATATACCTATTGTGTAATGAGGTAGTAGATCTATACCCTGTGTGAATGAGGGAAATTCAGGGGAGGGTATGATCAAAATATTCAAAGAAAGTATGTGTCATCAAAAAAACGCATGACATGTGTAATCACGACATGTGTAATCGTGGTTAAAATATGTATTCAAGTATGGTGTAGGTGTAGAGAAAGTATAAAATGGCAATTATAGGCTGATAGGAAGCAACAGTCAATCAGCGTTATCACAACAAGTCAGCGTTTCCTGAGCCAGCTGCCTGGCCCAGTGTAATAGCGGGACATAATGAGGTCAACACGTCGCCCACCCCAGCCCACTCTGTCGTTTCTTTGTTCACACGCTGCACCTGACGGTTGGGGAAAACCCGATTTATAGTGTGTGTACACACCGCCCAATTTATAGTGTGTGTGTAACACACCGCCCAATTTATTGTGTGTGTGTAACACACCGCCCAATGTATTGTGTGTAACAAGCGACACACCGTCCGATTTATAGTGTGTGTGTAATAAGCGACACACCGCCCGATTTATAGTGTGTGTGTGTGTGTAACAAGGACACACCGTCCGATTTATAGTGTGTGTGTAATAAGCGACACACCGCCCGATTTATAGTGTGTGTGTGTGTAACAAGCGACACACCGTCCGATTAATAGTGTGTGTGTGTAACAAGCGACACACCGTCCGATTTATAGTGTGTGTGTAATAAGCGACACACCGCCCGATTTATAGTGTGTGTGTGTGTGTAACAAGGACACACCGTCCGATTTATAGTGTGTGTGTAATAAGCGACACACCGCCCGATTTATAGTGTGTGTGTGTGTGTAACAAGCGACACACCGTCCGATTAATAGTGTGTGTGTGTAACAAGCGACACACCGTCCGATTTATAGTGTGTGTGTAATAAGCGACACACCGCCCGATTTATAGTGTGTGTGTGTGTGTAACAAGCGACACACCGTCCGATTTATAGTGTGTGTGTAATAAGCGACACACCGCCCGATTTATAGTGTGTGTGTGTGTGTGTGTAACAAGCGACACACCGTCCGATTTATAGTGTGTGTGTGTAACAAGCGACACACCACCCGATTTATAGTGTGTGTGTAACAAGCGACACACCGTCCGATTTATAGTGTGTGTGTGTAACAAGCGACACACCGTCCGATTTATAGTGTGTGTGTGTAACAAGCGACACACCGTCCGATTTATAGTGTGTGTGTGTGTAACAAGCGACACACCATCCGATTTATAGTGTGTGTAACAAACGACACACTGTCCAATTTAATGTGAGTGTGTAACAAGAGAGACACCACCTAATTTAATGTGTGTGTGTAACAAGAGAGACACCACCTAATTTAATGTGAGTAGCAAGCGACACACCACAACAAAATGTCGGACATGCCCGAGTTCCATCATTGGTCAGCTCTAGTACCGATGGCGAACATAACGGACCAGCGACCGACTTTTGATAAGCCGTACCTATCTGGTACCGCCGGTAATACAAGTTCCTATGGCTAATGTATGGCTAATGGACAAGTACCCAACACGACATAGGTATGGACCACTCCTCGAACGTGAGACGGGCGGGTGAATGGGGCGGGTGAAGACGCTATCACTGACCTGTAGCATGACAATAGAAACACGAGACGCTAGCACACGATATTTGTAGCGTACAGTCGCCCCCCTCCACCCAGGACGGAACAAGGCTGAGTTCCGTTACAACAGCACAAATCTTTGTTCAGGGCCCACCCTGGGCCGCAGCTGTCGATTCAAGATCCAATCGGAACATGTCCTCCGTGGGTGGAGGTTAGCGATACAGTAGCACACGTCACATACACACTAGCGGACGTCTAGCACACGTCACATACACACTAGCGGAAGTCTATCACACGCCACATACACGGTAGCGGACGTCTAGCACACGTCACATACACTCTAGCGGACGTCTAGCACGTCACATACACACTAGCGGGCGTCTAGCACACGTCACATACACACTAGCGGACGTCTAGCACGTCACATACACACTAGCGGGCGTCTAGCACACGTCACATACACACTAGCGGACGTCTAGCACACGTCACATACACACTAGCGGAAGTCTAGCACACGTCACATACACACTAGCGGACATCTAGCACACGTCACATACACGCTAGCGGACGTCTAGCACACGTCACATACACACTAGCGGAAGTCTAGCACACGTCACATACACACTAGCGGACGTCTAGCACACGTCACATACACACTAGCGGACGTCTAGCACACGTCACATACACACTAGCGGACGTCTAGCACACGTCACATACACGCTAGCGGACGTCTAGCACACGTCACATACACACTAGCGGAAGTCTAGCACACGTCACATACACACTAGCGGAAGTCTAGCACACGTCACATACACACTAGCACACGTCACATACACACTAGCACACGTCTAGCACACGTCACATACACACTAGCACACGTCACATACACACTAGCGGACGTCTAGCACACATCACATACACACTAGCGGACGTCTAGCACACATCACATACACACTAGCACACGTCTAGCACACGTCACATACACACTAGCGGACGTATAGCACACATCACATACACACTAGCACACGTCTAGCACACGTCACATACACACTAGCGGACGTCTAGCACACGTCACATACACACTAGCGGACGTCTAGCACACGTCACATACACACTAGCGGACGTCTAGCACACGTCACATACACGCTAGCGGACGTCTAGCACACGTCACATACACGCTAGCTGACGTCTAGCACACGTCACATACACACTAGCGGACGTCTAGCACACGTCACATACACACTAGCGGACGTCTAGCACACGTCACATACACACTAGCGGACGTCTAGCACACGTCACATACACACCAACGGACGTATTGCACGTCATTGACAGTGTAGAATCTTAGAGCCAGGTATACAGCATGACCTCGGCTCGCCTGTCCAGCCACCACACGGTAACACAGCGACCACTCAACTGGAGACCATATAGACTACTGCTGCTGATCAGTTCACCTGTGGCTTTAGGTGACTGTCACCCACAGATTGTCAACCTGATATCTAATACCTGGCTGCCATTTCATTATGGTATACGAGAGATTCCAGCAGGCCAATGTCACGTGATACCACACAATCACGTAGGAGAAAAATACCAAAGTTCAATATCAAGGAAAAAGTCAAGAATTGCTTGTCAAACAGGCTGTACCTTACTAGTCTAACTTTGAAATCTTAGGGAGGAGAGATAACCCACAAACAGAAATCATAGACAGGAGAGATAACCCTTAACAGAAACCATAGGCAGGAGAAATAACACAACAGAAATTATAGTCAGGAGAGGTAACCCACAAACAGAAATCATAGGCAGAAGAGGTAACCCTTAACAGAAATCCTAGGCAGGAGAGATAACCCTTAACAGAAATCATAGGCAGGAGAGACAACCCACAAACAGAAATCTTAGACAGGATGAAGGCTTCATGACAACAACACTACCCAGACAGGATGAAGGCTTCATGACAACAACACTACCCAGACAGGATGTAGGCTTCATGACAACAACACTACCCACAGGATGTAGGCATCATGACAACAACACTACCCAGACAGGATGAAGGCTTCATGACAACAACACTACCCAGACAGGATGAAGGCTTCATGACAACAACACTACCCAGACAGGATGATGGCTTTGTGATAACACTACATTACTCAGAGACAAGTAGCTAGCCAATCAATACTTACATCTTTGGCCATAGAGTCTAAGCCATTGTTCTTGTAATATTGCAGGAAATCTTCTTTACTATTGCTGCTACTTGCACCTTTAGAGGGGGTTAATGGTGTTATGGTGCATGGACTGCCTTGACCTTTAGTGAAACAAAAACAGTCTTGGAATCAGTTGACAGAGATAAAAGTAATCTGAGTGGCATACTTGTGAAGCAACACATCATCAAGTCAATAAGTAAAGCTTAAACCATTTTTATTCTGACTTTTCAATTTCTCATCAGGCCATTATATAACTTCATCTTTAGTCACTCAGTGACCAATCTTGCTGAGGGATTCATTAAATACGATCAGTTATCTAATCAACAATAAAGTATAATGGTGATTTTAAATTATTTTAATAGGTCACAGCTTTAAGACATTTCTCATAAGTTTAATTTCTGTCTTCCAAACAAGTGCAATCCTGCTTGTTTTTTTTTTGATGAACTTAAATTATGTTTAGCAATATTTATAAAATAAATTGGATTTTATCATATTTTAATAACTGTGTTAGCCCACCAATTTTAATAATAAATAAGGAAAAGATATATAGAATATAGAAAAATCTGACTCAACTAGTCTAAATAACAGTTACTATCACCAAAAGGCCAGATAATTGTTGAAAAAGATAACGGTGCAACAAATGATTGTTGTAACAGAGCAATGATCAACACCATGTTTCTTTGAGTAGGCTTTTATGTCCCACGACATCAAAACTTAGCCCATATCTTTACCCTAGTCAATTTTAATATTCTGTCTCACAGTCAAATGCTACTTATTTTTATGTACGAGTACTAACACTAATAATACTACTACATACATTACCAGGCCCAGGCTAAAAAAAAAAAACAACCACAGGTAGATTTAAGCCAAGATATTATACCCACAGCCAATACAGTGAACACCCATTGTTGAGACATAATTAATAGGCTTAATGGTTAGAACCTAAATCTTTTTATTGTTTAAGTTCTGAACTATTTATTTGGTATTACTAGACTTTAAGTGAATAGGCATACAATAGTTCTAGATCTAAGATTCTAGAATAATCCAAAAAGTCTTTTTATTTCAAAAAGAAAATTGTGCAGTTTAACTTTCAACACAGAAACTCAGTTACCTATGACAACAAATGTGCCAATCGATTAAATTCAATTAGGCCTAATACTACTAAATAAAAAGTCCCACATAAGGCTACTATAATTTCATAAGCAGCCGTAAGCTTTTAAAACATTTCTTACACTAAACAGTACATTAGAGTACTGAGATCTAGTAAATAATATAGAAATATTAAATAATAAGAGAAGACCCAATGAATGACTGATACTAACAGTTGATATAGCCTAATCATATTTTGTAATTTAAAATACTAAGTAGAATCTTGATCTTGAGTTTAAATTTCTGGATTTACAACACTTGACTAAGATCTAGCTAGATTCTACATTCTAGCAGTATTTATTTTATTTAGACCTAAAGGTTGTAACTTTAAAAAATAGGCCTAAGGGTTAGTAATTGTTAAATTTGTACTTTTTAACTTAATTTGTACAGTAATTACCAGTAATGAAGTATCATCAGAAATTTAACACCTCTTTAAATTATAATTTATAGGCTAAGAAAATTCAATTAGGTCTATTTCATCTATTGCATTAACTGACACAGGTAGTTTCTAGATCTAGATTCATTGTTCTATAACATATAGATAAATCTATCCAAAATCTAGATCTAGTCAAAATTTTTTTAAATAGATTTTAAGAAAATTCTATTTACATTATTGTGCCATTATCGACCATGGTAATTCACTAATTTATTGGTATAGGGGTAAAACATTTTAGTGTATTTTATTGGGTGCTTCATGTATACTTCCAGTTGAGCGTATTTTATCATAAACACAACCAAGACACACGAAAACATTAAGAAAACACTAGGATTCGATGTAGATCTCACATTTTTAAAATAAAATGTGTTTTAATTACAAAAGGTAAAAAAAAACTTTATAAATAAGGGGCCTAAGCATTACAGTTCTAATTAAATAGCATATGATCGTCTACGGGAGAAAAATCCCTACCCTGTTGTGGGTTCACCGTGACCATGAGTTCACACTGGCTTTTATTTTTTATTATCAGCATAGGGGGAGAATTTTTATACCAGTGTCTGATAAAAAAAGAGGGGTGTTAGGTTACTGGTAGTTAACTAAAAAAATATTAAATACACACATGACTGGCTAAGGCTAATGTCAATCACAATGAGAATGCCTACCCTGTCCCTCCCAGCACACCATAAGCTTTTAAGTAGGCATTTTGGTAAATTTTGCCTAATTATCTCAGAATGATAAAACACACATAATATTGAAGGCCATAAACTGCCATTTAATAAACTACTAAATTTATCACTGTAGGCCCAGTAGTTTTTTTTTAATGAATTTTTAAAGTTGTATGTTAAACAGCTTATATTTTATTGTAAAGTTGCAAAATATTTGGTGTCCTTCTTTGAGTTCATATAGCGTTGTTATTTTTTAACATGTAATGATAAAACTTTGCATATTGATACTAGAGAGTACAGGCAACAGGAATATGCAATAAAGATCAGTAAAGGGAAAACCAAAAATAATTAAGACTAATTAAGGGTCATGGCGTTTTTATATAGAGAGCAACGTTAGTCTATTGTCAAACTGCACAACTCTGTTGTTAATAAAGATATATTGATAATACTTTGCATATTGGTGCTAGGGAGTACAGGCAACAGGAATATGCAAGTGAAATACAGCTTAATTAAAAGGAAAACAACTAATAATTAACTTAATAAAGCCCAATTAAGGAGTGCGGTGCCGTTCTACTATGATTGCCAAAAGTCACTTTTCATACTGAATATCTATGTTGCTATCGATGATACAAAAATAAAACTTAGCACATAGATGCTTAAGGATGTTGGGAATAGAAATTTACAAGTCAAAAAAATGCTAGGAGAAAAAGACAATCACATATAATAAAGTCTAATTAATGGGGGTGGCACTGAAATCTTGTATCAATAATACCTGTGTATTATACTCATACTGGAATATGATATGGTTAGGATTATGTTGAAATATCTAAATATTAGTAGCATTAGTTATAGGCTACTTTTAATAAGTAGCCAAGGATGGTTAATCAATAGACAGCCTACAGAAACTAGATGAGATGTGTCGCAACCGAAGGATAGACAGCTGCCTTATTTGCTGATCTGAACCTACTGTTTAAAAAAAATTACTGTTGCTTAGTTTAAGTTATAAAATTAAGTCACATTGTTCAAAGTGTTACTGTTTCTGTTTTCTTTTTGACTTTTAAAAAAATGTATCTATCACTGTTGCTTTAGATCACATTATTAAAGTGAAGTGTTAATGTTTCTATTTTATCTTTGACTTCATTTATTTTACTTTCCATGCCTCTATAGATCTAGTAGTATATTTTAGCTATTATTAAATTTTAAAGATAATATACTATAATCTGAGAAATGACCAATTTAATCTTTGTATTTGTAATTATTTTCTTAATCAGTTTTTCCTGAAACGGGGTAACTAAAGTTTAGATATCATCCATAAGTAATTTTACAACATAATTATATATTTAAGCTTGATGCAATAAATATTAGTTCTATTAGATTCTTATAAGCAATTACTCATTAAAATACATAGATCTAAATCTATTCTATAGGGGCCTAATATTTATAAGGGCCTATTTATTACTATTTAAAATTTTAATTAGGCCTATTATTATTACCCAATTGAAAATGACTAATATGGAAGATTATTAATGAATGGGACTATTAATTCCATTGCTTTAAATTTTATTTAATCCATAAAAAACATTCTATAAGCTAAAATCTTGCCAATTCAATGAATAGTGTTAAACAGTAATATCAAATGTGCGATTTTTTATATTTCATGCATATGGTCTATGGACCGTCATAAAAATTTAAACTCGGCCGTCATTATTAAAATTGCGTAGATCCCCTTCACTTCACGCAAGAAGCAATATCTGGTTATAAAGAGCTAAAAAGCCCCATAAAACCAACATTTCCACCCATCAAAATAGTTTGGCATTACTTATTTACTAGATCTAGTTTCCTGAACTTATCTCTTTTTTAAATGCCGAAATTTGGTTCTATCGATAATAGGTAACCTCGCGGCCCCTATCGCCCTGTTAAAAAATTGTGTCAGCGGGACCCCCCCAAGATTTACCAATGCTTTTTAAGCATGTTCCAATGAAAAGAACTCTATCAAACTGTTATTTTTGTTCTTGAGAATGGTTAGGATGCTCATTACAACTAATGTCTAGCTTATTATACTTTACTTTCTTGCTAAAATTAATACTAATTGAAAGAAGTCGGTTACTGCGTTTAATGAGACGTGTTCGCTAAGATACCTCGATAAAATTGGGATCGATATGTTAAAATGTAACTAATAGTTTTCCATACAAACATAGAATATAAAAACAGCCCACTTTGACGTATCGAATACATTAATTTATCGATTCTCTCATGATAACTAAGCACTTGGATGGAAAATGGCCGAAATTACAAAAGTTGGCTTGAAAAATTTCGGATGTGGCCAGATTAAACAAAATGGCGGACATCGAAATGCCTACTTTTAAGTCTAACCCTAATTTTAGGGCCTAAGTAATTTAATTTCTAACCATAAAATTAGCAGAGATTACAATACTACTAACAACCCAACGCACCTATTTTATGGAAGAGTCTATTATCGGACAACGGTAAAAATCATCCCTAAAATTTAGTACTCTACTAAAGCCTGTCTAACTTGTCTAAGCCTAAGCATTTCTTCAATTATTTGCCTTTGAATGTGATTACCTTCTTCCACCCACAAGCTGGCTAGTGTGGTGTTACTGTTTGCCATGAAATGATGAAGAATTAACTCATGAAGTAAGCAATATGTATCCACAGAAAATAGTATTCCAATAGACTTTAAAACTTGCAATAGATTCAGCTACGGGGAATGTGTTTATAGGCGAAAAACATATCACAAAATAAATAATTCCAGATAAACTCAAGTCACCGCAGCATTCGAAAATGGCGTCCGGTTTTTTATCCGAACACTTAAACTAGTATAAAAAGACTTATCATTTAATATAGCTTATTTTTATAATATGCGCATTCTTTATTATAGGTGTGTTAAAATATGTGTGAAATTTGTCCTTTAAAAAGTAAACAAACACAGTACATCCATTTTCAATTCTACAATTTTCTTAATCTAAACACATTACGAGCTTGGCGGCGTCAGCCATTGTCATTATTTCATTGGGTCTGCCAATCACATGGCCCTCTTGCGCATGCGAAGTAATGAAAATATGAGGTTAAAGTTCACAGTAACTTAGACGCAAAACAAAGAAAGTTTACCATGCAAACTTTAAAAAATGAATTTCTGGAAGTCATATTTAGACTACGTAACAATAAATTTAAAAAAAAAAAAGATTTTCCGGCAAAATTAACCCGATGTTTTGTTAATTTTTTTTCTAAATTACTAGATTCTTAGATTTACACACATATTATTTATATACAAGTAGATTTCTACTGACTGATAACCAATAGTTATAGTACCAATATGAATAAACAAGGCCTTCAAAATATTGAAAAGGCCTAATTTTAGACTGCATTCTCATGGGTTTCTGGGTATTTCCATTACGCAGTTCTGTGAACAACCAAAATTGTGCTAGAACTGCGTGGTAGGGCCTATGTTCTGACCCGATAAATCTCATAGCGGCCTATTTAATTAAATGCAACGATCGAGGTTACCTAATTTATTTTCTTGTGACCATTGTAATAATTTGTTACTCTAATTTTTCTCTGTGACCAGATATAAAAGCATGGCTTAGCTACAGTGGCGTAGCGAGGTCGGGTGTCACCCGGTGCGGCACTTAGTGGTGTCACCCCCCCCCCTTCCGTATATATATATATATATATATATATATATATATTAGGCATACCGCACTAGCTTCGCTTATGTTTTCAAAAAACTTTGGAGGAATTGAATGATTAATTAATTGGTGATTGGCTGTTAAGTGGAGTACTTAGGGCCTAAGCTTGAACAGTCTGAGTAAATTAAAGTCAAGCCCCCATTGATGAGGCTTATAACTCGTCGCAAACTTATTACCCGCTGTGATATTTATTTTTTCTTTAAAATAGTAAAATCATTATTTAGAAATTATTACTTTAAAAAGCTAGCTCCCCTGTAAGCATACCAAAGGACGTAGTCTTTGTTTACTTTTTCACAAACAATTGTTTATATAAGAAATTACAGTATCTGGACAACTCTAACAACCCTAGGGGGTTTATCTGGAGGGAATAATGTTTTTTTGTTACCCTCCAGGGTCGGTCTACGACCTCACAAAATATCAAGGGGGGGGGGGGGGGGTCGTTCGGTAAAAAGTTTTTTTTCGTAATATAGCTCATATAAGGCGTCGGTCAGTCGAGTCCAGTTTTGAGCCTCTCTTCGTGGACTTTGCGGCCAACCGGTACCGGCCCCGGTGTTCTATTGCCTGCCAAATTTGAATTAATATAAGTAAGTATTTATTTACGCATGTGTATGTATTCACTTTTTTTAATGTATTTAATTGTTTACCTTTTCTACCCATATATGGATTAAAACATACGTTATTACGATTCTCAACCAAACCGTTTACCTCAGCCATATTTTGCAACGTTGAGTTAATGTAACTTCATCCCCCCCCCCCCCCCCTCGACGGCGATTGCTTTAAACTGTGCTAAGATAATACTAGCGATTTTTATCTATAGTCGGTTATAAATACATCTTGATGTAGCATGTTTTCTCTATCATTAGCAGGTTTAAGTCATGGTGTCACCCCCCCCCCCCCCCTTGTCGGGATTTGTCAAATTTGCTCTTAAAAGAGTATTTAACACTCTAATTAACCACTTATTTAAGTGGAATTATCATTTTCCTCTATATATTGTGCTACTTTTTGCCTTGGTGTCACCCCCCTAAATGGTGTCACCCGGTGCGGTCCGCATCCACGCCCCCCCCCCCCCCCCCCCCCTCGCTACACCATTGCTTAGCTAGACATCTCGTTACTATTACCAGTTACTAGATCTAGATCTAATATTTCATTTGGGTTTAACAATTTTAATTTTTATCACGTCCAAGGTAAAAAAATAATAAAAAAAATAAAAGGAAATTGCTACCTCATAGACGCCCTCACCCCACCCTAATTCTGTTATAAGTGTTTGTTTGGTTTGAAGCATTCATATTTATAATTTAACAAAACTAGTATATTTTATTATTTTTTATATACATCAAGGCCTACACTACACTAGAGATCTCTGGGTAGGGGCAGCCGTGAGTGAATAAAAAAAATACTGTGTTTTAATTACACGTTGGAATGTTTTTGTTTTTTTTAATACGAGCATTATCGTCTTGATTTTACTTCTGACATGCAGGATACCAGTTTTATGATTGTTTTAAAATATAATTAAGCGCTTTGACATTAAATTCAGCATGGACATCCGTTTTGGCAGGATCCCCCCCCCCTCCCCCAGTCCACTAACGTACTCAAACGTCTATTTTTTTTACCCCCCCCCCCCTCCATTTGTCAAAAATGGATGACCCTATTGACCCTTTAGCCAGATTTATATCTTTCACGGATGTTTAATTATGTCTATGTAATCTATGTAACTAAGTTGCCGCTTTTGGTTGTGTTTCTTCCAGACTTTTTTCTCCGGGGGGGGGGGCGCTTGAAATTTTCGGGGGGGGTGCGGTCAACATTTTTCGGGGGGGGGGGGGGGCGGACATTAGTAAAAGTGTATGTTTATTATATAAAATCCATCACGTTCGGGGGGGGGGGCGGTAGACTTTCTTCGGGGGGGGGGGGGGGGGGCAGAGTGTTTACGTGACTCTACCCATCGCGGCCGCGTCGACTCGACGGCGTCCTAATGACTCCACTCTGGGATCGAACGCTAGGTAGAACTCAATAGAACTCCATTTTCTGCGTGCTTCAATGTCTCGTGAAAATCACAGAGGGAAATAAAATCAGCCTCAACACGAATTCTTACATAGAGTTATTGTCCCTGACACACATTTACAAATCTAAGTTGATGATCTCGATTTCCTGCTAATTAGTTTCTAACACTAGCACCGTACAAATCATCGAACGGCGTCCAATTAATTATTCACCAGCTTCGTTGTTTGTTTTCTTGACATTCTCTTCTAGTTCATTGTTGCAAGCTTAGAGTTAAAACAATGGTAAGTCCGTGTCTAGTTGTTGCAAACTTAGAGTTAAAACAATGGTAAGTCCGTGTCTAGTTGTTGCAAGCTTAGAGTTAAAACAATGGTAAGTCCGTGTCTAGTTGTTGCAAGCTTAGACTTAAAGCAATGGTAAGTCCGTGTCTAGTTGTTGCAAGCTTAGAGTTAAAACAATGGTAAGTCCGTGTCTAGTTGTTGCAAGCTTAGAGTTAAAACAATGGTAAGTCCGTGTCTAATTGTTTCATGGAGTTTGGTGATGTTGTGTCCACACATTGAATCATCTGGTAGTACAAAAACTAACAACAGTGAGCGTACATCAATAAAACCAGTAACAACAGTATACATCAATAAAAAAAATTAACAACAGTATACATCCATTAAAAAAACTGAATGCCCGAGGAATAAGGATAACAGTTAAAAATATTTTTTTTTTCGAAACGACAGTTCAGGCAACGATGAGCGAAAATAAAATATTTTAAAATATTTTATGTATGTTGTCAGATGGTGAATCACATTAACACTACTCCTTAATATATGGTTCGGTGGTATTGTAGTACCGTCCCTGTGTAGTCACGCCCCTGGTTCAGTGGTATTGTAGTCCCGCCCCTGGTCAGGTGGTATTGTAGTCCCGCCCCTGGTCAGGTGGTATTGTAGTCCCGCCCCTGGTCAGGTGGTATTGTAGTCCCGCCCCTGGTCAGGTGGTATTGTAGTCCCGCCCCTGGTCAGGTGGTATTGTAGTCCCGCCCCTGGTCAGGTGGTATTGTAGTCCCGCCCCTGGTCAGGTGGTATTGTAGTCCCGCCCCTGTGTAGTCACGCCCCTGATCAGGTGGTATTGTGGTCCCGCCCCTGGTCAGGTGGTATTGTAGTCCCGCCCCTGTGTAGTCCCGCCCCTGGTCAGGTGGTATTGTAGTCCCGCCCCTGGTCCAGTGGTATTGTAGTTCCGCCGCTGAGCGTGTACCGTTGACTCCTTTCTCCAAGACAAAATATTCGTTAAAACAACATTTGAATGAAGCTCCCTTGACCTAGATCTGTCTCGGTGTCTGACAACTTTGTAGGTGTGTCCAGAATTTGTTTGGACATTTCTCACACGACACACGTCTTATATTATGTTGGCTTGGAGTGTTGCTTTTATTTTTATCACCGTCTGCTCTGACTTCACAAGAACTAGTGAGTTACGGAGCTACCGCCAAAACTCACTTCTGCTAATTTGTTGTTTTTTTTAAAATTTTAAACCGATCTAAAAAAAAGTTTACTTCTAAACGTTGTTTCTTGTCTGTGTAGTTCTGTTCCCGCGTGACGTATGTGCACGCACCATAGCAGAAGAACGTGTGAAACTGACTTTGTGTTTTTTTTCTTCCCACAGATGGTCAGGAGTTGAGAGAGGCAGACTACTATTCCACCCAAGTTCTAGGTAATTCTGTCATTATCTGTAGATTGTAATTCAGTTTTTTAAACGTCCATTTATAATGGCTGCCAACTTGACCAGTTCACTCCCCTAATGTTTCATAATTATCGTCTCCCTTTAGTTGCTTTAAAAAGTTGTGGCTATTGTGGGCTATTGACATGGTAGGGCTTTTGAAGTGGTAGGGCTATAAACTTTGGGCTAATGACGTGTTAGAGCTATAAAGCTGTGGACGGTTAACAGTTAACATGGTGGTGTATAGAATAATCACCTTGCACAGTAATCGAAGCCCGAGTCCACCCTCAAATAATTCGAGTTCAAACTGTTTTCACTAACATTTGTAGCATTATCCCGCCCATTCCCATCCATGTTCGATACGTTTTCCTCCCCCTGACTTGAAAAAAGCCTGTTGTCTACTCCTGCAGATGGGCAGCCGACAGTTCCGTTCGGCGACAGGCCGGGCGCCGCCACTAGCACCAACACCTGCCAACATGTCAGGGCGGTGCCGGTCGAACTTCGAAGTCCGAACGCAATAAAGCCGTCTGGAATTGGACAGTTCTACCAAAAATACACCGAGGCTTATGGGATTCCTGTTCTGTGTAGGTTAACCACAGCTGAGCTAGTTATTTCATTGTGTCTTAAATAGGTCTACCACAGCCGAGCTAGTTATTTCACTGTCTTAAATGTAACAAAAATGTCCATGTTTTTAAAACATTCTTTTATGTTGAAAAAACCTAAGACAGCAAACCCGCGCCCCTCTCTCTCTCTATAATCTGATCTCCCGCCCCTCCTCTATACTTGACGTTTCTTATCGATGATGTCTTAACGAATACAAAAAATACACAACGCTAAACCTTTATATAGCCTCCCCCCCAGTTCCCGCTAAACTTTCCTTGTTCCCACCCAGTATGTCAGTTCCCGGTATATGATAGATGTTCCCTGTTCCCAGCGAGCGCCCATGTTCCCGACGACGCCCTGAGACGAGCCTGCTACACCCTCCGGTTCCTCCTGGCTGACCACTCGGAGGTCCGCAGCGCCTTCTACCGTCTCTCTGGGCGGGTGGCCGTGTTGGGCAAGGACGAGGGCACCACTTACATCCCCGAGCACAGCCACCTCGCACCCTGGTGGAACTTCAGGGCCCGCGGGCTGGGGGCCACGCCCAGAGCCCCGGTGTCGTCTGGGGGAGAGGAGAACCTCCTGTGCTACAGGTAAGGGAGGTCAAGGTCAGAAACACTCGTAGGGTAGGTCAAGGTCAGAAACATTCGTAGGGTAGGTCAAGGTCAGAAACATTCGTAGGCAAGGTCAAGTTTAGAAACACTCGTAGGGAAGGTCATTTTGTAAACGAAGTAAGAAAGTTGTGGGTATGAATATCGAAATTTGAATTGTAAATGAATATCTGTATTTTTTTTTTTAAAAGTGAAGTCGCCTTGTTTTTTTTTTCCGCAGATACGACTGGTACAGGGAGCAGGACATTTTTCTTCATGAAGCTTCGCATGGTGTACATCTGTTAGGTCAGTTGTAGGTCAGTCTGTTAGGTCAGTTGTAGGTCAGTCTGTTAGGTCAGTTGTAGGTCAGTCTGTTAGGTCAGTTGTAGGTCAGTCTGTTAGGTCGGTTGTAAGTCATATTAGTTTAAGGTCCCTCGTTGTGTTGGTTGATAAATCTCTAATGCAAATTTTCTAAATAAAGGACCCCAAATGGACAACTAACAAAACACCCCCCCCCACTAAACCTCCCATTTCCCATGCAGGTGCAGCTGTGGGTATCCCAGGATGGGACCAGCGACTCCGCGCCCTCTTCAACCAATCAAAAGCTCGTGGCCTCTGGGCTAACACGTACAGCATGACGTCACCGGAAGAGTACTTTGTAAGTGTGTCTGTCACATTACCCAATCAAATTAGCAGTGTATGACATCACACAGTCCCTCACCCCAAGCCGCCATAGTACGTTGGGGGTCTATTGCAAGATGGCGTGGGTAGGGGATTTTAGAAGCTGGGCATATCTTGTCACTTTAAAAAAAAAATAACTGTATGAGATACACAGGTCGCGCTACCCAACTAATGCTGGGTACCTATTTCAACTAGGTGGGCTCATAACTTTTGTTCTGGGCTCAAACACTGGGCATACCTTGTTTTTTTTTAAAACTGAGCTCACCCAGCTGTACTAAGTACCCAACATGCATCGGGAAGAGCGAAACGTAATGCTACAACTAATCCAAATGTATGTCTGGTTCAGGCTGAAGGCACCCAGAGCTACTTTAACGTCAACTCGTATGTGCCCCGCCCCGACGGGGTGAGGGGGCCCGTGGACACGAGGGACAAGCTGCGAGCCTACGACCCGGGACTGTACAGCCTGATACGCGAGGTCTTCCCCTGCGACAATGTCTACCTCAGGCGATGTTACAGTAATAGAAGTAAGGGAAACTACTCGCACTTCTTTAATCATCACACTAGCCTCCCTTAGCGACACGGGTGATAACTCTAATAATTTCATGCCACAACTAAGGAAAATAAAAACAAGTTTAATATTTTATGATTCAACTACAAGCCTACAACAACTAACCATTTCCACGATCCCGAGAGAGGGGCAGATTACAGATACCCAGAGGTCTAGTTAGGGAGAGCCGGAGGTACCCTATATATCAGGGTAGTTGTTCCTTTTTGTCGGATACAAATAGAACTAAATTAATGTTTCTGGTTAGGTTGACCTGTGTCTATGTGTGCCACCTTACGATGTATGTTTAGGAGATTGTGTCCCTAACATTTCATGTTTCCCTGTATGTTACATGTTTCCCTGTATGTTACATGTTTCCCTGTATGTTACATGTTTCCCTGTATGTTACATGTTTCCCTGTATGTTACATGTTTCCTTGTATGTTACATGTTTCCCTGTATGTTACATGTACTCAGCCATTGAGGACAGACAACACATGCAGATGGATTGTGACCTGGGGAGTGGTGAGTACTGGGGGGGGGGGAGGAGTGGTGAGTACTGGGGGGGGGGAGTGGTGAGTACTGGGGGGGGGGAGTGGTGAGTACTGGGGGGGGGGGAGTGGTGAGTACTGGGGGGGGAGTGGTGAGTACTGGGGGGGGAGTGGTGAGTACTGGGGGGGGGGAGTGGTGAGTACTGGGGGGGGAGTGGTGAGTACTGGGGGGGGGAGTGGTGAGTACTGGGGGGGGGGAGTGGTGAGTACTGGGGGGGGGGGGAGTGGTGAGTACTGGGGGGGGGAGTGGTGAGTACTGGGGGGGGGAGTGGTGAGTACTGGGGGGGGGAGTGGTGAGTACTGGGGGGGGGAGTGGTGAGTACTGGGGGGGGGAGTGGTGAGTACTGGGGGGGGAGTGGTGAGTACTGGGGGGGGGAGTGGTGAGTACTGGGGGGGGAGTGGTGAGTACTGGGGGGGGAGTGGTGAGTACTGGGGGGGGGGGGAGTTGTGAGAACTGGGGGGAGTGGTGAGTACTGGGGGGGGAGTGGTGAGTACTGGGGGGAGTGGTGAGAACTGGGGGGGAGTGGTGAGTACTGGGGGGGGGAGTGGTGAGTACTGGGGGGGGGAGTGGTGAGTACTGGGGGGGGAGTGGTGAGTACTGGGGGGGGGAGTGGTGAGTACTGGGGGGGGGGAGTGGTGAGTACTGGGGGGGGAGTTGTGAGAACTGGGGGGAGTGGTGAGTACTGGGGGGGGGAGTGGTGAGTACTGGGGGGGGGGAGTGGTGAGTACTGGGGGGGGGAGTTGTGAGAACTGGGGGGGAGTGGTGAGTACTAGGAGGGGGAGTGTTGAGTACTGGGGGGAGTGGTGAGTACAGGGGGGTGGGTGGGGGGAGTGGTGAGTACTGAGGGGGGGGGGGTGGTGAGTACTGAGGGGGGTGGGTGAGGGGGAGTGGTGAGTACTGGGGGGGGGGAGTGGTGAGTATTGATGGGGGTGGGTGAGGGGGAGTGGTGAGTACTGGGGGGGGAGTGGTGAGTACCGAGTGGGTGGGTGAGGGGGAGTGGTGAGTACTGAGGGGGGAGTGGTGAGTACTGGGGGGGGAGTGGTGAGTACCGAGGGGGGTGGGTGAGGGGGAGTGGTGAGTACCGAGGGGGGGGAGTGGTGAGTACCGTGGGTGGGTGGGTGAGGGGGAGTGGTGAGTACCGAGGGGGGTGGGTGAGGGGGGAGTGGTGAGTGCTGGGAGGGGGGGAGTGAGTGGGGAGAGTGGTGAGGTGGTGGTGAGTGGGGGGAGGGGGGGAGTAACTAGGTGGTGGTGAGTGGGGGTGGTGAGTACTGAGGTGGTGGTGGGGGTGAGTGTGGGGTGGACAGAGTTGACTACATTCTATCCTGGGGCCTTGTTTAACCAGAGAACTTTTTGTTCCAGGTGGCGCCTCATGCTCTGACCAGCACGTGCACTGCGCCGAGTGGGCGGCCATTGGTCAGTGTAGCCAGTACTCCGCCTACATGACACGTCACTGCCGGGAGAGCTGTGAGCTGTGCTGACCCCAGTTGACCTGACCAATGTTGTACCTACAACTTATGTGTAGTACCTACAACTTATCCCACACTGTTATAGTTGTTGTAACAATTCTGCTGACACTTTATGCTGGATGTGTATTTTTTTTAAAAAACTACATTTTGATATTAAATTTGATGCAAACTTCTGCAATCAATACTTGTTACTGCATCCATTTTACCTTTTTAGTAAAAAAAAAAGTGAGTCTAAAATATTACTGGTGGGTTACTATTATTTCTATCCATAATCCTAATCCAATCCCTCACATTCTTAACATATTCCTACATGTCTCTAAATTACCAAATCCTTTTGTCTATTTACATGTAACCTTTTTATTAAGCTACTGCCCCGCCCCTACCTGCATGCCTCCTGTAAACATTATACCTCAAAGACCCAACACAATACAACAACAAGATTACCACTTCAGTCTTCAAAAATATAAACTTGTGTTAATATATGGAATGCCCCAGCCTAAGTCCCCCAATAAAACCTCCAATTTGGAGGTGTCACATTAAAAAATCCCCATAAAATAATTTTTGATCTGAACCGATATAATACAAAATTTATTTGAAAAACTTTGAAAATCACAGCATACTTGTTAAAGGCATTCGACAGATTCTTACAGACATTCAAAAAATTATTACAATAATTACATTCTACTAATTATTACAGACATTCTACAAGTTGTTATGGACAATTTGCCGTCTCAGTAAGCATGTGTTTTTTAGCGATGAAACCATTGACAATATTCCACCAAGATTTTAGTTTTTAGTTAAATCACCTGATGTGTCCAGGATAATTTTTTTCTGAAGAATTTCTTTTGGTCCCAACTTTTTGTACCCGGATAGTGCAGGGGTGCAGGCATTGCTGTAACTCCGCTCATTCTCAGGTACCCCTAGTCTGTTCAAAAGTCTGAAAAATAAAATAAGACATCATGCTTTAAAAATGGTATACAAAGATTTATCTGAACATAAGACATCATGATTTAAAAATAGTATACAAAGATTTATCTGAACATTTTTTTAAGATATTTAAATTAACTTTTTGGCAAATCTATCTATCTATACACTAACGTAAACTTGAAAAATGAATTGAAATTAAAATGTTAAAAAAAAACAATTTAATTAAAATGTAAAAAACCAATTGAACAAAAAAAGAAAAACCAATTGAATAAAAAAGCTAAAACCAATTGAACAAAAAAACAAAAACCAATTGAACAAAGAAAACAAAAACCAATTGAACAAAAAAACAAAACCAATTGAATAAAAAAACAAAAACCAATTGAACAAAGAAAACAAAAACCAATTGAACAAAAAAACAAAAACCAATTGAACAAAAAAACAAAAACCAATTGAACAAAAAAACAAAAACCAATTGAACAAAAAAACAAAAACCAATTGAACAAAAAAACAAAAACCAACTGAACAAAAAAACAAAAACCAATTGAACAAAAAAACAAAAACCAACTTTTGTGTGATGCTAGGGATGATGGGCTGCAGCAGAATGCCACAAACTCTCAGCGTTTCCATAGCAACGTGTAGAACAACATGGAGGTGAGCTGTGTCTGCTGGGTCCGTGGACTGGCTCAGCTGCCAGGGTTGGTGCCCCTGCACTAAGGTGTTGGCCCAGTGCAGGTGAGAGAAGATCAGGCTGATGCACTTACCCAGGTTCAAATCCCTGTACAGGAAATCTACTTGCTCTGAAAATTATTTTTTTAGAGAAATTTTTGTTATGGAGCAAAGGGTTTAAATTTTGTTACCTTATATAAAATTCATAATGCTTTAGAATGGAAAATTATTCTTGTGTCATTCAAGATTTTGAAATTTTAACTGTAACGCACTGTCACAAAAAGCTCAAACTTAGCACAAATTAATTTTTGGGCACCTGCAAGGTCATAGGTCGACTTGAAGAACTCTCTCTCCTCTACTGTCAAAAATTCAAACATGTGATCTGGGTTCAAGGCCACAAAGCTTTGAGTCTTGTTGACAGAGGGCGCTGTCAGTCTCCCCAAAAGGTTGCCCAGCGTGTTGGCCAGGTCAGTGTTGAGTCTCTCCACCATTCTCTTCTCACTGTAGGCTAGGTCAAAGAAAATTTGGTCAGTTATCTCCCTGTAACACTTTGTTCCAAATATATTCTATTTCTTCTTAAATCTATTTAACTAATAAATTATCTAAAATTATTTTTATTTACCAAATGGCCTGCCATACTAAATTATATTTGTTCAGTAAAGACATGTTTACTTAATGGTGTATCATACTATTTCTGCTCAAACTCTGTAACACAAATCGTTTCTGGAAATGACTTGATCTAATTAAGTTTACATGACTTATGACTGTGATCATGTTGACTGAGTGACTAGTGCAAGAAATGACCTTGCACGTTCACCATGGCAACCATGCTGTAAACTCACAGGAATCCGACTCTATGCTTCCTTCTTTCAGTAGAAAAAACCTCAATCCATCCACGCCAAAGATTTGCATTTTGTCCACTGGATCAATCACATTGCCCAGACTCTTGGACATCTGGTAGAAAATATTTGAAATAGTGTGCAGTCAGTTATGTCAGGTAGTGTGCAGTCAGGTAGTGTGCAGTCAGTTATGTCAGGTAGTGTACAGTCAGTTATGTCCGGTAGTGTACAGTCAGTTATGTCCGGTAGTGTACAGTCAGTTATGTCAGGTAGTGTGTAGTCAGGTAGTGTGCAGTCAGTTATGTCAGGTAGTGTGCAGTCAGTTATGTCAGGTAGTGTGTAGTCAGGTAGTGTGCAGTCAGGTAGTGTGCAGTCAGTTATGTCAGGTAGTGTGTAGTCAGGTAGTGTGCAGTCAGTTATGTCAAGTAGTGTGCAGTCAGTTATGTCAGGTAGTGTGCAGTCAGTTATGTCAGGTAGTGTGCAGTCAGTTATGTCAGGTAGTGTGCAGTCAGGTAGTGTGCAGTCAGTTATGTCAGGTAGTGTGCAGTCAGGTAGTGTGCAGTCAGTTACGTCACGTAGTGTGCAGTCAGTTATGTCAGGTAGTGTGCAGTCAGTTATGTCAGGTAGTGTGTAGTCAGGTAGTGTGCAGTCAGGTAGTGTGCAGTCAGTTATGTCAGGTAGTGTGCAGTCAGTTATGTCAGGTAGTGTGCAGTCAGGTAGTGTGCAGTCAGTTATGTCAGGTAGTGTGTAGTCAGGTAGTGTGCAGTCAGGTAGTGTGCAGTCAGTTATGTCAGGTAGTGTACAGTCAGGTCGTGTGCAGTCAGTTATGTCAGGTAGTGTACAGTCAGGTCGTGTGCAGTCAGTTATGTCAGGTAGCGTGCAGTCAGTTACGTCAGGTAGTGTGCAGTCAGTTATGTCAGGTAGTGTACAGTCAGGTCGTGTGCAGTCAGTTATGTCAGGTAGCGTGCAGTCAGTTACGTCAGGTAGTGTGCAGTCAGTTATGTCAGGTAGTGTGCAGTCAGTTACGTTAGGTAGTGTGCAGTCAGTTATGTCAGGTAGTGTGCAGTCAGTTATGTCAGGTAGTGTGCAGTCAGGTAGTGTGCAGTCAGGTAGTGTGCTGTCAGTTATGTCAGGTAGTGTGTAGTCAGGTAGTGTGCAGTCAGTTATGTCAGGTAGTGTGCAATCAGTTATGTCAGGTAGTGTGTAGTCAGGTAGTATGCAGTCAGGTAGTGTGCAGTCAGTTATGTCAGGTAGTGTGCAGTCAGTTATGTCAGGTAGTGTGCAGTCAGTTATGTCAGGTAGTGTGTAGTCAGGTAGTGTGCAGTCAGGTAGTGTGCAGTCAGTTATGTCAGGTAGTGTGTAGTCAGGTAGTGTGCAGTCAGTTATGTCAAGTAGTGTGCAGTCAGTTATGTCAGGTAGTGTGCAGTCAGTTATGTCAGGTAGTGTGCAGTCAGTTATGTCAGGTAGTGTGCAGTCAGGTAGTGTGCAGTCAGTTATGTCAGGTAGTGTGCAGTCAGGTAGTGTGCAGTCAGTTACGTCACGTAGTGTGCAGTCAGTTATGTCAGGTAGTGTGCAGTCAGTTATGTCAGGTAGTGTGTAGTCAGGTAGTGTGCAGTCAGGTAGTGTGCAGTCAGTTATGTCAGGTAGTGTGCAGTCAGTTATGTCAGGTAGTGTGCAGTCAGTTATGTCAGGTAGTGTGCAGTCAGGTAGTGTGCAGTCAGGTAGTGTGCAGTCAGTTATGTCAGGTAGTGTGTAGTCAGGTAGTGTGCAGTCAGTTATGTCAAGTAGTGTGCAGTCAGTTATGTCAGATAGTGTGCAGTCAGTTATGTCAGGTAGTGTGCAGTCAGTTATGTCAGGTAGTGTGCAGTCAGGTAGTGTGCAGTCAGTTATGTCAGGTAGTGTGCAGTCAGGTAGTGTGCAGTCAGTTACGTCACGTAGTGTGCAGTCAGTTACGTCAGGTAGTGTGCAGTCAGTTATGTCAGGTAGTGTGCAGTCAGGTAGTGTGCAGTCAGGTAGTGTGTAGTCAGGTAGTGTGCAGTCAGTTTTGTCAGGTAGCGTGCAGTCAGTTACGTCAGGTAGTGTGCAGTCAGTTATGTCAGGTAGTGTGCAGTCAGGTAGTGTGCAGTCAGGTAGTGTGCAGTCAGTTACGTCAGGTAGCGTGCAGTCAGTTACGTCAGGTAGTGTGCAGTCAGTTATGTCAGGTAGTGTGCAGTCAGGTAGTGTGCAGTCAGTTACGTCACGTAGTTTGCAGTCAGTTCTACCAATTACTCCACTGACCTTGACATTATCGACCAACCAATGAGAGTGGACGACAAGCTTTTCTGGCGGCTTGTAGCCTGCTGCTATTAAAAAAGCTGGCCAATATACAGCATGGAACCTGAGGAGTATAAAAAATTTAAAAATTCTACTGTTGTCTTTACAGTGCCTCTCTACTGAGGCTGGTGAAATAAAACTCAGTCTAGCAGTGCTATCAAAAAATTGTTGCTATGGCTACCAGTAATTAACCTGAATGGACCAACGAAAAAAATTCTTACTTTAAAATATCTTTGCCGATGATCTGACAGGAGGGAGGCCAGGGGCCCCAGTTGGTGTTGGGGTAGCCAGTGACCGTCAAGTAGTTGACCAGTGCGTCTAGCCAGACATAGATCTGGAGAGTTAGGTAGAAATGTGACGTTATACAAGCTGGCACATGTCAGACTACTATATAGCCCTGTTAGGGAATATAGCCCTGTTAGGGAATATAACCATCATAGGGAATAAAACCATGTTAGGGAATATAACCCTGTTAGGGAATATAACCACTTTAGGGAATATAACCACTTTAGGGAATATGACCACTTTAGGAATGTGACCACTTTAGGGAATGTGACCACTTTAGGGAATGTGACCACTTTAGGGATATGACCACTTTAGGGATGTGACCACTTTAGGGATGTGACCACTTTAGGGAATGTGACCACTTTAGGGATATGACCACTTTAGGGATGTGACCACTTTAGGGATGTGACTTAACTGTTTGAGTGTCATCATTAGGCACTGGAATTCCCCAAGGGACACGACTTCTGTCTCTTGTGACTGACAAATCTGGGAGACTTTGAATCATGTGTCGCACGATGGGTTCAAAATGATGTGGTACTATAGCTGAAGCCAAAAAGTTAAATGATGTGGTACTATAGCTGAAGCCAAAAAGTTAAATGATGTGGTACTATAGCTGAAACCAAAAAGTTAAATGATGTGGTACTATAGCTGAAACCAAAAAGTTAAATGATGTGGTACTATAGCTGAAACCAAAAAGTTAAATGATGTGGTACTATAGCTGAAGCCAAAAAGTTGAAAATGATGTGGTACTATAGCTGAAGCCAAAAAGTTAAATGATGTGGTACTATAGCTGAAACCAAAAAGTTAAATGATGTGGTACTATAGCTGAAACCAAAAAGTTAAATGATGTGGTACTATAGCTGAAGCCAAAAAGTTGAAAATGATGTGGTACTATAGCTGAAGCCAAAAAGTTAAATGATGTGGTACTATAGCTGAAACCAAAAAGTTGAAAATGATGTGGTACTATAGCTGAAGCCAAAAAGTTAAATGATGTGGTACTATAGCTGAAGCCAAAAAGTTGAAAATGATGTGGTACTATAGCTGAAGCCAAAAAGTTGAAAATGATGTGGTACTATAGCTGAAGCCAAAAAGTTAAATGATGTGGTACTATAGCTGAAGCCAAAAGGTTGAAAATGATGTGGTACTATAGCTGAAGCCAAAAAGTTGAAAATGATGTGGTACTATAGCTGAAGCCAAAAAGTTAAATGATGTGGTACTATAGCTGAAGCCAAAAAGTTAAATGATGTGGTACTATAGCTGAAGCCAAAAAGTTAAATGATGTGGTACTATAGCTGAAGCCAAAAAGTTAAATGATGTGGTACTATAGCTGAAGCCAAAAAGTTAAATGATGTGGTACTATAGCTGAAGCCAAAAAGTTAAATGATGTGGTACTATAGCTGAAGCCAAAAAGTTAAATGATGTGGTACTATAGCTGAAGCCAAAAAGTTAAATGATGTGGTACTATAGCTGAAGCCAAAAAGTTAAGTTCAAAATGATGTGGTACTATAGCTGAAGCCAAAAAGTTAAATGATGTGGTACTATAGCTGAAGCCAAAAAGTTAAATGATGTGGTACTATAGCTGAAGCCAAAAAGTTCAAAATGATGTGTACTATAGCTGAAGCCAAAAAGTTAAATGATGTGGTACTATAGCTGAAGCCAAAAAGTTAAATGATGTGGTACTATAGCTGAAGCCAAAAAGTTAAATGATGTGGTACTATAGCTGAAGCCAAAAAGTTAAATGATGTGGTACTATAGCTGAAGCCAAAAAGTTAAATGATGTGGTACTATAGCTGAAGCCAAAAAGTTAAATGATGTGGTACTATAGCTGAAGCCAAAAAGTTAAGTTCACAATGATGTGGTACTATAGCTGAAGCCAAAAGGTTGAAAATGATGTGGTACTATAGCTGAAGCCAAAAAGTTGAAAATGATGTGGTACTATAGCTGAAGCCAAAAAGTTGAAAATGATGTGGTACTATAGCTGAAGCCAAAAAGTTGAAAATGATGTGGTACTATAGCTGAAGCCAAAAAGTTAAATGATGTGGTACTATAGCTGAAGCCAAAAAGTTGAAAATGATGTGGTACTATAGCTGAAGCCAAAAAGTTAAATGATGTGGTACTATAGCTGAAGCCAAAAAGTTAAATGATGTGGTACTATAGCTGAAGCCAAAAAGTTGAAAATGATGTGGTACTATAGCTGAAGCCAAAAAGTTAAATGATGTGGTACTATAGCTGAAGCCAAAAAGTTGAAAATGATGTGGTACTATAGCTGAAGCCAAAAAGTTAAATGATGTGGTACTATAGCTGAAGCCAAAAAGTTGAAAATGATGTGGTACTATAGCTGAAGCCAAAAAGTTAAATGATGCGGTACTATAGCTGAAGCCAAAAAGTTAAATGATGTGGTACTATAGCTGAAGCCAAAAAGTTAAATGATGTGGTACTATAGCTGAAGCCAAAAAGTTGAAAATGATGTGGTACTATAGCTGAAGCCAAAAAGTTGAAAATGATGTGGTACTATAGCTGAAGCCAAAAAGTTGAAAATGATGTGGTACTATAGCTGAAGCCAAAAAGGTATCAAAATAGGGTAGTATAAGTAAGGTAGATTAAAAAATATAATTGGTATAGGCTAGATCATTTGAATAATTATTTTAAATATAAAAAAAAATTAGTATATAGAATAATTGGGTAGATTGACAGAAAGATTTCAAAGACCTACAGCAAGAGTTGAGCCACAGGGTCAGGGCTTGTTGAAACTCTGACAAGCGGAACATGTAGTTGTTCTCTTCAAACCACGTCACTGGGTGACCACTGGCCTTGGAGATCTGTGGGGAGACATTGGGTTGGGTCAGTGTCTGGGCGTACACACACACAGTCTGGACGTACACACACAGTCTGGACGTACACACACACACAGTCTGGACGTACACACACACAGTCTGGACGTACACACACACACAGTCTGGACCAACACATACACACAGTCTGGGTGTACACACATACACAGTCTGGATGTACACACACACAGTCTGGATGTACACACACACAGTCTGGACATACACACACACAGTCTGGACGTACACACACACAGTCTGGACGTACACACACACACAGTCTGGACGTACACACACACAGTCTGGACGTACACACACAGTCTGGACGTACACACACACACAGTCTGGACATACACACACACACAGTCTGGATGACACATACACACAGTCTGGACATACACACACACACAGTCTGGGTGTACACACACAGTCTGGGTGTACACACACAGTCTGGACATACACACACACACAGTCTGGGTGTACACACACAGTCTGGTTGTACACACACACACAGTCTGGACGTACACACACACAGTCTGGATGTACACACACACAGTCTGGACGTACACACACACACAGTCTGGACATACACACACACACAGTCTGGATGACACATACACACAGTCTGGACATACACACACAAACACAGTCTGGGTGTACACACACAGTCTGGGTGTACACACACAGTCTAAACTTACACATACACAGTCTGGACATACACACACACAGTCTGGGTGTACACACATACACACAGTCTGGGTGTACACACATACACACAGTCTGGGTGTACACACATACACACTGCCTACTTGCACACACCAACAGACCCACCACCACAATGTTAAAGCCAACCTGACCTTGACAGTTGAGCCGTCAGGAAGAGATTTATCCTCCACATCGAGGTCGGAGAGGAAAGCCTCGTCAGACACCGAGTACCAGCCCGCGTAACTACTGGGGTAGATGTGACCTCGCTCATACAGCCTGGTCTGAGGAAAAAGAAAACTGTGACGCTACTCTAGATGAGTTACCATGGTAACGTCTACCTGGGCACGTCAAATATACCATGAGGGCACATTGAAGTGACTGATCACAAGTACAACCTGCTCCGTATTATAATGCACAAACTGAACAACCAACATATACCCCACACATAGACGACCCACATATCCCACACACAGACTCCCCACATATACCCCCACACACAGACACCCCACATCTACCCTCACACACATCCCATCTTACCCAGAATGCCTGGACAGCCTCGATGTGAGCTTGCTCTGAGGTTCTGATAAACCTGTCGTACTGAAGACCAGCCGCATCAAACATGTTCTAGAACATAGTAGAAACATTGATCAAACAAATACTGAAGACCAGCCGCATCAAACATGTTCTAGAACATAGTAGAAACATTGATCAAACAAATACTGGAGACCAGCTGCATCAAACATGTTCTAGAACATAAGGAAACATTGATCAAACATATACTGGAGACCAGCCGCATCAAACATGTTCTAGAACATAAGGAAACATTGATCAAACAAATACTGGAGACCAGCTGCATCAAACATGTTCTAGAACATAAGGAAACATTGATCAAACATATACTGGAGACCAGCCGCATCAAACATGTTCTAGAACATAAGGAAACATTGATCAAACAAATACTGGAGACCAGCTGCATCAAACATGTTCTAGAACATAAGGAAACATTGATCAAACAAATACTGGAGACCAGCTGCATCAAACATGTTCTAGAACATAAGGAAACATTGATCAAACAAATACTGGAGACCAGCCGCATCAAACATGTTCTAGAACATAGTAGAAACATTGATCAAATACTGGAGACCAGCGGCATCAAACATGTTCTAGAACATAGTAGAAACATTGATCAAATACTGGAGACCAGCCGCATCAAACATGTTCTAGAACATAAGGAAACATTGATCAAACATATTCTAGCAACAAAATAGAAACATTGATCAAACATATACTGGAGACCAGCCGCACCAAACATGTTCTAGAACATAGTAGAAACATTGATCAAACAAATACTGGAGACCAGCCGCATCAAACATGTTCTAGAACATAGTAGAAACATTGATCAAATACTGGAGACCAGCCGCATCAAACATGTTCTAGAACAAAATAGAAACATTGATCAAATACTGGAGACCAGCCGCATCAAACATGTTCTAGAACATAGTAGAAACATTGATCAAACAAATACTGGAGACCAGCCGCATCAAACATGTTCTAGAACATAGTAGAAACATTGATCAAATACTGGAGACCAGCCGCATCAAACATGTTCTAGAACATAGTAGAAACATTGATCAAACAAATACTGGAGACCAGCCGCATCAAACATGTTCTAGAACATAGTAGAAACATTGATCAAACAAATACTGGAGACCAGCCGCATCAAACATGTTCTAGAACATAGTAGAAACATTGATCAAACAAATACTGGAGACCAGCCGCATCAAACATGTTCTAGAACATAGTAGAAACATTGATCAAACAAATACTGGAGACCAGCTGCATCAAACATGTTCTAGAACATAGTAGAAACATTGATCAAACAAATACTGGAGACCAGCCGCATCAAACATGTTCTAGAACATAGTAGAAACATTGATCAAACAAATACTGGAGACCAGCCGCATCAAACATGTTCTAGAACATAGTAGAAACATTGATCAAACAAATACTGGAGACCAGCCGCATCAAACATGTTCTAGAACATAGTAGAAACATTGATCAAACAAATACTGGAGACCAGTCGCATCAAACATGTTCTAGAACAAAATAGAAACATTGATCAAATACTGGAGACCAGCCGCATCAAACATGTTCTAGAACATAGTAGAAACATTGATCAAACAAATACTGGAGACCAGCCGCATCAAACATGTTCTAGAACATAGTAGAAACATTGATCAAACAAATACTGGAGACCAGCCGCATCAAACATGTTCTAGAACATAGTAGAAACATTGATCAAACAAATACTGGAGACCAGCCGCATCAAACATGTTCTAGAACATAGTAGAAACATTGATCAAACATATACTGGAGACCAGCTGTATCAAACATGTTCTAGAACATAAGGAAACATTGATCAAATACTGGAGACCAGCCGCATCAAACATGTTCTAGCAACAAAATAGAAACATTGATCAAATGTAAACTTTTGAACAAAAGTAAATATTATTTTAATTGTGCAAAAGTAAACATTTAAACAAAAGTAAAATTTTATCTTTAAACAAAAGTAAATATTTATCTTTAAAAACAAAAATTAACATTTATCTTTAAACAATTAAAAACATTTTTTTACAGTAGTGAGATTCAGCTATTAAAAATAAATGTGTTACAAAAAAAATCTTACTATAAATTGTTTCGCTATCTGTGAAGTAAATTCTTCTGGCTCCAACTTTTGAGTTGCTGCTGCTTGTTGGATCTAGGGAGGTTAAAAACATGGACAGGAGAGTGGAGTTAGGGACATGTAGGACATGATGCAGGACATATTGGAGGACATTACAGGAGAGTAGAGTTAGGGACAGGACATGTAGGAAAGTATTAGAAAGTATTGTAAAAAATATTCAAGGTCACTTACCTTGAGTCCATGCTCGTCTGTGCCCGTAGAAAAAAATGTGGGGTTTCCTTTTAATTTATTCCAACGTGTGACGACATCAGCGAGTAGACAAGTGTAGAGGTGGCCTATATGTGGGGCTGGGGAAACAAGTGTAGAGGTGGCCTATATGTGGGGCTGGGGAGACAAGTGTAGAGGTGGCCTATATGTGGGGCTGGGGAGACAAGTGTAGAGGTGGCCTATATGTGGGGCTGGGGAGACAAGTGTAGAGGTGGCCTATATGTGGGGCTGGGGAGACAAGTGTAGAGGTGGCCTATATGTGGGGCTGGGGAGACAAGTGTAGAGGTGGCCTATATGTGGGGCTGGGGAGACAAGTGTAGAGGTGGCCTATATGTGGGGCTGGGGAGAAAAGTGTAGAGGTGGCCTATATGTGGGGCTGGGGAGACAAGTGTAGAGGTGGCCTATATGTGGGGCTGGGGAGACAAGTGTAGAGGTGGCCTATATGTGGGGCTGGGGAGACAAGTGTAGAGGTGGCCTATATGTGGGACTGGGGAGACAAGTGTAGAGGTGGCCTATATGTGGGGCTGGGGAGACAAGTGTAGAGGTGGCCTATATGTGGGGCTGGGGAGACAAGTGTAGAGGTGGCCTATATGTGGGGCTGGGGAGACAAGTGTAGAGGTGGCCTATATGTGGGGCTGGGGAGACAGGTGTAGAGGTGGCCTATATGTGGGGCTGGGGAGACAAGTGTAGAGGTGGCCTATATGTGGGGCTGGGAATAAAACAAAAACTTGTGACACGCCACATACAGTGTGTGTGATACACAGGCTATATGTGTGTGTTTAAATGTGAGTGTATAGAATGTGTGTGTTGCACCAGTTGTCTACTGTCACATGCTGTTATAAACACACAAGACGGTGGTCATGAAGAAACGCAACGACAGGTGTTGTTGAAATTTTGATTTTATGAAAAAGAATTTTTAAACATTATCACTGTTGCGATTGAAGATGTAAAAAAATGAAATAGTTGGAGGCAGAGACTGGTTAAAAACAAGGCGGGCGAGGACAGCTAACATTTTATTGAATTTTTAATGATAATATTGAATAATATAATTATAAGTTCAGTATACATTGTCTATCGCCACATACTATTTACAAATAATTTTTTTATTGAAACATACGAAAAAACTGTACCAATATTGTAATTGAGAATTAGTTTTTATACCAATCCAAATACTTTGTTTACCTACCTGCGTTGACATAGAATATTGGGGTAGTGACAAAGAAAGGTGAGGATAGTTTTTCTTCTCGTTTTTTGACATGCTTGGTGTGACAACAACGAAACAAAATTGTGCGGTTATGTAACATCAGCTGCGAGGCCAACTGCCATGTTAGACTAGTGACTGCTTTACTCATTGTCTCTTTTCTGAAATAAAATAGTAAACAAGAATTAAAACAAAAATTAAAGTTTATGTGTATATTTAATGACTTCAAATCAGTTCAAAATTCTTGAATAATAAAAAATAAATAGATCTAGTAAATAGCAAAAAAAAATCGTTATAAATAGTTTAATAATACTTTAAAAACGAAAAAAAATTTCAGGTCTAATCCAAAACCGAAAGTAACTAACTAGATCTAGATCTACTAGGGTTGGGGTTAGGGACAGAGTTAGCACTGACATTAGCCAGCCATGTGTGTATTTAGTTAACTACCTGTAACCTGACACTCCTTTTTAAAAGAAGATTCTATTAATTATCCTATTTTTTATCGGACACCACTCAGGACCACTGGTATAAAAATTCGGTAATCTATCGTTTTAGGTACGTAAAATCGCCTGCGGCTAGTAATGTACAAAAAGTTAACTCATTGTCAAGGGTTTAATCGAAGTATAGTATATCGTGATATATTTGTGTCAAATATTATAGATAAATGAATAAAAACCTAAATCAATGGCTAAATATATCAATATTAGGCAAGAAATTATCTTTAAACAGCAGTGTTTGCTAGCAGGATTTGCTATATAAAAAGTGGCCATCTGTAAGTTAGAGTGGCTTCCCCTGAATCTTGCGCTATAAGTTTACTATAAAAAACAAGTTAAATAAAAAAGTCTAGTGACATTTATGCGCAATTTCCTTATGTTATCTAAAAATAGCTCTGACGAATAATGCTGCGGTGCGTTCAAGCTAGAAGAACGATCGGTTTGTAGGTGTTTATGTAATTTTAAAATTTGTGACCAAACGAGAGGATATTTTTGAAAACTTTCTTTGGCAATATTATTCTAAATTATGGCAGGAATCGATTGGTACATGTTTCAAGTCGCTAAGTGGTCTGGTTGCCGAGATATGGGCCAAAAACTGAATTTTTTGGAGGTTTTTTGGCTTTTCCGGGAAATACATGAAAGAAACCCGGAATTTTTATGGCCTATGCTCATTCTCGTAACTTGCTTAACATAATTGCTTTTGAAACTAGTCATCGATACTGCTTCGTTGAGGAGGAGATACGACTTAAAGCCCGGACACACATTCATCCATACATTCATCCATCCATTCCCAGAAATGACGAGTTAATAAACGCAATTCTCCAGAATGGAAATTGCGCTAAAAATAAACAAGATGGCTGCTATAGTAAATGAGCATGGTTGCATCTGTTGTAAACATCGCTAGTCTTCATTTATTACTGAAAAGTTTTAATTCAACTGTTTAAAAACAGGTAGGCCTACATAAATGAAACAAGGGAACATTTTTGTATTTTTCAAAACATAAATCCTCCTCAAAATGTGAAATAATTATTAAAATTTAAGGAGTCACCTGTTTTTCACATTACTAGTCGCGGGCGATTTTAGTATTTTACGTACCTAAAACGATAGATTACATCATTACCCGGTACCGAAAATTCCCCCAATTTTCTTCTTTCTGCTTCAGACGTTTAAAAATATAATTAAAATAAATAAGAGATAGATCTAGATCTAGGTCTAGATCTACGCCGGTTAAAATACTTTATTATTATGAATTTAGGTCTCTTGAAATTTCATTTTTTGTTGTAGCTGTGCACTAAGATAAAAGTAATAAAGCTGGCATCACAATTGTGAACAGCCAGCAACTCGAAAATAACAAAGTTTCTCCTTTCGCTTTCAGTTCCAATTTGGTCACACTAAATGTCGTAAAAACCAATGTTCGAAAAAAAAATATATATAACAAATACAATATCACAACCACAATATTCACTTCCGTGAGTTAAAGTGCTATTAGAGTTAATTCAAATGCTAAATCTGTCAGATTTAATTGCTGTGGTGATTAAAAAAAAACGTTCGTGCTTAAATAATACTCTGACTTGTTCCGTAGCTAGGTCTAGATCTAAAATCTAGATCTATTCGTAATTCACTGTGATTTCTAGCTGTAGGCCTATGTGTAATAATAAAGAATAAACGATAATGTCGTCTATTGGGGAGACTACTAGATCTCCATGAGTGCTGTCGGTGTGGAGGTTTCTTACCGATATACGGACTACACAGTTTTTCTTGCGGGGGCAGTGTTTCTTCCAGACTTTTTTCTCCGGGGGGGGGGGGGGGGGGCACCTGAAATCTTCGGGGGGGGGGGGGGGTAAACTTTCTTCGGGGGGGGGGGCGGACACTGTTAAAAGTATATATTTTCTATAAAAATTACATAAATTTCATTTCGTTTCGGGGGGGGGGGAAGGCGGTAAAAATATTTCGGGGGTGGGGGGCATTGCCCCCCCCCCGAAGAGATGCCTGGAAAAAAACTCTGTGCGGGGGTCATCCATAAATGACGTCACGCTTTTTTGGACGATTTTTACCTCCCCCCAACCCCTCCGTCACACGTCGTCACAAAAAGCCAGCCCCCCCCCCCCTAAAATGACGTCACACCTCAGCCTACAACCCACCCCCCTCAAAATTGCTGTTGAATTTTTCTTAAACTTCGATATTTTTCCAAAATTTTATCAGAACTCCGTCAACATAGAGTATTTTGATCAATTTCTATTACAATTTATTAAAACCGTTTTTTAAAACGCGAAATAACGGCTAAAACTCGTTTTCTAACATTGCTTTTTTTATAATGCAAAAAAGTGACGTCACACCATCTGAACTCCCACCCCCCCACCCCCCTCATCACACACCGTCACAAAATCACTCGACCACACAGCTTTCAGCATTTACGGCGTTTTTAACATGAAAAGTATAAAAAACAGCCAGGACTGTGAATAGCCCTAATACGGCTATTCCCAGTCGCGCGACACTCCGGTACAGTGTTTCTTCCAGACTTTTTTCTCCGGGGGGGGGGGGGGGGCACTTGAAATCTTCGGGGGGGGGGGGCGGTAAACTTTCTTCAGGGGGGGGGGGGCGGACACTGTTAAAAGTATATATTTTCTATATAAAGTATACACATTTCATTTCGTTCGGGGGGGGGGGGGGGGCGATAACAATTTTGCAACTCTGCTCCGGTAGATGTATGCGACTTAAAGTTTCATGTGTTGAGACATGAGGAATCGATTTGGACTTTTCTTCTAAGATTCCCTGAAGTTTAGTAGCACCAGAACCCCCATCAATGCTATTTTTATCTTAGGTCATGGGTCACTTGATGTTGTACATGGGTCAGAGGTCAGCTGATGTCTGCATGGGCCAGAGGTCAGCTGATGTCTGCATGGGCCAGAGGTCAGTTAATGTCTGCATGGGCCAGAGGTCAGTTAATGTGTGCATGGGTCAGAGGTCAGTTAATGTCTGCATGGGCCAGAGGTCAGTTAATGTGTGCATGGGTCAGAGGTCAGTTAATGTCTGCATGGGCCAGAGGTCAGCTGATGTCTGCATGGGTCAGAGGTCAGTTAATGTCTGCATGGGTCAGAGGTCAGTTAATGTGTGCATGGGTCAGAGGTCAGCTGATGTCTGCATGGGTCAGAGGTCAGCTGATGTCTGCATGGGTCAGAGGTCAGTTAATGTGTGCATGGGTCAGTTGATGTGTGTATGGGTCAGAGGTCAGTTAATGTGTGCATGGGTCAGAGGTCAGTTAATGTGTGCATGGGTCAGAGGTCAGTTAATGTGTGCATGGGTCAGAGGTCAGCTGATGTCTGCATGGGTCAGAGGTCACTTAATGCCTAAAAGAAATAGACGTACTTGGTCACGTGACACCGAGGCACTAGGTCACGTGATGAAACGTGTGTTTGACAAAAGCTGCGACGAAAATGTGCGCCAAAATAAGCGGATCTGTTTAAAACATGTATTCTAATACTAAAACGTGAGTGTCACCTAAACATACACTAAAATAATCCATCCATCTACTGACCTCTCCCGTGTTTCCACCACATGAAAGGGAGACGACCAGTACATTGCCAAGGCTCTTATCTTACCAATAACGTTAATTACGTCCCTTGATTTCCTGCGGCTGTCAGAGTTGTCCCCCATGATTGGTGTTTACCGCCCCTGCAGGTGGCCTCCCGTGTCCTGTCGTAAGCTTGAGAAAAAAAAACCTGGCTTGTTGTGGTCATGGGCTGAGTAAAAAAATGGATTCTTTTCTAGGCGAGGAAAAACAGTTCTTAAAACCTTGGACACGATTTTTTTTCGACAGCTTTTTTTTTTTGTTTACCCGGAGAAGGATGGGTACTTTAAGAATTTTTCCGTGTGGCAATTTTTAGAACCATTTTTTTTACAACCAGGTTGATGATGCACTTTATGGCTGTCTCAGTTTTTGAATTGCCGAGTCGTCTTTGCTGTGGCTACTGTTGGAATGACGCAAGAGTCACAAACACACACACCGACCCAAGAGTCACAAACACACGGAGAATCCAATACACCAAGTGTAACTACCACACCTACCTCAGCAGTTACCGAATCCACAACATGAGTCACAACCTCATCCACATCACAACACCTACCTCAGCAGTGACCTCATGGAGTCACAACCTCATCCACATCAGGAGTCACAACCTCATCCACATCAGGAGTCACAACTTCATCCACACCATGAGTCACAACCTAATCCACATCAGGAGTCACAACTTCATCCACACCATGAGTCACAACCTAATCCACATCAGGAGTCACAACCTCATCCACACAATGAGTCACAACCTCATCCACATCTGGAGTCACAACCTCATCCACATCAGGAGTCACAACCTCATCCACATCAGGAGTCACAACCTCATCCACATCTGGAGTCACAACCTCATCCACATCTGGAGTCACAACCTCATCCACATCAGGAGTCACAACCTCATCCACATCTGGAGTCACAACCTCATCCACATCAGGAGTCACAACCTCATCCACATCAGGAGTCACAATCTAATGGATTGCAGGAGTCAAAACACTGACGTATGGAATCACCACCCACAACAACTACACAAGTCACGACCAGATCACCTTAAAAGGTCACCACCACAATACCTTGTCACGTGACACTAGCCTCCCAAACATAAAACGTTGCCTCCCCTTATTATCAAGTGACGTCACTCACCAATATAAAGTGAAGTATACAGCCAAGTCATTTCAAGGTCAGCCAAACCTGTTACCTCAAGGTCAGCTAACCAAGTCATCTCAAGGTCAGCTAGTCATTTCAATGTCCTAAAAGCCCTGTTTATAACATCCTTTGAAAGTTCACCAAAATGGACGGAGTTTGCGCATGCGTAGGAGAAAAAGAAACTCTGAACATTGCACTGAGCATCTAAGAGACAAATGATTTCTCTTTTCTAAACTTGAATGAATCCTGTCATCCATTAGCCTCCCTCGAACCATTTTCTCGCGGATCTGGATACTTGACCTGAGGATTAGAATTAGGGCTAGTTATAGTCGTGGTATTATGGGAGGGCGTGGCCTAAGTGGTAGAGCGCCACGTGTGTCAGCAGAAATCCCCGAGTCCACCCAGCTCAGATGGGTACCCAACTGACTATACCTTCCCTTCATATATCAAGGTCAAGAAACATGAACTCTACTTCATCTGCTGAATGGATCGTTAGGTCTAAAGAAGATTCTTTACTTTTTATAGTAGTGGGCTCTTTCAGGCATCTCTTCGAGGGAGGAAGCTGTACCTTCAAAGCAAGTCTACTACCCCTTTTCGAAAAATTCACACTTCCACCACCATCCGGAAATGTAAGTGCCCCCCCCCCCCCCCCCAAATAATAAATAAAAAAAGAGATGAATTAGATTGACAAGTAACTGTGTGAATAACTTTTTCAATGCTGTCTCCTGCAGAGTTTCTTCCAGGCATCTCTTCGGGGGGGGGGGGGGGGGGGGGGGGGGCGGTGCCCCCTGAAGAAAGTCTACCGCCCCCCGAACGAAATGGAATTTATATAGAAAATATATACTTTTGACAGCGCCCCCCCCCCCGAAAGTATTTCAAGTGCACCCCCGGAGAAAAAAGTCTGGAAGAAACACTGGTCTCCTGTCTGTGATAGTTCCCTGTAAGTGTGGCGCCTGGGTAAGTTTTCTGCCGGTTTAACAGAGAACGACAAATAACCGCTGGTTAATGACGTCATTAGCCGGTGTCTCATTTAAGTTACCACGTGACACAGGCGTGTGACCAGTGACGGACGAGCAGCGGCGATGATGGAGTATTTTTAGATGGGGGTCGCCTAGTTACCGCAGGTGACCGGAAATTGACAGGAGACGAGTGCATGATCTCGGTCATAACGAGAGGTTACAGTGAGGGGGGGGGGGGGGGGGGAGTTGGGGGGGGGGGGGGAAAGGGAAGACTGAGACGTAGCACGTGTTAGGGTGGCCGCTAGTGTACCATAGGATGGCCGTTACTCAACTAGTATACAACAGGCATAGTTGATGGTTTAACGAATGTGTCAATATTCCAGGGGTTATTGTTGGACTAGTGCCCCAATATGCCATGGGTTAGGGTTTGAGTGGTGCCCCAATATGCCATGGGTTAGGGTTGGACTGGTGCCCCAATATGCCATGGGTTAGGGTTGGACTGGTGCCCCAATATGCCATGGGTTATGGTTTGGCTGGTGCCCCAATATGCCATGGGTTATGGTTTGGCTGGTGCCCCAATATGCCATGGGTTAGGGTTGGACTGGTGCCCCAATATGCCATGGGTTATGGTTTGGCTGGTGCCCCAATATGCCATGGGTTAGGGTTGGACTGGTGCCCCAATATGCCATGGGTTAGGGTTGGACTGGTGCCCCAATATGCCATGGGTTAGGGTTTGGCGGGTGCCCCAATATGCCATGGGTTAGGGTTTGGCTGGTGCCCCAATATGCCATGGGTTAGGGTTAGACTGGTGCCCCAATATGCCTTGTGTTAGGGTTTGGCTGGTGCCCAATATGCCATGGGTTAGGGTTGGACTGGTGCCCCAATATGCCATGGGTTAGGGTTTGGCTGGTGCCCAATATGCCATGGGTTAGGGTTGGACTGGTGCCCCAATATGCCATGGGTTAGGGTTTGGTGGGTGCCCCTACATGTCAGAGTGAAGCTCAGAGAGTTATCTGCCATGAAATGAGTATTGATGAATCCATTCGTCCGATGGGCTCCAATCAATAGCAATAGAACTCACAGAATGGGGCGATACAGCGTCATGAGGACACGCACATCTGGGCCCTACAATCTCATCTAGGGCCTACACGCACATCTAGGGCCTACACGCACATCTAGGGCCTACACGCACATCTGGGCCCTACAATATCATCTAGGGCCTACACGCACATCTAGGGCCTACAATATCATCTTGGGCCTACACGCACATCTAGGGCCTACAATATCATCTAGGGTCTACACGCACATCTGGGCCCTACAATATCATCTAGGGCCTACACGCACATCTAGGGCCTACACGCACATCTAGGACCTACACGCACATCTGAGCCCTACAATATCATCTAGGGCCTACACGCACATCTGGGCCCTACAATCTCATCTAGGGCCTACACGCTATCAAGGGCCTACACGCACATCTAGGGCCTACACGCACATCTAGGGCCTACACGCACATCTAGGGCCTACACGCACATCTAAATCCTACACGCACATCTAGATCATACACGCACATCTAGGACCTACACGCACATCAGGACCTACACGCACATCAGGGCCTACACGCACATCTAGGGCCTACACGCACATCTAGGGCCTACACGCACATCTAAATCCTACACGTACATCTAGATCATACACGCACATCTAGGACCTACACGCACATCAGGGCCTACACGCACATCAGGGCCTACACGCACATCTAGATCCTACACGCACATCTAGGGACTACACGCACATCTAGGGACTACACGCACATCTAGGGCCTACACGCACATCAGGGCCTACACGCACATCTAAGGCCTACACGCACATCTAGGGCCTACACGCACATCAGGGTCTACACGCACATCTTGGGCCTACACGCACATCTAAGGCCTACACGCACATCTAAGGCCTACACGCACATCAGGGCCTACACGCACATCTAAGGCCTACACGCACATCTAAGGCCTACACGCACATCAGGGCCTACACGCACATCTTGGGCCTACACGCACATCTTGGGCCTACACGCACACAACAAAAAGTACCAACACTACGAGATTTATAATTACGTAAGCTGCATCCATTTTGAATGTGACGTCTAATTAACGAGAAACCAATCAACCACTGGACGCGCATGCGCAGACCGCTCGCCATCTAACTGCTCCCAGTGTCCAGCTATTCTCCAGCCCTGTCGTCTGCTGAGCGTCGTCTGCCAACAGAACGTCGAGCGGACTAGAACGAGGCTGTGTTTCTCAATGGTGAGTTGTTTATTTCAGTCCGGAAGTCGGTTTGGGGCGGATTTACAATTGTTTACATATGATTAAAACAATGTAAAGTGACACTTTAACGTGAATTAGGAAAAATATTTTTACACCTGACAGTAATTTGGGCCTAAATGGATTCGTTAGTGACACCTGACTGTCTCAAAGGTTAAGGTTAACAATACCAGTTATGGTGAGGGTAGCTCAGGGCTAGAATGGTTAGGGTTAGGGTGGGTGTGCTAGACAACGGGCAGTGTGTACCATCACCTGATTGAACTATTATGTCCATATACTCACCTGTAAATTATGTCCATTTACTTACATGTAAATCATGTCAATTTTCTCACCTGTAAATTATGTCCATTTACTTACATGTAAATCATGTCAATTTACTCACCTGTAAATTATGTCCATTTACTCACCTGTAAATTATGTCCATTTACTCACCTGTAAATTGTGTCCATTTACCCACTTGTATATTATGTCCATATCCACATGTAAATTATGTCCATTTACTCATTTATTGTAGACCGCAGTTCGTAAAGTCTGTGTTAGTAGCTTACATTTAAAAAAAAAATGACAATGTTTCAATTCAGTTCGGTTTATATTTGTGATAGTTAATTTCGCTATATAAAATCTTGTGTTTTGGGCAACCTCTTGGTACACCAATTAGGATATAACAGTTGGATGTTATCCAGAAGGATATAACGAATGTCAACAATGAAGATATAACAGTTGATGTCAACTATAACGATATAATTGGATGCGAAACTTGGTTGACTGTCTAGTGAACGTAGCGACAGACTGGTAGAGTTTGTTTACTTTTGAGTTTTACCTGTGCTGCCATCTATCAGTGGAGCAGGAAGTAGAAGAAAAAAACACGAGTTATCTTTTCTTGGTGATCGATTAAATCGTCTGCTAGCTGAGGTCTACGTTGTGGACACCGGCCTAGGTAAGGTACCGGCCTATTTACCTGTCTGCTAGGTGAGGTACCGGCCTATTTACCTGCTAGGTGAGGTACCGGCCTATTTACATGTCTGCTAGGTGAGGTACCGGCCTATTTACCTGTCTGCTAGGTGAGGTACCGGCCTATTTACCTGTCTGCTAGGTGAGGTACCGGCCTATTTACCTGTCTGCTAGGTGAGGTACCGGCCTATTTACCTATCTGCTATGTGAGGTACCGGCCTATGTACCTGCTAGGTGAGGTACCGGCCTATTTACCTGTCTGCTAGGTGAGGTACCGGCCTATTTACCTGTCTGCTAGGTGAGGTACCGGCCTATTTACCTGTCTGCTAGGTGAGGTACCGGCCTATTTACCTGTCTGCTAGGTGAGGTACCGGCCTATTTACCTGTCTGCTAGGTGAGGTACCGGCCTATTTACCTGTCTGCTATGTGAGGTACCGGCCTATGTACCTGCTAGGTGAGGTACCGGCCTATTTACCTGTCTGCTAGGTGAGGTACCGGCCTATTTACCTGTCTGCTAGGTGAGGTACCGGCCTATTTACCTGTCTGCTAGGTGAGGTACCGGCCTATTTACCTGTCTGCTATGTGAGGTACCGGCCTATTTACCTGTCTGCTAGGTGAGGTACCGGCCTATTTACCTGTCTGCTAGGTGAGGTACCGGCCTATTTACCTGTCTGCTAGGTGAGGTACCGGCCTATTTACCTGTCTGCTAGGTGAGGTACCGGCCTATTTACCTGTCTGCTAGGTGAGGTACCGGCCTATTTACCTGTCTGCTATGTGAGGTACCGGCCTATGTACCTGCTAGGTGAGGTACCGGCCTATTTACCTGTCTGCTAGGTGAGGTACCGGCCTATTTACCTGTCTGCTAGGTGAGGTACCGGCCTATTTACCTGTCTGCTAGGTGAGGTACCGGCCTATTTACCTGTCTGCTATGTGAGGTACCGGCCTATTTACCTGTCTGCTAGGTGAGGTACCGGCCTATTTACCTGTCTGCTAGGTGAGGTACCGGCCTATTTACCTGCTAGGTGAGGTACCGGCCTATTTACCTGTCTGCTATGTTCGAGGGGGGGGGGTGCAAATCAAAAGTAAGTTCGAGAGGGGGGTGTCAAATCTAAAATTGAAAGTTTGTCCACGGGAAGTGTCGCTCCGCCTCGGGGGGGGGGGGGGGGGTTACACTATTAAGTGCCGCACCGGGTGACACCCGACCTCGCTACGCCACTGACCCAATGCACACAATGCTACGTCTTACGGCCGTCAGCCGCCTAACTCGTGTCGTCTGCTCCACAGATACAGTGGCTCCAGCAGACGTAGGATGTTTCCTGGGGCTGACTATTGTGAGTACACATCAGCACTATTTAGTTCCCGGCACTCGATTGGGGGTTGTGTATGTGGGGGGGGGGGGAAGAAATCAGCGGCCTAGAAACGTGGATTGTGTCAATGTCTAGCTAGGGAGTCAATGTTTGGCTGTGAAATGTTCTAGCTGTCTTTGTCATGGCTGTCGTCTGTACGCATTTGTGTGTGTGTACACGCTTGTTTTCCTGTGCGTGTGATTGCTTGTGTATGTACGTATATGTATGCAAGTGTGTGTATGCGCATTAATGTGTAAGTACGTATATGTATGTATGTAAGTGTGTGAATGTGAATGAACGTGTATGTACGTATGTCCATGATTCCACAACTTGCCTAAAAGTCCCACATACTTGAGTACAGGGACGACCCAACTTTTGACATGCGCACTGACGCTGTGGTGTAGTTCCGGTGACGTCACTCCATCCTACAACGGAAGTAAAGCCGGACGTTCTTCTATTGGCTGTCTCAACCACTTCCTCGGCTGCCAGGCTGTCTTCAACGGCGTCAACCAATCAGATTGTAGGTAATAAGATCACGTGATACGTCTTTATGATGATCGCTTATAGGCTGTGGTCAAGTGCTGTAGGCTGTGGTCACGTGTTAGTCATTGTTGCTCTAAGATTGTGGTTCCAAGATTGTAGCTCCCTGAATTGCACGGATTTTAGGGACCCCAAGATTGTAAAGCCTAACCTTTACCACCTCAAGGTGCTGATAGAGCTAGTCTATAACATCATCTGTAACAACATCTGGGCGGGTCAGGGATTTTAAAACCCTAACCCTGCCTCTGCTCATAACCCTTACCCTGACCCTAGTCTTAGTCCTAGCTCTAGATCTAGTCCTAACCCTAACCATAAGCCTCACCCTTGAACTTACTCTAGCTCTAACCCTAACCCTGACCCTGACCCTAACACTACAAGAACAAACTTGAATATGATGCTAAGTTAACCAACCCTGACCTTCATCAATGAGCAAATCCACTTGGTTACCTGCAACATTGGTCAGTTCCTGCTAGAACTAACGTGTTCTGCCAATATTCTGCTCTTTATTCTGTGATTTCTTGTCCATGTCTGTTGTTAACTTGATGTGATTTTGTTGAATTCATCTGATGTGATTTTGAAATAATTGTCAACATAACAGACGTCAACAAAGCGACGATTTGATTGGATGATTAGATCATTGCGCACGTGAATTCATAGTATCGATCTAAACGCTTTTCCTGGACACGTGTGGGGGTGTGGGAGGTAGGCGGTCAGGGTCACTAAATGTTGTAGGGGTCAGGGTCACTGAATGTTGTTGGGGTCAGGGTCACTGAATGTTGTTGGGGTCAGGATCACTAAATGTTGTAGGGGTCAGGGTCACTAAATGTTGTAAGGGTCAGGGTCACTAAATGTTGTAAGGGTGAGGGTCACTAAATGTTGTAGGGGTCAGGGTCACTAAATGTTGTAAGGGTCAGGGTCACTAAATGTTGTAAGGGTCTGGGTCACTAAATATTGTAGGGGTCAGGGTCAGTGTTACATCCCTGAATGTCCTGTTCAACCCTCCCGCAGGACCATGGAGGAGAGTCTCAACTGTTTCTCTCAGGGGGACGGCGGCTGTGACCTGATCAAGGAGGCCAGTCGGCTCACCAGCCCCCCCACGGGCAGTCGACCCACCAGCCCGGGGCCGAGCCCCTCCACCGCCCCCAGCCCGTCCAGAGGCACGCCCCCACTGCCCCAGGACACACGACAAGAGCATCAGAGCTTGCTGGAGCTTGTCAATGACGTGGCCATACTCAAGTCAGAGTATCAAGAATTATGTGAGCGAACATCCAGTAGGACATTTGTTGTACGGACATTAGGACATTTGTTGTAGGACATTTGTTGTAGGACATTTGTTGAAGGACATTTGTTGTAGGACATTTGTTGTAGGGCATTTGTTGTAGGACATTTGTTGTAGGACATTTGTTGTAGGACATTTGTTGTAGGACATTTGTTATAGGACATTTGTTGTACGTTCATTAGGACATTTGTAACAGGACATTTGTTGTACGACCAGTAGGACATTTGTTGTACGGCTAGTAGGACATTTGTTGTATGGCTAGTAGGACATTTGTTGTACGGCTAGTAGGACATTTGTAACAGGACATTTGTTGTACGGCTAGTAGGACATTTGTTGTAGGACATTTGTTGTACGGCTAGTAGGACATTTGTAACAGGACATTTGTTGTAGTCCTGTAGGACATTTGTTGTAGGACATTTTTGTACGTCCAGTAGGACAATATTATTGTTGTACGGCCAGTGGGACATTTGTTATAAGCCCAATAGGACATTTGTTGTATGACATTTGTTGTAGGACATTTGTTGTAGGACATTTGTTGTAGGACATTTGTTGTACGACCAGTAGGACATTTGTTGTACGGCTAGTAGGACATTTGTTGTATGGCTAGTAGGACATTTGTTGTACGGCTAGTAGGACATTTGTAACAGGACATTTGTTGTACGGCTAGTAGGACATTTGTTGTAGGACATTTGTTGTACGGCTAGTAGGACATTTGTAACAGGACATTTGTTGTACGGCTAGTAGGACATTTGTTGTAGGACATTTGTTGTACGGCTAGTAGGACATTTGTAACAGGACATTTGTTGTACGGCTAGTAGGACATTTGTTGTAGGACATTTGTTGTTCCGGACATTAGGACATTTGTAACAGGACAGGGGTCGGCGTGGTCGAGTCGGTAAAGCTCATGGTTGCTAAACCGAAAAAGTCTCGAGTTCGACCCCTCGACAGATGAGGCTCGTTAGCTGGGGACAGCCACTCTTCTAGGAGAGACAATTCCAAAATCAAACAACTGCTGCCTTGTAGTTTGTTCTTGGTTGGACAAAAGCTATGGAAGCAAATCCAAAAAGAAAAGCAGGCTGAAATCGGAGTCAAATGGCCTCAATGGCGCATAACCAGTTGACACGTAACGCTTAATTGTGATGGAAGCGTGGTCGAGTCGGCAAAGCTCATGGTTGATAAATTCGAAAAATTTTCGAGTTAAAAAACTCTCTGGAAGATAAGGCTCGATCCCTTCCAACACTAAAAATTAAGAACGAAGAAGAAGAAGAAGTAACAGGACATTTATTGTACGGCTAGTAGGACATTTGTTGTAGGACATTTGTTGTACGACCAGTAGGACATGTGTTGTACGTTCATTAGGACATTTGTAACAGGACATTTGTTGTAGTCCTGTAGGACATTTGTTGTAGGACAAATTTGTACGTCCAGTAGGACAATATTATTGTTGTACCGCCAGTAGGACATTTGTCGTTCTTTCTGTAAGACAATTGTCCTGTCCTGTGTTACAGTCCTACAGCAGGACAAACAAACCATCACAACGATGACAATAGATAAACCCCCCTGCATTAGGACCAAACATCATCTAACATCGATGTTTTTGTTTACAGGTCCCACCAGCAATGATGTCAGGGAAGTGCCAGACTTGTGGGCGGTGCTTGCTTTTATTTTTGTCCCCCTCGTCTACAACTTGACCTGCCGTTAACTGTCGAGTCATTTGTCTCAACGGTGGAGCAAATTAAAGTTAATTAATTACAACTTTCTTAATTGTTTCCTTCTTGTTGTTTTTTTACTTCATGTCCCAGCCACCTACAAGCATTAGCACTTCACATCAAGGTGTCTAGTCCCTAGCACCTACAAGCATTAGCACTTCACATCAAGGTGTTTAGTTCCTAGCACCTACAAGCATTAGCACTTCACATCAAGATGTTTAGTCCCTAGCACCTACAAGCATTAGCACTTCACATCAAGGTGTTTAGTTCCTAGCACCTACAAGCATTAGCACTTCACATCAAGATGTTTAGTCCCTAGCACCTACAAGCATTAGCACTTTACATCAAGATGTTTAGTCCCTAGCACCTACAAGCATTAGCACTTCACATCAAGATGTTTAGTCCCTAGCACCTACAAGCATTAGCACTTTACATCAAGATGTTTAGTCCCTAGCACCTACAAGCATTAGCACTTTACATCAAGATGTTTAGTCCCTAGCACCTACAAGCATTAGCACTTCACATCAAGGTGTCTAGTCCCTAGCACCTACAAGCATTAGCACTTCACATCAAGATGTTTAGTCCCTAGCACCTACAAGCATTAGCACTTCACATCAAGGTGTCTAGTCCCAGCCACCTACAAGCATTAGCACTTCACATCAAGGTGTCTAGTCCCTAGCACCTACAAGCATTAGCACTTCACATCAAGGTGTTTAGTTCCTAGCACCTACAAGCATTAGCACTTCACATCAAGATGTTTAGTCCCTAGCACCTACAAGCATTAGCACTTCACATCAAGGTGTTTAGTTCCTAGCACCTACAAGCATTAGCACTTCACATCAAGATGTTTAGTCCCTAGCACCTACAAGCATTAGCACTTTACATCAAGATGTTTAGTCCCTAGCACCTACAAGCATTAGCACTTCACATCAAGATGTTTAGTCCCTAGCACCTACAAGCATTAGCACTTTACATCAAGATGTTTAGTCCCTAGCACCTACAAGCATTAGCACTTTACATCAAGATGTTTAGTCCCTAGCACCTACAAGCATTAGCACTTCACATCAAGGTGTCTAGTCCCTAGCACCTACAAGCATTAGCACTTCACATCAAGATGTTTAGTCCCTAGCACCTACAAGCATTAGCACTTCACATCAAGGTGTCTAGTCCCAGCCACCTACAAGCATTAGCACTTCACATCAAGGTGTCTAGTCCCTAGCACCTACAAGCATTAGCACTTCACATCAAGGTTTCTAGTCCCAGCCACCTACAAGCATTAGCACTTCACATCAAGATGTTTAGTTCCTAGCACCTACAAGCATTAGCACTTCACATCAAGGTGTTTAGTGCCTAGCACCTACAAGCATTAGCACTTCACATCAAGATGTCTAGTCCCTAGCACCTACAAGCATTAGCACTTCACATCAAGGTGTCTAGTCCCAGCCACCTACAAGCATTAGCACTTCACATCAAGATGTTTAGTTCCTAGCACCTACAAGCATTAGCACTTCACATCAAGGTGTCTAGTCCCTAGCACCTACAAGCATTAGCACTTCACATCAAGGTGTCTAGTCCCTAGCACCTACAAGCATTAGCACTTCACATCAAGGTGTCTAGTCCCTAGCACCTACAAGCATTAGCACTTCACATCAAGATGTTTAGTCCGTAGCATCTACAAGCATTAGCACTTCACATCAAGGTGTCTAGTCCCTAGCACCTACAAGCATTAGCACTTCACATCTAGATGTTTAGTCCCTAGCACCTACAAGCATTAGCACTTCACATCAAGATGTTTAGTCCGTAGCACCTACAAGCATTAGCACTTCACATCAAGGTGTCTAGTCCCTAGCACCTACAAGCATTAGCACTTCACATCAAGATGTTTAGTCCGTAGCACCTACAAGCATTAGCACTTCACATCAAGGTGTCTAGTCCCTAGCACCTACAATCATTAGCACTTCACATCAAGGTGTCTAGTCCGTAGCACCTACAAGCATTAGCACTTCACATCAAGGTGTCTAGTCCCTAGCACCTACAATCATTAGCACTTCACATCAAGGTGTCTAGTCCGTAGCACCTACAAGCATTAGCACTTCACATCTTGGTGTCTAGTCCCTAGCACCTACAAGCATTAGCACTTCACATCAAGGTGTTTAGTTCCTAGCACCTACAAGCATTAGCACTTCACATCAAGGTGTTTAGACCCTAGCACCTACAAGCATTAGCACTTCACATCAAGGTGTTTAGTTCCTAGCACCTACAAGCATTAGCACTTCACATCAAGGTGTTTAGTTCCTAGCACCTACAAGCATTAGCACTTCACATCAAGATGTTTAGTCCCTAGCACCTACAAGCATTAGCACTTTACATCAAGATGTTTAGTCCCTAGCACCTACAAGCATTAGCACTTCACATCAAGATGTTTAGTCCCTAGCACCTACAAGCATTAGCACTTTACATCAAGATGTTTAGTCCCTAGCACCTACAAGCATTAGCACTTTACATCAAGATGTTTAGTCCCTAGCACCTACAAGCATTAGCACTTCACATCAAGGTGTCTAGTCCCTAGCACCTACAAGCATTAGCACTTCACATCAAGATGTTTAGTCCCTAGCACCTACAAGCATTAGCACTTCACATCAAGGTGTCTAGTCCCAGCCACCTACAAGCATTAGCACTTCACATCAAGGTGTCTAGTCCCTAGCACCTACAAGCATTAGCACTTCACATCAAGGTGTCTAGTCCCAGCCACCTACAAGCATTAGCACTTCACATCAAGATGTTTAGTTCCTAGCACCTACAAGCATTAGCACTTCACATCAAGGTGTTTAGTGCCTAGCACCTACAAGCATTAGCACTTCACATCAAGATGTCTAGTCCCTAGCACCTACAAGCATTAGCACTTCACATCAAGGTGTCTAGTCCCAGCCACCTACAAGCATTAGCACTTCACATCAAGATGTTTAGTTCCTAGCACCTACAAGCATTAGCACTTCACATCAAGGTGTCTAGTCCCTAGCACCTACAAGCATTAGCACTTCACATCAAGGTGTCTAGTCCCTAGCACCTACAAGCATTAGCACTTCACATCAAGGTGTCTAGTCCCTAGCACCTACAAGCATTAGCACTTCACATCAAGATGTTTAGTCCGTAGCATCTACAAGCATTAGCACTTCACATCAAGGTGTCTAGTCCCTAGCACCTACAAGCATTAGCACTTCACATCAAGATGTTTAGTCCCTAGCACCTACAAGCATTAGCACTTCACATCAAGATGTTTAGTCCGTAGCACCTACAAGCATTAGCACTTCACATCAAGGTGTCTAGTCCCTAGCACCTACAAGCATTAGCACTTCACATCAAGATGTTTAGTCCGTAGCACCTACAAGCATTAGCACTTCACATCAAGGTGTCTAGTCCCTAGCACCTACAATCATTAGCACTTCACATCAAGGTGTCTAGTCCGTAGCACCTACAAGCATTAGCACTTCACATCAAGGTGTCTAGTCCCTAGCACCTACAATCATTAGCACTTCACATCAAGGTGTCTAGTCCGTAGCACCTACAAGCATTAGCACTTCACATCAAGGTGTCTAGTCCCTAGCACCTACAAGCATTAGCACTTCACATCAAGGTGTTTAGTTCCTAGCACCTACAAGCATTAGCACTTCACATCAAGGTGTTTAGACCCTAGCACCTACAAGCATTAGCACTTCACATCAAGGTGTTTAGTTCCTAGCACCTACAAGCATTAGCACTTCACATCAAGGTGTTTAGACCCTAGCACCTACAAGCATTAGCACTTCACATCAAGGTGTTTAGTTCCTAGCACCTACAAGCATTAGCACTTCACATCAAGGTGTCTAGTCCGTAGCATCCAGCGCTCTGTCGTGGTAGCCACTTACAGTATATATATATATATATATATATATATATATATATATATATATATATATATATATATATATATATATATATATATATATATATATATACCTGCGTATGTAGCCAGTGTGAGAGGGAGACAACCCTGAATTCACCTGCAGTTTGAAGTTTAACGTCTGTCATCCGTCAAGATTAAACCAGTCAGAAAGTTGCTCTAAAAACTTTTTAAACATTCAAATTTATTCCTGAACTCTGACCTACTTGGTATTATTTTTTTTTAAATATAAGAACATCAGCTGAGGTGGTTGGTGGGTGTGGTGGTTGGTGGGTGTGGTGGTTGGTGGGTGTGATGGTTGGTGGGTGTGGTGGTTGGTGGGTGTGGTGATTGGTGGGTGTGGTGGTTGGTGGGTGTGGTGGTTGGTGGGTGTGGTGGTTGGTGGGTGTGGTGGTTGGTGGGTGTGGTGGTTGGTGGGTGTGGTGGTTGGTGGGTGTGGTGGTTGGTGGGTGTGGTGGTTGTGGTGGTTGGTGGATGTGGTGGTTGGTGGGTGTGGTGGTTGGTGGGTGTGGTGGTTGGTGGGTGTGGTGGTTGGTGGGTGTGGTGGTTGGTGGGTGTGGTGGTTGGTGGGTGTGGTGGTTGGTGGGTGTGGTGGTTGGTGGGTGTGGTGGTTGGTGGGTGTGGTGGTTGGTGGGTGTGGTGGTTGGTGGGTGTGGTGGTTGGTGGGTGTGGTGGTTGGTGGGTGTGGTGGTTGCTGGGTGTGGTGGTTGGTGGTTGGTGGGTGTGGTGGTTGGTGGGTGTGGTGGTTGGTGGGTGTGGTGGTTGGTAGGTGTGGTGGTTGGTGGATGTGGTGGTTGGTGGGTGTGGTGGTTGGTGGGTGTGGTGGTTGGTGGATGTGGTGGTTGGTGGGTGTGGTGGTTGGTGGGTGTGGTGGTTGGTGGGTGTGGTGGTTGGTGGGTGTGGTGGTTGTGGTGGTTGTGGTGGTTGGTGGATGTGGTGGTTGGTGGGTGTGGTGGTTGGTGGGTGTGGTGGTTGGTGGGTGTGGTGGTTGGTGGGTGTGGTGGTTGCTGGTTGGTGGGTGTGGTGGTTGGTGGGTGTGGTGGTTGGTGGGTGTGGTGGTTGGTAGGTGTGGTG